GACCGAAACGTCCAGGAGATCTACCTGCACTCCCTGCCGACCGATCAAGGACGGGGTTATCGAAACCGGAAGATCCGAGTGCTGAGAGTGGCTCGGAGTGCCCAGAGGGTCCCTGGGACCCATGCAATTGGGGGGCCCCCCCTCTTTGGGGGGGGGGGGGGCAAAAAGAGGAACTCTACTAGCCCCACTGTTGGCCTCTTGGGATTGGGGCCCCATGGCGGCTTTTGTTGTTTTTTTTTGGGGGGGGGTCGTGAATGTAGCTCCTTAGAATGTACCAAGGGAACAACAGGCTTCACCATGGCCGGTTTGCTCGGTGGATTTGGATTTGAGCCCACGGTTCTTGTGGGTATGTGGGAACCCCAAACCTTGACCCAAACCAAACCAATGCGATGGAAACTGCGGTGGGGGGTTCGACCTTTTTGGGCCAACTCAGTGAGTTTCGATCCCTTCTTGCGGTGCTCGGCGCGAGTCACTCGGCATTGAGCTTTTCTTTGGCGTGATATTTACCTGGCCACTTTTGTTTGTCTCGGCTTAGCGGCATCTCTCTGGGGCCAGCTGGTTGATAGGCCCAGGGCAATCACCTGCTGTGGGAAATACAAAATAAAGCCTGAGTTGGCCTGTTGGGGTGTATGGGATGTTGGGCTGTGACACTGTGGTGTGGTGGGCTATGGGGTTGTTGGTTCGGCTGTTGGGTTGTTGGGTTAAGGCTTCGGATTTCTTTCTCAGACACAGAGTTGAGACTCGCGTCTCTTTCCTTGCCGGTTTCCGATTTTGTTGTCTCACTCCCGATCGAGTTTCGGGACTCAGACTTGAGTGCTCCACTTTTTTTTTGGTTTGGACCACAAAAAGTGCGAAACAGTTTGGGTGCTTTCTATTTTGCCCATCCACTCGATCGGAAGTGAGTGAATGTTCACGCCGGATCAATAAACCCCTGGTTGATTTTGATCGGGGGGTGTCCAATTCCTGTTGGTGGGGATTCATCACTTTGGGAGGGAACACCCCCCTAGTCTCACTCGCTGAGTTCCTGGACTTTAATTTTTTTGGGAAGACCATTTTAGTGGTAAACAGAAAGTTTGAACTTTTTTTGGCCCATCAACTCAGTCTGGGACCAACGAGACATACAGATGCTTCTCGACATCGGGGACCGGCTCCTATTGGTTGGTTTTCCCTTTAAAACCATCTAAAAAGGGGTCCCCTATGTTGAGACAGACTCATATTTATATAGACAGACTCATATACATATATATATATATGGCTGTGGGTCAAAACCAATGGTACCATTGGTCAAAACCAATGGTACCATGTTGGGGTAGGTGCACCACCCATTTCAGTCTATTTTAGTGGGGATTGTGATGTTCACTGGGGGTACGGGATTTTGACCCATGGCCATATATATATATATACATACATACATCATTCATATGTATTTCCCCAGAGCCAGGGAAAAGTCAAATCAATCCTTGAAACTTCTGGGTACACAGTGGGCGTGTTGTCTGGAGGATGTTCCTACGGGAAGCAAATGGAAGCTGCCCATGTGGGTGTGTCTGTTTTGATAGTACCTTTTTGGGATTGGTGCAAGGGGACACCTAAAGGAAAACCACAGTCTTTGGGGGGTTCTGTGTTTTAGGACAAGCTGATGTTGGATCATTTCCGCGTTTTTTTTGTGTGTGTGTTTTTTTTTGGCTTGCAGGTTTTCTGAACAGATTCGGTTCAAGCTAATTGGGAAGCACTGGAGCTACTGCAGGTGGACGAAAGCCTGCACCACCTAAGAATCATGATTCCCCTTTCAATACCAAACAAATGGTTTCCCATGGCTTCAAAGTGGTGCGAAATGGATCGTCCATCCACAGTATGGTGAAATGATACTTTTTCAGCCTCCGCTGAAAAGCTTTGTCAGAGGAGACCCCCAGAGGAGACTCCTGGAGAGGCAGTTTTGGGGATTCCAGGAGTGTGATGTTGCTCGTGCCCTCATACTGTGGATGGGCAAAATCCGCTTTTTTGCACCACCCGAGACACCATGGTTGAAACCATTGTTTGTTGGTGTTCACAGGGGATTATATCATTCTAGGGTTTCTTAGGTGGTGCAGGATTTCGTCCATGCACAGTATTTCTGCCACGATTTTGGATTTTGGGGTGAGAGCATAATTTTTATTCGGGACCCGAAACGGATTCATGTCCACCAACCATTGTGGAGGGGTTCCAACTCTTCAAAATTCAGTCATCGGCATATAGGTCTGTCTTGTTTAGAGAATTGGTACCACCCTTTTTTCGTGGTTTTAAAGGAAAACCCAAAGGACATCCACCATTTGGGGGGACGGTCACCAAAAAACCCGAGCCACGCATACGGAGCAGAACATCAGAAACGCCACACGATTTTGGGATGGACCAAGTTCAGGCCCTGTCCTTGGTTCGGTTGAAACGTAAGAGGGCGATTCCTGGTTTACTTCCTAGATAGCCAAGTTGCCGCTTTTTCAGTGACTGTTGCTGGTTTTTGTGGTAACATGCATGGAAAAAAGCGGCAACTGGCGATCCACAGTATGCTGAGCTGGCTTTCTTCTTTCGCCCTGCAGCTTTTTGCGCAGATTGAAACATTTTTTTTCCGACAAGCCATGGCCACAAGCGCCGAGCCTATGTCTCTTGGCTTGGACTTAGCGCGGCACCCCGTCCTTGAGGACAAGGCGGCAAAATGGAATTCAATCAACGGGTTTGCTGTTGGGCTTCCCTACAAATCTGCCAAAAACAGGTACCTGGATCGCCAGTTGCTGTTTTCTTTTCCATGCACTTTACCCCAAAAACCCAGCAACAGTGACTGAAAGAAGCAGCAACTTGGTTATCTAGGTACCAGCTCCAAAAAAAGAGCGAGGCACCCACATGGCGATGCCTGCTTTTTTCAAGTGTTGGAAGCCCCAAATATGGGTGAATCGGTCCCGGTTCGCCAAATTTTGAGACGTCCAGTGGACGTGTCCCTGCTGACAACGTGACAATTCGCATGCACATTGCTGGTGGCTGGAGGGAGCTAAGGAGCTACTTGGGTGTTCGATTCGCCAAGTTAGTAAGCGGAGAACGCCACCTGGGTTATAACCCACTTATAGTGGGGTTATCCCAGTCATTTGTGGGTTATACCCAGATGGGTAACCACTAACTTGGCCGAACACCCAAGTACCTGGAGTTCTGTGACATAGATTGCCACTGTCTGACGGCTCCCGGAACCCAGAAACTTGCAGTTAGAATTGCCCAGCGATTCCTTTTTCCTGGCTTGCTCCAGGGAACCAGCCTTTACTTCCATTTGCTTAAGGATATGTGTATTTCTCGCTGTTTGTTTTATAGGGAATTGATCACTACTGGACATATGTCCTATGTTTTCAGGCGACTTGAGTATCTGGAGGTTTAAAGTGGTGCACAGGGTTACCTTTGAGTTTAACCGTTCGCCTTTTGGGTTTTCCATGATTTCCCTTGAGCAGCAAGAAGCTGTCGCTTGTTTGCAGGGGGTCTAAGTCTGGGGTCGGCGCGGGGTCAATTTCTTTCAAGCGGTACTTTTGTTCTTGGGCGGGGTGGGTTTGAAAAGAAGCGGAAAGGCGGAAAGCCAAAAACTTTTTTGGTCGGGGTCGGGGCCCCATATTTTAAGACACTCATGTTGTGACCTGTCGGGTAACGCGTGTGCGGCACGGTCTCGGTTCCGAGCCAATGGCTCAGACTTCTGGCGCCTCGAGTCAGAGTTGTAGCCACGCGAGGCCGAGTGTGTAGCGAGGGGATCGATCCGGCCCTCTGGCGGTGAGGTTCTCATGGAATTTTTCCAGGGCTCGCACCAAGGGTGGACATGAATCGGGAGCAACCACCGAACTTTTCACGTCCGCCAAGAGGAACGCCAAACCAATTGGGATGTTCAAAGACAATCCTGACTTGGGTGTTCTGCCAAGTTAGTAAGTGGTTGGTAACCTTGGGAATAACCTGCTTATAAACAGGTCAACTCCACTTGGGGAACTTATAGTAGGTTAACGACCACGTACTAACTTGGCGAATCGAGCACCGAAGTCATCTTTTCCTTGGGTTGCGAAAGGAGTCCCCTTAGATGTTTTCCAGATTGCGGCGCATTGGATTCACCAAAAAGTTTCAACAGCCCAGTTTTCAGGGGTACCCGCGTTCAGGTTGCCAGGAACCAAAAAAAGGTCCACCGCTGGTGTGTGGAGCTACGGAACCTGGAACCGCAGAACCCAAAGCTGGCCCATACCAGAGCTTCTTTGGGCACTCGACCCCCCAAAACGCCTCCAGCGAAAGATGTCGAAGATGGTTTCCACTAGCCCAACCCCCCCCCCACCCCCAAAACACTTTGCTAGGGAAAGCGCGGCAAATACCCTAGTGGGCAATTGTGGCTTTGTGTCCCACTAACCTTGGCGGTTCCCAGCCATCCCCTAGGGCTTTAGGTTTTTCAGGGTTTAGTTAGGTTTCCATTTTCCATTCAACCCACAAACATGTCCAAGGCCCAAGGTGATTTGGTGACAAGCCCAGCCATTCTGTTAGGCTTTTTAGTTGTTTTAGTTTGGTTTTTGAAGGTTAGTTCGGTTTTGAGTTGGTTTTGTGGGTTGGTTTAGCTGTTTTCACGCATTTCGTAGCGAAACATCCGAAAACGGCGGTAACCGCCCAGAGCCAAGCATGTCCCAGAGGGCGGGAAGGCTATCCCACTAACCCCTTGAACATCGGATTGGCCAAGTACTCGGTGTGTCTGGAAACTCACCAAGTCTTTAGTTGTTTTTTGTGGTTGGGTTTTAAACCACACGCATTTACCGGAGCAAACCAGAAGGAAAAACACATTTTTTTGGCGGGGGGGGTCCTTAAAATAAGGCACCTAGATAGCACCTTTTTCAGTCACCGTTGGTTTTTGGAGTTTTGAGTGATAAAAAAACGCGCCCGGCGATTTCCAGGTAGGTGTGTTTCTCCGTCGTCGGGTTCTAAGCCGCCGGAGTTTTTGTTCCCCGAGCGACAGCGGCGGGCGGAGTCCTGAGGTCCAAGGTGATCCTCCTGCTGGGCGAGGCCGCCGGTCCGCTGGAGCTCACGCGCCTGGGCTTGTGCAGCCGGGCCTTGGCCCACCAGGCGCGTGCGCGAAGTCGGTGGGGGGCATTCGGGGCGTGCCTTAGCGGGCGGCGGGCCGGAAGCTGAAGGGAAACCTACAGGGTTCCTTGAAGACTGAGGGCTTGAAGACGGTTTTTTCCAACTAGGCAACCATTTTCCCACACGCTCCCGATTGATTTGGGGCCCTCAATCAGCCAAGTTTTGAGACCCCAAAACCCCTCTGAGGTGTCCAACGGAGGGTCTGGGTCTTTTGGACGCCGAAGCCGATCGGAGCCTTTGGGCAAGCTCGTGAAAGGCGCGCGAAGCGGCGGCTCGTGCCCCAGCTTCAGTCTTCGAGCCAAGTCTTCTCCCCCCAAAGCCCGAAACCGCATCAGAAAGTGTGAGTTGGAGATCTCTCCCTTTCCCTCGCCCGGGTGATGAACTGGTTAAAGTTGAAGTCCAAGGAATGTGGTACTTATCATCTGGATTCATCCGTTGGAAGCTCCGGCGCGTAACACCAGTCCTTATACGAGTAAAATTCTACTCGTCTGGAAACTTGTGTTTATCCCCAGAAAATAAGAACTTCTATAATATGAAGTTGGTGGACCGATGAAGGCAATGTGATTCAAGTGGTATAAGCATGTACTTCGAGCACTGCGTTCATACGAATTGTTCCCTCCAACAAAAAAACAAGAAGTAAAAAGTCCGAAATCCCCCAGCCCGAACCAATAGCCCAGCAGCCCCGAACCCGACCCATCCGAAAGTGCCAGTCAATGCTCTTACCCCATGCGGGATTTTGTGTCAAAATCTCAGGCGGGCGTGGAGGTCTGAGAATTTAGGGGGGGGGGCTGGGGTGCTCGTTCAAGCTATTTGGCCGCGAGTGGTTGGATGGGGAAAGAGCTACCTACTACAAATACCTGGCTTTTTCTTTACCTCGCAAAAACCAGGCTTTCCCAACCATACTCTGAGAAAACGGGTATTTGGAGTAGGGGGTACATACAGCCACTTCAATTATACCATAGGTTCAACCACTATCAAACCCCCAAGTGCTTTTAAAAAGGAAAGGAAAAAGTCGTCGCAGGTCTTCGAGCCGATCTTCTCCACCCGCCTCTGTCGTCATTTGTCCGTTGACGTGGACGTGTCGCTGGAGATGCTCTCGGTGTGCCTCGCGATGAGGAGGTTCCCTCGAGCCGAGCGGAAGATGCCTTCGGCATGCCCGGGAGGGGCCCGGAAGGGGCCGGCCGGGCTTTGTTTGAAGGATATCCCCGCCCCCAAACTACTGTGGATGGACTAAATCCATTGCGCACCACCGTTCAGAAACCCTAGAATGATATGATCCCCTGTACATACCAACAAACTATGGTTTTAAGCATGGATTCCAAGTGGTGCGAAATGGATGTCGCAACCATCCGCAGTATGCGGGGCGGAAAGGGACACCGCGGGACATCACCATGCTTTGGCTGTGTTTGAAGTGGTCCCAAAATTGGGCTGCAATGCCAAGGCCGGTCAGATCAGATGCTAGAGGAATCGCATGGCTGTCTTTTGACGCTTTTGAGTGGCCCCCCATCTTCCCCGGCGGGTAAGTGGATCTTTCAGGTGTGTGTGTTTTTCGACTCACGCTGGCGGTTTTTTCGTGGGGTTGTTTCAAATAGAAACAACCCGACATCGCCAGAGCTTTGGGGGCCTTTGAAAAACACCAGTCAGTGTGAGGCCTCGCCGAGGAATCTTCGAACAGGTTCCTGAACCGTGTAGGGATGAAAAGTGCCATGGAGCGGTGGCAGGTCCACCTCTCGGCTTTTGCTTGGAGCACAATGCTCCATAATGCTTTGACATGCATTTGCCAGCTGCAATGCCACGCGACTCGCCAAGGACCCGTACTTGGATGTGCAACCCAAATGCAAGAGTGATATTAATGCTTATAGCTTACATACTAAGTGGGTTGAACATCCAAGTAAGGGGAAGCGTGACTCTCCATCACCTTGGTGCATTTGCTCGGTCACCCAGTTTTGCCTTGGGCGAGGATCGCCTGTGCTCTTTTTGCGCACACAGTTCCAAGCATGTTGCCCTCGAATCGCAGAGCGAAGCTCGCGTTTTGCCCTCAAATCGCAGAGCGAAGCTCGCGTTTTGCCCAATGTGTTGCCCTAGAATCGCAGAGCGAAGCTCGCGTTTTGCCCGAAGGCTTCCAAATCCGCTTTCACTTCATGCCATGCTGCCACGCACAAGTGGAAAACTGGCCGTTTTATACATGGGTTTATTGCCATGTTTAGTCCCCCTCCAATTTAACAAAGTTGTCGATGGCCCACTTTGGTATCACAGAACCGCCTACACCAAATAATTACTCTGTTTATTTAGGGTAGCATGGTAACCCCTGACTAAAGAATCACTCACGTTTTCATGGAAGGCCGGGATTTTCGCACTGTACCGTGCAACAAGTGGGAGTACAGTATTCCTTTTCCGCAACCAGAATTCATTGAATTTGCAGGCGCCTCGTGCGCCTGCACAGCGTGCAGGCGATAGAGCAAACTTCCGTGCTGTGGGAAAATCGGTTGGGCTGCCTTTGTTTGATAGAATTTAAACCCAGGCCCCAACTCTGTGAATTCCCCTAAAAAGCGGTGGATTAACAGAGTAGTGCTGGCCCAAGAAGCGATCCGGATTTAGAGGTACGCCAAAACAGGATGGGCAATTTTTGCAATGTTTCCCGACCTATTTAATATGGCTGCCATTTCTACGGCGGGCCCGCGCAGGTCAGATGGTGAAACAGAGCTTTCCAAGGGAGCAAACGTGGAAAAACAACACACTTGTCCAAAGCCAACCTTTTACCCTCCCTCTCCCCCAGTAGTGCCCTTTTTCCTTTTTTGGGGGGAAGGTTCCCCTACTAAAATAGACTGCAGAACAAAGGGCGCCCTTATTCTAACCTCTCTACTGGAAGAGCTAGTGGTTGCCTATATGGCTGTGGGTCAAAAATAGGTACCCCAAATGGAACCCTGGTAAGTGGAAACATGAACCAAAACCCGCGGTCCCCTGGTGGTTTAACTTTGACCCATACCCATATTATGTCTATTTATCTATCTCTCTTTTACCTGCGCCCGATGTGGAGCATTGGCTTGAGTACCTTTTGCTCTGATGCTAAAGAACTCACTTCCTGAGTTCATGACCTTTAAACTTTTTTGGAAGACCACTTTAGTGGTAAATATAAAGTTTGGACTTTTTTGGGGCCATCCACTCAGCCAGTGAGAGAACCGGTTTACCTTCAAAGAACACACATTCTTGAGGTGTCCAGCTAGTTCATGCATATTCCCAGCACAACGGTTTCTCTTTGGTAAGTTTTCTCAGCAGTTCGGTCAGATGACAGGAAACCACTGAGGAAGTGGCAACGCATAAATACGCATAACATCACAGTGCATGTGTTCATTTTTAGGGCCGACGGCGACCAACGAGTATGTTTCACGTGCTTTATGCATGGAAAAGGCGTTTTTTTTTGTTTTTTTTTTTATATATAGAGATTTCAACTGAAGATAGTGAGTGTTAGTTTCACATTACATGTGGAAAGGGTTTCCTCTTGACCATCTTGCTCATAGAAATTCTACTAGCACTGCTTCCTCAAACATATGTTTAGCTTTTGAGTGAACTTCAATTAGCTAAGAAGGGAACTTACAAGGAGCTTTAGCAGCTGCACAAGGAGCCCCAGAAGCAGCTTCTCAAGGATCTGGGGCGTATTCTGGTTTCAGCTCTTTGTAAGGCTCCTTAGTTAACATGTTCCTTAGAGCAGGCTCCAAAAAAACGGCTCGCTCCTTAGAGCAGGCTCCATATAAGGCTCACACTTCCTTTTTGAGCTAGGGAGCTTCAATATTAATTTTAGAAGGAAGCTTTGTAAGGAGCTATACAATAGGGGCCTGAAAAGACAGCTTTGTAATATTCTAAAAAAGAAGGAGTCAGGCCCAACTCGTGGAAATCCTTGGCTTCGGGCACTCGAAAATCGAATTCGATCCGCCAGGAGCCTGAGATCATTGACCACTTCTACCCTCGCTGAAGGAAGCCAACCGACTCGAGTCTCGAGCGCGCGGATTTGGCGAGTCTCGCCGGTCCAATAGGGCATTGGGTCCCCCAGCAATTGGCGCCAACTTTCTCTCCGTTTCTTTTTTTGGGTTGGGAGATTGGGTCTCCCCTACTGAGTATAGACATCCTGCAAAAAGTTGGTACCCTTAGTCTAACCTCTCTACTGGACCTAGCATACCTGGTGGTAAGGGAGCCTCTGGGAGCCGGGGGTAGTATCCAAATTTACCGAAAGAGGGAGCCTGGAGGCTACCAGGAGTTCTGGTTCGCATGGTAGCTACCTGCTGTGAATTCTCCGCCCCTCACCTGTGTTTTTTTTTTTCTCTGGCATCATTTCTATTTTGCACCTGCGGTTCAACCCCCATTAAAAGAATGGCAAGACTCAATTTGGATGATGAGTTACTCCTGAACGGGGAGTATTGCGTGGTTATACTGCGGATGGTTGCGAAATCCATTTCGCACCACCTAAGAAACCCAACGGAATGATATGACCCCCATATAAATACCAACAAAGGTGCTGGTTTCAACCATGGTTTTTATTGGGTGGTGCGAGACTCGCGGATTTCGCAACCATCCACCGTATGAAACCCCCCCCTTTGTTTTTGGTGAAACCTGCCACCTCCTGAAGCCGCAGTCGTTCACGGTGCAGTCCCTTGGTCCCGGTCCTTGGTGCTTTTTCACGGAAGGCGGTGGCAATTTTTAAGGTTCTTCCATTTGGTTAAGAATATTGTTAATTTTCCCCTGGTGGTTTTAAAGGGAATCGTTTTCACTCTGGAAAAATATGTTCCTATTTTTTCCAGTGGACAAAAACGCAAATGGAGGGGTTGGACCCCCCCCCCAAACGGATTCATTTGTTTTTCTCTGTTGGTTTCCCGGGGGCTCAAGAAAGACACACATTCCTCACTTGCCCAAAGCGAATCGACCTTTTGACCTTTTGGTTTTCCCATGGTCCATTTTTAGTAACGGTCCCAAAAGGTTAACCTTTTATTTCCAGGTCTTTTGGGCAAGTGAGATTCATGTATGGCCACTCGTTGGAGTTTTGTTACGAAGTGCTGTGGAAATCTACTGAACCCCTCGTTGGCGGTTGAACCCAAGTTGTTGAACCTGGAAGATCTCGTCTTGCGCAGTGTGACTCATGGGGTGGATGAGGTAGTACAATTCCCTCGTGTTGGTTTACTCATCCCATTGCATGGCCCCATTGTTTAACCAGTTTTTCAAAGTCACCCCAGAACAAAGGGAAGGTTCAAGGAAAACCACCCCAGTTTTTGACTTTACCCCCAAGAATTCGTCAACAGAATGACCCAAGCTTCCCACACGGGAGTTTGGCCAACTCACGTGATTTGTTTTATGAGGATTTTAGGATCTCTGTGGGGAGTGACCCGCGTTTTCAGGGTCACAAGTTGACCAAAGGGCCTTTGCGGCTTGAACCTTTCTGATTCTCAGAACATCCTGCGGGGATCAGCTTTGTTTACCCTCTTTCAGACAATCATGCAAGTAGGTTTAGGGGGGCGTCCCCCAAACGAAAAGTCGTCTTCCAACCCCCTTTGTTTGCCCTGTTATCAATCAAAAGTGGGGGTTTTCGGGGGGTTTCACTTCCAAACTTCAGCTTCCTTGGGTAAAGAAACACTTCTTCTCAACGACTTCGTTTGCCAGGAGTGGGGTTTTCTCTTTACTTTGGCTCTGGGGTACTTGTGTTTTTACTTTGGTGGCCCCCAGCCATCCGGTTCAACTTAGGAGTTTAGCAATTTTAGGTGGTTTAATGCTGGGGGTTCGAATTTAACCCAAAATTGAAACATGTTGACCGGGGATCTGAGGACAGCCCAGTTTTTGAAGCCTGTTGTTTGGAGGGGGGTCCCTTTAGAATCGACCAGCAAGCGACTTTCTAGACGTTTGGAGTTTAGCATATTTCATATCATAACAAAGTTTAACTTGTTCCAAGCGATAGATAAACCCGGATTCTCCTCCAAGACTATTCTTCATTGTACGGACCACATATGAACCACAATCAGACTATATTGCTTTCGGCAAATCCCGTTTTGGTGGGTTCAGAACCACTAAGGAAACAATGGCCCCCCTTTCAAAGAGCCTTTCCACATCTTGTTTTACGTCGATTGGGGATGTGAAATGTTGTATCCTCTATGCTCCCGATAATAGCGCCCAATGTAGAAACTTGGAGGGAAGGTCCTGAACCTTTGTCCAGAGGGTCCCTTGGTACATTCTAAGGAGGTACTGTACCTGGAGTCTCCATGACCCTTGAATCCATGACCCCTTGATTTTGGGCAATGACCAACCATTTTAAAAGGGTCAGAAAGGGAGACTCCAGGTACAGTCACGACCACTGTTTACCACTTTACCCCCGCCCCCCCGAAGCCATTCTCAGAAAATACTCAAAAGACTCAACCCCTTGGGTTGGCTTTTCCTTCTTTTCAACCACCACAGGTGGGCCTTCTTGGAGCCGCGGACGCCCTTCTGGACGAACCGCTTCGACGTCTTGGTGACACCAAGGGCATTCTCGGCTCGTGCGGGAAGGCCGGGAGATCCGAGCCGAAGTAATTTTCAGAACCTGATGAGTAAAGCCCCCCCTTTTCAAGGTCGGCCTCTGGGGTTCAACCTGGGGCTCCCTCGGAGTAATTTCCGAACCTGAGGGGGATTCCCTCTCCGGTCCTTTCCGGTGTCTTACCAATAGGACTGCAATAGGAAACAAAAAGGACGATGCATCTTCCCCAATCTTCCAGTGTGTGTGTGTGTGTTTTTTTTTTAATGTAATGAACACACATGCTGTTTCCGGCTAGCATTTTCTTTAAAAAAAATCTGGAATGGCAGCCCTTGACTATGAAAGGAGATAGCATTGGCAAAAGTATTGGCACTAGCTTTGGTAATTCAACATTTATGTTTTGAGTACTTTTTCGGAAATCCGGGCCGGAAGTGTCTTTAATCAGAGGGGAGTCACCAGTTGTGGCCTGCCATTGCGGCGTGCCTTTTTCTGGGCGGAACCCCTTGTTGGGTTTTAAAGGGATACCAAGAGGCAACTAACCATTTTGGGTCCGATTTCTAAACCAAAGGACAAACCCAGATATATGCGAATTTTATGTGGTCCAACACCCGGACTGGTGGGCGACAGAATTTGGGTCCCGATTCATGTCCAACCACTTTTCAGGTGCTTCCCTCAAAGCTTCGTAACCATATGCTTCCTTTTTTTTAATAAAGAAAAAACAAGTTTTCCCTTGTTGGTTCAAAGGGAGTTGATCACTATTTGACGTGTTTTTTTGCTCCAGAAGAAAATGGAGGTATGGGTATGTCTGAAAAAAATTCGGACCGATTCCTCCTTGTGGCTGGTTTCCCATCTCCAAACGGACGCACCCATGTGTTGGTGGGCTTGTGGAAACGAGCAGGCTCCCCAGAATGTTGACCCCGGATTAACAAACCCCCTGTTTATTGATATAGTGTTCCCTCCAAAAGTGGTCTAAATCCAACCACTAAAACCAGTTGGACACCCCCATATCAATAAGCAGGGGTTTATGAATCTGGGGTCAACATGACATGGCTGGTCTGTGGATGGCGCCACCTTTCGGAACCAGGCTTTTCCATGAAGCCCTCAAAAGGCGATCTCCTCTTCAGAAGCAGCAACCCAGCTACAGTGTCCCTGGTTTTGCTGGGTAGCTTTTGAATAACCGGGCCTATTTTGACAGATTGATACATCCAAATCTCAGATGGTTTTAGCATGTTACGCCATGTTGCTATGTGGGGGTTGATCAAAAGGTCCTTGCAAGGAGTTATGTATTCGGTGACCATTCGTCTTGGCTTAAATCCCTCCGCGAAAGATCGGCGATGGAGTTCGCGAAAGAAACTTTTTTTTTCGCGAAAGATTCCGCGTTGAATTCTTGGAGGCCTGCCTGTGCACTTACATATTTGCAGACCCCGCTCCCTTGTAGAGAGGGAGATACGCAGCACCTACACTTGCATTATTGATTCCCTGCCTGTGTTGGGATTGGTGCAAATCAATAACGTTGGCTGGGCTATTTTGGAGCAAGTTTCGCGAAAGATCCGCGAAACAGTTTTCAGGAGAAGTAATTGCGAACCAGCCGAGTTGCAGCAGCCAATTTTCGTCCAACAATTCTAGGTCTCCCAGTAGTGCCCTTTGACCAACTTTTTTTTAGGAGGGTTCCCCTCCTAAAATAGACAAAACCGAAGAAAGGGTACCCTTATTCTATCCGATTCTATCCTCTCTACTGGAGGACCTAGAATGGCAAGGGCGAATGACGGTGACTGCCTGCACTTGACACTACGTACTGCACGCAAGTGAACTGCGGCTACCGTGTTTGCAAGCACAACTGCAGCAGCCACAATGGCTCCACAGCGCACGCTGCAAACAACAGGGCGTGGCGATGGAGTCGCGAAAGATTCGCGAAAGAAACTTTTTTTTTCTCGCGAAGATGGCGTTTTCCGGAAACAGGAATATTGATCAACTGCCATGTGTGTACTTCTGGGAACCCTATAACGTGCAGAGTAAGTATAGGCGTTCGCCTGCAGGTGTGCCAAGCCAGTCCTTTAAAGAAATGAAGGCATGGACAGAAGGACCATCCTGTTTGAGGAGACGGCCATTAAAACAGTTCATATACCATGCTGATCGCACCAGACTGACAAAACAGATCACAACCAGTCCCTGTTTCGGATTCAAATTGCAACTAGTTGGTCCCTTGGTTGGTCTTATGACAAGACCATGTTCTCCCCTTGAGTCTATAAATACCCTGCACAACCGCCCTGACCGTGAGCATGTTCAAACCACCACCTTCCATTGGTTAAGAATATTGTTTTTTTGTTGATTTTAAAGGGAATCTATCACAACTGGACATATTTTTGTTATTTTTCCAGGGGACTTAAGCGAATGAAGGCTACCCAACTTGACAAACTGCAGCTGTTGCCACCTCAGCGCTGGAAGTTGTTCGGCAAATTCCCGCCTACGCCGGGCGCTGGCGAGCTTCTCGCACTTTCTTGATCATAGATTTGACTTGGCGGCTCCCAGTTCTCCGGTTCCTTTGCTTTTTAAGGGTTTAGTGGTGTCCGCTTAAGCCATTACATAAAAGTTAATTTAAAAGAACATAATAATAATAATAATAATAATAATAATAATAATAATAATAATAATATAATAAAAACACACTTTTAGCAGGGGATCTGAGAATCGGGCAGTGTGGATTTTGACCCCGTCCGGTCCCTTCGCTGGATCGAGTCTCCGAGAGCTGAGCACGCCAAGTGTTTGGGCTTGGGAGCTGGATATTTCCGGAGTTGGAAGTTCGTTTAAGGCGAAGGTGTGTCTTACTTCTACCAACACCACGTGGTGTTTTTTTCATTCCCATGGTTTCAAAGTCGTGTAGGATTTCGTCCATCATCTAGAAAACGGTGTGGAGTTGTGCTATTGGTGGATTTTAGCTGTTCTTCCCCCTGTTGGTCCTTTTTTAGTACTCTTTTGGTACTCTTTTAATATTCTACAGGTGTGGATCCACAAAAGTCGCATCCAAACCGTTTCCTATATTACTGTGGATGGACGAAATCCTACACGACTTTGAAACCATGGGAATGAAACCATCACGTGTGTTGGTAAAAAACGGAGGAATTATCAGAAAGCAGGGTTTCTCAGTGAGTGTCGGAAGGATTCCGAGCCTCGTTTTGACGGGTTCAGTTGGGGGAGGTCTCTTGGACACGAGCCGAGGTTGATCTGGGTCCGATCGGAGCAGAAGGTATGCAGAACCAGCTTCAACAGCCCATCCCAGTACCCTACCCGTTGCAATGTGAAATGGACGTACTGTGGATGGTTGCGAAATCCATTTCGCACCACCTAAAACGCCCAGCAATGATAAGTGCCCTGTAAATACCAACAAACAACGATGGCTTCAAAGTGGTGCAGGATTGCGTCCATCCACAGCATTTCGGGGAATTCAACCTCATTTCCATCTATCTGACCCTTAGCCGTGGGGTTCAACCCACCATTGAAAGAAAGGGGGTTTGATACAAGCGCCATATTTACCTACGGTAGGCCGGTTCTTCACTGCGACTCACGGAGCTGAGCCGAGAACGAGAAAGGCTCCATTTGTCATTTCCCGCCTTTGGTATTGAAGGGCATCAATTTCACGGGACATATGTTCTCATTTTTTCCAGGGGGAAGAAGCAAATGGAAGAACCCTCCTAAATCTCCCAAGCCCCCCCCCCTCACCAACAGCCCGAAACCGTAGACCCCCCCGCCCTTTCCGAACAGGTGGCCACCCGCAGCCCTTCGCGGCAGCAAGCTGAACTTGATCCTTCGCCGCTGAAAAAAACCGCCAGAGGCCTCAGAAGCGAAGCTTGGGGCAAGCCCAGCGAATCTTCCATTTGCTGAAGATGTTGTTTTTACTTTCCCCTGTTGGTTTCAAAGGAAATCTACCACTCCCAAAACAGAAACACAAATGTGTTCTTTTGGTTCCAGGGGACTTAAGCAAATGGAGGGAATCGTCGGATTCTTGAAGGTTTTTTTAAAGGTAGGTTTCTAGTTGGTTCAGTGCTTGGCGTTTCCAAACTTAACCCACAAGTGCACATGGTCTCAACTTTTCTCAGATCAGAAAACGGACAGCCCAGCGAATTTTGACAGCCAACAAGCGATCACTTGTGGCTTTGGGAGGTTCTGAAAAGGGATATGGAGGAACTTTTGCAACAACCAGTTGAAGAATTCTGAGCATTATGCATGTTTGACAGGGTGAGATGCTAGTGATGCACCACCACTTCCAGGACATGTTTGGTCAGTAATCTTCATGTGGCATGCTTAGCTGAGAAGGGACTCCTTGAGTGTAATTTGCTAGGAGGAATCGTCATGCGTAGGGTAGACGTTGTCTGTCCACCGTTTCACATATTCAGGAACCTATGGTTAAGCAAAGCTTCCATTCATGAGGTTCATTCCTGTTGCAACCATGACATTTTGCAGTTGTCATGTGTTTCAGTTCTCCAAAGGTACCAAACCTCCAAACGCATCCGCGTTTGGCTCAAGCTGCCCGAGGGTTAAAAGGAGTACGTCCGCCATGTACTTGACGATGTGCGGTATTCTTTACCTGTTGGTGGCGACATACTTGGATCAGGATTGGGATTGCTTGAAATATCCCCCCTACCTTAAAATAAAATCGCAGGGGGGTACCTATTGGAATTTCAATTTCTCAGCCCTCACAATTTCATTTTTTGGGGGGTCACCAGTTCGGACCTCAAACCAGAACTGTGCCGCATTGGGCTTGTCAGCGCCGCTGTCTGCTCAGTGGATGTCTAGAGATGGCAGCGTTGGCGGCCATGTCGAGAACAGCCATTGCTGGCTGCAGCTGAGGCGGTTTTCCGCGGGTGGGCTTTCCGGGTAATTCAGCCGTTTTTGTTTTCTTTCGTGGCTGATTTTTAATATGTTGGCTTATATGCTGCGCAGCAGTGGCCGAATGAGTTGATCGCTTTTGTGGTAATATGTGGTAGTTCGTTTCTAAGACTGGCAGTGGCAACAAAGGCGAATTTTGAGGTGCCAGTGTTGAGCAGTTTCTGTTGCCGGGTACTGCCCCTTTTGTTCAGGCATCCGCTGGCAAGAGCACAGATGGACAAGAGTATAGGCGCGTCAAGTCTTGGAGGGGGGGGACCCTGGCTATGAAATCCTCTGGCATATCGTGGCAGCAGTTCTGTTGAAGCAGAAGCAGGCAAATGGCACCGACCATGATGGGTTGCAGGCGTGTCCAGTTTTGGGGTACGACTTTTCTCAAACCTCCAGCCTGCGCAGGGCCCCCCCATGATGTTGATTTTGAGGATTTTCAGGCCTGGGTGAGCCTGGTGTTAGATAAACAGCAAGTTTTGGCAAGCATGCGCGTGGCGACTTTTGACAGGCTGATGCGTCTGAGGCCGGACCATCCCGGTTCTTCCAAAACATCTATCCTTCGACTATTCTCTCGGGCTTGATTGGACTGTTTTCCCCAGGCCAAAGAGGTTGCCTGATGGAGCAAGACGAGCACGGCTTGGAGGCATATGGGGAGCAGCTACCGGATCCAGCCGTTCTGGCTAGAGCAAAAAGATTGATGCCGGGTCTCGCCGGGCGGGGTTCAGTGTTGAAGGGGATGTGATGGGCATGTGCTGTTGCTCGGCGGTTGAGGCAAGGAAAGAAGCAAGTACTTCATCGTGCGTTCAGGTCTCATCGAGGTGTATTTGTTTTATTTTTTTGTGTGGCGCATGCGCCAAGTAGCCAGATGAGGTGGCGGGGGTTAATCAGATGCCATGTTTCAGCATTTTGGTTGTCAGCCTCCTCTGTCGCTTAGAGACTTTCGAAGAAGCTGCCTTTGGAGCTATCCTTGGACCTGGGCACTCCATAATTTCATTTTTTGAAAACAGCTAGAAACCACCCCCACACACAAAAATGCAACCCCCCCACCCACCCCCACCCCCCCCCCCCCCACGTTAAGGTAGGGAGAATCTTCAGATCAAACACAGCGAGCTGTTCTTATCTTGATTCAGCTGGTTATCAGCCGTACGCGGCTCTTAGCTGGTACTGGATTGCATAGCCACGGCCGAGAGCTGTTCAAGTGGCAAAGGTTCTGGTAGAAGGGGCACAAGCCCGAAGGCGAGCATACTGAGACAGGTCTTGGCAGCAGACGGCTGGGACTCGGATCGTGAAGTAATTCAACTTGACCGAGTTAAGCACTTGAACCTGCCGGTGGAGTTGTATATACTCAGTACCAATCACTGTCACTGAAGAATCGCAACCCGCAGCTGCATCTTCTTCGACAGCCGGGACCGCCGCTCCAAGGAACACTTTTGAAGCGCGATCATTCAGGTTGCCGGAACCAGCACCTGCGGCTGCTGTGCAAGAGCCACTGAAGGGCCATGCGGCCGACTGAGGAAGCAAGGCAGGAATCTATATCGATAGAACTCTTCGGCCGAGGACGATCTGAACGTCTTTTTCCGAGCATTGGATCTGGCAATTCAAGAACGCCAACAATTGCAGCTCAAGAGGAAGAGGGTGGAGGGGGAGTCACAGCCTTTGCGGCCCCCCAGCCAACCTGCCGGACAAGGTCAGGTCTTACGCGCAGGCCGAGGCTGGTACGACCTGGATGAGGGGACCAGTCGCTTCCGGGAGGTCCTGAAAGGACCTATCGTGTTCTGCGACTATCATCAGTGCTGGAATAGGCACCGGGACACAGACGTTCAACAAGGATTGCAATTGGAAACAGCCGCGCTGCTTGATTTGAAGCATCATTGCCCTGACGGGACAGGATCTCCTCAGAATCAACACGCAGGAATCTGGTCGACGTTTTCGGCAATCTTTACAACTGAGCGTCCTGCTGGCAGAGTTGGAAAGATAGTGACCATCAAAAGCCTGAAGATTCCTTTGCACGAGCGCTTTATCATTGACGACAGTTGTGAAGTCATTGAAGAGGCAATTGCAGCCGGAATCACTTGCGCGCACGTGAAGTTGCAGCGCAAGCCCAAGCCATCTGTAGGGGGCGACAATCATCACATTGTCGGTTGGTTGGGGCTGAACAAAGATTGAGTTCGCACAGAGAGTGAAAAGGAGCGATGGCGGATTGAGAAGCACGTAGTAGGTCGCATTCGGACATTGATAGGGATCCTGATGAAACCCCTGTTCGAAGCCACCAACCTGTTGTGAATGCATCCCAAGGGGTAGTTGCCCAGCAGCACACCTCTCCGACAGAACCAATTCCCATTCAAATGACATCATCTAGCAATAATCCACCAATGGAGCCAAGAAAAAATTGCACCTATCCTTGGAGAGGGCAGATCACCGAGTTGAGGCTAATCAGACCATGCAGAGTTCCGTGTATAGTCAACAGCAGCAAAATGCCGTGTACTATCAACAACAGCAAAATGTGTCATGTGACCCAAATGTCTTGTAATGAAGTAGATCGTGTGAGGGCTCAAGCCACGAGATCTACCATCAAGCCCAAACTGCCGTTGCCAACCATTTTTAAAGGGTCATGGAGACTCCAGGTATACCCTTTACATACCCCTATGGGGCTGCAGGCCGTTTCCCTCAGGCTTTCCCACACCGAACCCTAAGAAAGTCTCGGATGGCTCGAGGCGATGGGTACCTCACTGTGGACCTCTGGAGGCCCACGAGCCACATCAGGACCCGAGGAGTCGACTTTTTTTTCCGGTCTCAGGGGCTCAGGCTGGGATCGATCAGGGGGTTGATCCAACCACTTCTGAGACACTTTTGGGAATATCCCTTTATATGGGGGGTTGAACGTTGGGGTTAGGCCCTTCTTGTATCACAGAAGTGGTCATTCCCCACAGCCCTGCAGGGGCTGGACGGAAAATGCAGGCATGGCAAGAGAAGCCATGCCTTCCTGGATCATAGTGGGACAAAGCGATCAAAAAACTGGCCAGGTTCATTTCAAAGAGATTTCCAGGGGTCGCTGAGGTCACACTCCAAAAGTCGCTCAAATTTCGGGCCACGCATTGGAGTCCGCGAAAGATGGGACAGGTCAATTGGTGCCCCAATCTTGCGGGTTTGCCCTGCCATGATAGCTAAGATGGTAGCCCATGTGTTGTCGGAAGGTACAGGGCATTTTGAAAGCTCTGCTGCCTGACTCGAAGTTTTTTCATGGACACTGGCCGGCTGGACCCTGCCACACTTTGCACAACAGCCAGAACAAAATAATCGACCCTGTACAGTGGCCCCCTTTTTCCCCTTTTTTGTTGGTGCCTGCCCCACTAAAATGGTCTTCCCAAAAAAGGGTTCCCTTTTTTTCCAGGGTCACTGAACAACTGAGAAAATCATCGGCCCTGTACAGTTAGTTCCTTGATTGATTCGGTGGAAAGGCCACTGCCTTTAGTAGGTTTCCTTGGGTGATGCCAGCTCTTGAGTGCCACACCTCCACAAAGTTCCCAGCCATCCCCTTAGCCGCTTAGCTTTTTAGATCCTTTTAGGTTTTTTTGTGTGGTTTAGTGGGGAGTTCCATTTAACCCACGAAAAGTTAAACCTTTAGCGGGGGAACTGCGGACAGCCCAGAAAGGTTTGAGTGTTTGGGCCCCAAAGACTTGGGTTTTTGCTTCCCGCCAGTTTTTGGGCTCCTCTCGCAAAATGGGGCTTGGGTTTGAAGCTTCTCCCAAACACCTCGGAAGGGGGGGTGTTTTAAAGTGGGGATCTGCCTTTTTCTATAGCCCGATTTCGGGTTGCTTAGGGAAACCAACACAAAGGTGTTCAGGGGACAAAGGTGCATGTGGTTAAGGTCCTGCAGAAAGGTTTTCGCGTTTGGGCATAGGATCAGATTGACCTTTGGTGGTTCGGATTGGGGATTTCATCCCCTGGATGTAGAGGGTGAATAGGAAACCACCCCCTCTTAATCACATGCTTCTTGAAATGGTCCGCCAGAGGTTGATAGGGAGTCTCACAAAGAAGAAGCAGCACACGGGGTCTTGTTTTTCTAGGAATCGGATCCCTCCCCCCAAATTGGTGGTTTCCTTTTGGTTTCGCTGGAAACCAACAAACAAAAGGACTGAGCCTCAAGAAAGAAAGATCCACATACCCTTTTCACACCGGGTATAGAGGGGATATATACCCTCCCGCCCTTTTCACATGGAACCGTTCGACATTCGAAACCCGGTCCCTTTAAAAGGACAATGGTCCAAACCCGGATGCCCCGAACTTCGTCAGGTTCCGGCTGTGAACAGAATTGGTGGGAGGGTATAAATCCACAGGATTCAGAAGATGCTAGGCTCAGCCCAAGCAGCCGTAGGAGTGGTCCGACTGGCTGTGGCAGTCAAAGGCGGGGATCAACGACCTCCAAGGGCTAGGCTCTTGTCTCACTCCTTGGTGGCTCCCAGCCATCCGGTTCCTTAGCTTTTTAGATCCTTTTAGTGTTTAGTGGTAGTTTCCATTTAACCCACTAAAAGTGAATCTTTCAGCGGGGGATCTGAGGGCAGCCCGGACTCGAGATCAAAGTTTCGGACTTGAGTCTCTGTGTGGGTACCCCCTTTCCAGTAATCATCTAGGTCCCCCAGTACTGCCCTTTTACCCTTTTTTGGTTGGGAGGCTTACAGCAAAAAGGGTACCCTTCTTCCAACCTCTCTACCGGCGGACCTAGTCATGGAAGTGGACGTGGGGCTTCCCCAAAAGGAAAGTAGTCTTCCCAAGCCCTTCCTGTCAGCTTCCCTGCTTGTTGAAAGGAGGGTACCTGGAGTCTCCATGACCTTTTAAAAATAGGTCCATGACCCCTTTATTTTGGGTCATGACCCCATTTTTAAGGGGTCATGGAGACTCCAGGTAGAGCATGCGTGATTCGTTGGAGTGGATGTACAGCCACTCCTTCCGTTTCAGTTCTGACGAGTGCACATCACTCAGACACTGACCTCGTTTACGTTATAGATAATTGGGTAGAACATTTCGTGGTAAAGAGCTAAGTTTTTGGCGTTTCTTTTTCTGACCAACCCACTCGATGAATGGAGTCATTGAGGGTTTGCAGACTTTTGACCCAAACGTCGATCAGCGATGGCGATGAACCACGGAACATGCGAAGCTAGAAGAGTTGCGTGTCGCTTCAAATTGCCAGATATCGGTTCGGTTGGATGGAGCACTTCAGACAGCTGTTCTAGGGGTTACTTCCACATTCTGTTTCTGTTCTTTCTTTTTTTCGGAGAAGCGCCCAAACAAACAGCTGGCGGTTGTAAAGAACGATGGTGGACGAGAATGTGGAATCAACGCCTAGAGCTGCAAGCTACAGGGCTTTCTGCCTGACCGCATGACAACTAAGAAACATATGAGCTGACACTACAGTCAGTCAGTCAGTCAGTCAATCGGTCAGTCAGTCAATCGGTCAGTCAGTCAGTCAGTCAGTCAGTCAGTCAGTCAGTCAGTCAGTCAGTCAGTCAGTCAGTCAGTCAGTCCGTCGGTCATTCAGTCAGTCAGTTAGTCCGTCGGTCAGTCGGTCGGTCAGTCAGTCGGTCGGTCAGTCAGTCAGTCAGTCCGTCGGTCATTCAGTCAGTCGGTCGGTCAGTCAGTCGGCTCAGTCAGTCAGTCAGTCCGTCGGTCATTCAGTCAGTCAGTCAGTCCGTCGGTCCGTCGGTCGGTCAGTCAGTCGGTCGGTCAGTCAGTCAGTCATTCAGTGAGTTGGTCGGACTTCCTCTTCGGGAAATGGGCCTCGCTTGTTGGTGTAGAAACAGTCTTGGAGTGGGTGCCTGTGTTTCTGCCAGGGAAGCCGTCAGAGGGCAAACCTGGTTCCGCAGCCCTTGGAGCAAGTGAGTGGAGCCGCGCAAAAACATGACAAACTCTCTTCCGGGCCTGACCAGTCACTTCCATTTGCGTTTTTTGGAACACAGAAAAACAACAAACAACAAACAACTTGGAGATTCAAACACCCAGAAATTTCTGGGCGTTTTGGGTAATGGGTACGATTGGAGGAAAACTGGGGGTTCTAGTACGAACCGCTGGAAAACTAGTACGAAGGCCGGCGTCTAACGTGCTGCTGGCCGTTTGGGAGGATATTTGAGCCAACAAGATCTGACCTCATATCAATATAGTTTCCTTTCTCGGTGCTTGCATTTCCCGTTGCAAGCATGACCCTACATCGGTGCCCAATCAGGGCATGCTTTTGAGCGGGCAACCCCAATTGACCCACTTTTTGGGATTTGCGCTCGTTTGCGGGTTTTTGCGGGCGTTTTGCGGGTTTTTGCGCTCGTTTTGCGGCCAAGAGTGGTACGAACAAAGTGCGTTTCTCACTCGAAGCATGTTTAGACTAAACTTGCTCCGATTTGCGCACCACTCCCCCGCACAGCTAGGATTGAAGGGTGTTGATGGAGGGAAGGATTCGAAGTGTTTAGAAGATTCTGAAGATTCGAACATCTGGCAAGCTGAATGAGAGAGAAAGCCCTGTGCAAGAAGGAAACACCCAATAATTCAAATTTCTAGGCGTCTTAGTCGTTTTGCGGTAAAACCGATACGAAACAGGCAAAAGCAATACAATGACCAAAACACCTACTTTTTTCTAGTCGTTTGAAGCTGCAGGAACAACAAAATAGTGTTTTCCTTTTTGGGTTTAGAGGGACTCTATGACTACTGGATGTTGTTTCAGTTTTTGCCTGGGTGTGAATGTTCACGGACATTGTTTAGCTTCGGATTCATGGCCCCCAACGACTTTGGAGGTTTCTTATGTTGCTGCTTTGGTAGCTAGGTCCCCCAGCTAGGTGCCAACTTTTACCCTTTGTTTTTGGTTGGGAGGGTTCCCCTACTGAAATAGACGACAGAAAACAAGTGGGTACCTTATTCTATCCTCTCTACTGGAGGACCTAGGTATACAATCATGCTAAAGATTAGGCGGGTGGTTACAATGTGCTCGGAGTCCACCTGGTAGAAGGCAACGGTTCAGCAACCGAACTGCAGTGATTAAACTCACTTGCCCAAAGCGCATCGACATTTTGACCGTGTTTTTTTTCTTCTTCAAATGTTGGTCCATCTTTAGCCACCCGAAAGGTTCATCGTTTGTTTCTGGGTCCTTGGGGAGCTTCTGAAGCGCTCTAATTGGCGGCATGACGTTTCAACGGGACATCCTAGCCCTGCTCAGGCGGTCGCCTACTGAGGAGTCTTTTGGTCGCCTACCGAGCAAAAAGAAGCGATCCGCTAGTTGCATTGGAGGTGACTGGAAGCTTGGAAAATTATGAAGGGGGGGACCATAAATTCTGACCCCAGATCTAAGTAGAGCCCACCCCTCCAAAGACTCACCACCCCCCCCCCCCCCTAAACTGAACCCATCTTACTAGGGGGGACCCCGTACCCCTCCAAAGTGGTCGGGACCCCCACTCCCCCCCCCGCAATTTTGCGCTGGGGTTTCCGGCGGACCCGAGATGACTTCTCGGCGGTTCTCGGGTGCTCAGCGCAATGGATTTTCTGGAGGGGGTCAAAATCTAACACGGCGGTGCTTTGTTTGTGTGTGCCTTTTTTTTTTTTCTTCTTCTTCTCTGTTTTTTACAAAATGATATCCGAATTTGTGGTTTTCTTTTTTGGTTTCCCTTGAGAATCAAAAACAGGGGGGTACCCTCAATAAAGACACCCCTGCCATCTGAAGTCTAGTGGGAACATTTGAGATTCCCCCCTCCCACCATTTCTTCCCGTGACATTTTTTAGGGAATCGTGGCGACATCCTCACGGCAGGAGTCCTAGCACAGATAGGGGCCCTTGTTTTGCAACCATGGCTGAGAAGGTTTGGCAAGCATCCTGCATTTGAGACAAAGGTACCTGCACAACCCCCATGAAAAGATGGGTTGATCCAATATGGATGATACATTTCCGTAGGTAAACAATGGTAAATGGTAGTTAGAACCTTTGGGCCTGTATGCCCCTGTTTAGCTAGTCTAAACGTCACTTCGTCGAATGGGGGCATCCTTGTTTTGAGTAGACCCCCTGCAATACCAAGTTTTTGAATCTGCGTCAGGGTTCGAAATTCTCAGGTGCCTTCTGGCGTTTTCTTCTACCCGAAAGGTACGCACGGGGTTTATCCGTAACCAACACGAAGCATCAGCATTGCATGTCCAATCTTTTCTCCGGATTCAACAAGCAGCAAAGCCACATGGCGGGTGGGACACGATTCAGAGAGAGACCTGGGCTGTCGTTCCTTCTGCTTCAGAGGGGTACCCTTTGCTCTCCCTAAGTACTTGGTTACTTCTGGGTTTGACCCTTAACCTCAAGCTCGAGAACGAGCTGCTTCCTTTTTGGCAGGCCGGTCTTGAATCCAGACTTGGCGCCAAAGACCCGCCCGGAGGCTCATATCCGTAGAAACCGGCCGGAGCCCGAAAGGCCTTTCGCGGCCTTTCGCGTTTCTTGGGGCGAGGCGTGCCGACCGGAAGTCGAAACTTGAGGGGTTTGGAGATGCTGGGTTGGGTGACTTTCCAGGCATGTAAGGAATGGGCAGGGGCACTTGACTCTTTGGGGCTGGGTAGTGATGATGCGCTTCTGATGCTGTGGATGCTGGACTTGGTTGTGATGTTGGCTCGGTTCCAAGGTGCGGACCTGGCCCGTTCTTGTTTGGAGGCTCAACCTCGCTTGTGGTTGGAGCTTTTGGGTTCAACCTTTTGGTTTCCCGTGTTTGCTCAGTATTCAAGGCCCCAAATTGACCTTTTGAGTCCAGCTCCCTTGAGGAAGTACCAACAAATAGCCAAAGAAACAAAATAACAACCACAAACAAAAAAAAACATATACCAAAAGTGCCATCAGGTCCTTTAGAACGTCTCTTTCAATTCAATTGCCAAAAAAGAAAATGGCCTGCTGGAACACCGGTGGAGCCCTCGCGGCATCCACGTAGGTCATTTTCGGACTGGCTGGTCTTTGCTCGGAGGCATGTGGGTGTCTTGTTTTGCGTGCACCCCTTTTTGAGTGGCTTTGAAGGGAAGCCAATGGAACACCAAAAACAGTTTGGCGGGTCCCCCAACAAAAAGGACCTACCCATGTTGATCTGATAGATCTCAACAAAGGGGATTTGCCATTGAAGCCACAGCAGGTGAGGAAAAAACAGACGTGGCTTTGGGGACCAACGAGTTACTTGGACGATTTCACATAGCTTATCTAGGTCCCACAGCTAGGTGCCCTTTTTAACCCCTTTGTTTACCATTTCTTTTTTGGGGGAGGGTTCCCCGTGTCTAAAATAGACTACAGAAAAAATGGTACCCTTATTCTAACCTCTCTACTGGAGGACCTAGTTATAATTAACCACCAGGAGCCAACAACCAGGAAGTGTTTGTGTCGGCTTTTCAGTTGAAAACCCACATTTCGTGTTGGGGGGCAGAAAACCCGAATATGTCCAAGAGGGGCGGAGAACATGGAATCTGCAAAAAGAGGGATTTGGGGTTCCCATGGTATTGTAACTATAGGGTAATTAGTAATTGGGATTAATGTTTTATGAACTGTTTTCATACCCTGGGGGCATTTTTTATCGCGCTCGCCCATGCTGAAGGTCCTTTTACTAGGGAGCTCCCTTGTTTTCAGCTTGGGAACTAAGTTTGCCAGGCGACCAATTGGCCGCTCTGATGGCGCCAGCGCTGACCATCTCCGGGGCGACGGGCATTAACGAGCTGACGCTTGTTTGCAGAGATGTTGGTAACCTAAGTTAAAGCCCACTTGTAAGTCCCCAAAATCTTTGGGATCCAGCTTGTTTTTGGGGGGTTATAACCCAAGTGGCGACCACCACCTGCTAACTTGGCCGAACATCTAAGTATCACAGCGGTAGCAATTCCCACAAACCCGTAATTTGCATTTCCTCCAGCTGGTGGTTTCTGGATTTTCTGTTTTGCTTGGTGTTCGTGTTTGTTGTTCTTTGCCGGTGTTCTTTGTTGGTGTCCTTGTTTCCCATGCTATACTTGCATTTGCGAAAGAACACGTGGTTATTTTGACCTGTTGCTTTCAAGGGAATCTATCACTACTACACATATGTTTCATTTGGCCCAGGGACGCGCACGCAAATGGGGGTAATAGTTGCATTTGTTGGTTCCCCCGTGATCAAGAGTGTGACCGAATCTCTCCAAAACGACGCTTTGGCAACATCTAGCCAAATCAAAGGCTGATTGTATAGGTCCACATATGAACCCATGGCCATTTGGGACCCTACAAGGGGGCTGATTTCATAGTTAAGCCACAACGAGCGGTTAGTTAACCCATAAACTAGTGGTTGATACCAGGGTTCATGTACATTCAGCCGTTGTTGAAAAGGGAAGCTTTGGAAGCAGATTCGGCTTGTGCATTAAATAGACCACGACGTGTCCAGCGAGTGTTGACTTCGAAGCGAGCTTGAAGTTTGACTCCCATCACGCTGTCAATCCTTGGGCCTTCTCGGAGGCGCGTGTGCAGGAGCTGGAGCTGTTGAACGCTGGTGGCAGGGGCCAAATTGGAGAGACAATTGTGAGCGCTGAAGTTGGCAGGGCCAGCTACTTGAAGCAATTTTCGGGGATGTGTTTTTGGGCTTTGTCCAAGTGCTCCGCGCAAAGATCAGCGCCTTTGGGCAGAAGAATCGGACACCGCCTCCATCGAGCCCTGGCAGCACAAGATGGAACAAGTGACAACCCCTACCGAGCTTGCTCAGCTTCATGCCCACGAGTTCCAGGACACGTTTGGGCAAAGCCAGTTCTCCGGCTGCTGCCAGAATGCGTGCTGCGGTTTGCTGGCAGATGGGCCTCTAGAATCGCGGGGCAATGCGCAACACCAAATGTTAAAGCATTTCAACATTTCCAGGTCCATTTGTACCCAAGCCTACACTACCTACCTTCCATAAATCATGGCCTGCTCGTGCAGGGGTTTGGAGCAGGCCAGGTAGCCTTGATTTTGGTTTTACCTGTGTGTTTCCTTACCTGCAGGGGTAAATGGAATCAACGGGGTACTCACTCCCCAAGATCCTGCGCTTTAAACTGTTTGGGAAGGCCATCTTCGTCGCAAATAGACAGTTAAACAGTTGGTTTTCCGCCAAACCATTCAGGAAGTGAGGACAAGTAGATGTCACAAGTCTTGAAGTGAGGTCAAGGGGGAATCTTGCCCGAGCAGCTCGAAGCTCTGTGGTTGGGTCAGCTTTGAGGGAAGGTTCCGGAGTTCCAGAGGGAGTTCCGGGGCTGTTTTGGTTCTTCTTTTTTTCCTTCCTTTTTTTTTGTGCCCCCTTTTGGTTATTTTACAGGGAAACCCATTACTAAAAACCAACCCGTTATATAAAAAAGCCAACCCTTCTTTCCTTCTCCTTGCCCGCCTTCAAGACGTCGCCCGGACGATCCGATCTGATCGATGAGGATCAATGGCACCTACGAGCCCATGGAGATCGCGCACCACGAGAAGCGCGGGGGGTTTTCTGTGGCCATGGGGCATAACCGATGGCTCCATATTGGGGTGGATTAAAAAATCCGATACCAAAATGGAACCCTGGTAAGTGGAAACATGGACCAAAACCTGCGTAACCCCTCCTGTTAAATTTTGAGCCACACCCATATTGGGGTGGATGAACCTCCATTTGCCACCTATTTTGATGTTCACCAGGGGTACAGGGTTTTGACCCACAGCCATATGGTTTTGGGGGGAGCATCGTTCCTGTTTCGGGTGTTTTGCAAGGGACACTCAAGGAAAACCGACATGTTTTGCGGGGTCCGCTATTTTGACACACACACACACACACAGACAGTATTACAGCCCAAGTGGCCGTTTTCGTTAATGGTTCTACTTGGCTTACTGGGGATGCTTGGTCTAGATATATGTGTGCTTCCCTTTGAAACCTCCCCTTGGGGGGACAAATAACTTCTGGGTGGCAAACCCAGCCATCCAGTTCCTCTAGTTGTTGGTTGTTTTAAGTTGGTTTAGTGGGGTTCCATTGAACCCACAAAAAGTTAAACTTTCAGCAGGGATTTTGAAAAGAGACAGCCCTGTTCAATTCTTGTCATGACTCAGTTTGGTTCAGGCCAATTTAAAAAAGTTTGGTCAACCATGTCGGCCCGCATAGTACCCATTGTGCTGATTTGGCAACATTGGCCTTTGTGCTGATGATACATTGCAGCAGTTATGCCAAGGCCCAAGATGTTTGGACTTTGTTTGGCTAGGAGCGTCAACTCAGCTAGGTACGAAAAGACAGAATGCCGGACATGTGTATTATTGTATTTTTCCACCTGAAAAGTAGGTTTCTATGCCGGACATGTGCATTCTTGCGTTGTCCGCCTGAAAAGTCACAATAGTAGGTTTCTACAGTCACGTATACATTTGTTTTAACATGATGAACTGCATTTCGTACTTGGGACCATGCTGATTCGTTTTTCCGTGGTGCAATCCTTACTTGCAACCAAAGAGAATTGACCTCTTGAGCTTTTAGTATTCCCCTTTTTGGCCCATGTTTAATCCCCTGATATTGGGTGGGTGGTGGGGGGCCCCTGGCCCTGGAATTCCATTTATGGTCCCATTTTTATGGCAAAGACTAGAACAAATGGAATTGAGGCACCTTGAGCCCCCCCCCGTCTATCAGTGGGGATCGTTTTAGTCATGGCAGCAGCATTTTGCTTCGTCCGAACGCCGAACATCCTGAGCGGGAAAGAGTTTTCATACCCACTCCTGAAAGGACCCATCAATAACTGTTGGAGGGTTATTGGCCCAGTTTCCCCATGGATTCCGCATTCTTTGTTCAACTTGTTTTGGGCAGGGTTCCCCTTTGAGCTTAACCAACACAAAAAGGATGCCCCTCATTTCCCATGGCCACTCATCTGAGTTGATCAGGGATCAGCATTACAAGCAAATTTAATATGAGGGAAAAACACATAATTAGAATGCGGTTGCACGTGGGGTACCTTAAGTCCACATTTAGTCAGGGATATAGGGGTAAACTGTCAGCAATTGTGTTGCGGATGTTCAAGCCACTTAGTACATGGTGTGTAGCTGGGGCAACTGAGGAGAGTTTTCAAAGCCGCAGTAAATCGGGGCTGCTTGCCTGACGGGAATCGAACACTCAACTTCCGTTTGGTTAAGAACATTTTTATTTTATTTTCCCCCTGTTGATTTTAAAGGGAATCTATCACTACTGGAAATTTACATTTGCCCATTTGAAACATGGCCTTTTCCACCAAAATACAGGGACGCCACAAATTTCAAGGCAATGTTCAGGTGTAATTATAGTGTAAGGATTTCTGCCAAGTGTATGATTTTGATTCGTATGATCGTCCCTGCGGGCAAAGGGCACAGTAGATCCTTTCACTTCCATGCCGCTTTGGATCCTCAAGGTCTTTCCCTTCACGATCCAGTCCAGAGATTTCTGGTGTAAACCGAAAAGTCTGTTCTGGGGAAAAAGAACACCCACCTATATTTCCCCCGTTTTTTTTTTTTTACATAACGGCTAAAACAAGAGGCGAGTTTCCTCGGCTCATGTTCCAACCGCACGTGCTCCAGCACTCGACTCCGGCGGTCTCCGCGAGGCCCTGCTGGGTCTCCCGCAAGGAGCAGCCGCTGTATCTCTTCCACGTGAGCCAGGACAACAGGCGCTTCGCCGAATTCCCGCGCAAAGCGGCGGCGAATTTTTGCGCTTAGGCTCGAGTTGTTCCGTGTAACCCGAGCCTTTAGCGAAGGGGCTGCTCTCAAAAGATACAAACAAGTGCCCTAGGGTTCCTTGCCCCCATTGAAAAGAATGGCCCAAGGAAACCCAATTTGGTTTCCGTCTGCTACGGTCCCTTGAGGGGCATGGTAGCTAGGTTGTATGGGTGGGTACCTGTTGAGTTGCCAAAATGTGGCACAAACGGGCTGCTCTCAAAAGATACAACACTTTGCCCTCGGGTTCGTTCAAAGAATGGCCCAAGGGGACCCAATTTGGAGGATGAAACTCGGGCAAAGGATGGTGGTTCCATAAAAAACCCCATTGTTTTAGTGGTGGTTGGAAACTTAGGGTTTGGGAGTTAATGTTGACCCAGCTCAATCAACTGACATGGGGTGTTTTTGGGTTTAGTGGGGAACTATTACTTGAGGGGAACACCCCCCAAATCCTAGGATGGGTTTGTTAATCCGGGGTCAACATTCAGATTCCTGGCCTCCAAATTCACCACACGAAAGTTCTCTCATCTAGTGGGAAATATCATTTTTGATGGTGTTCATGTTCCCCAATAGTCATCTCATGATTTGATCGACCCGCATTGGGGCCAGTGAAGTAAATCACCCAAATACTAGCTGATGCCAGTGATTCTCGAGTGCCCCCACTTCTTCCCCATGCACCCGACCCATCCAGGGAACCGCGCCCAAGCGCGCCCAACCCGCCATCCATGCCCTTGGCTTCGAAACGCCAACTCAAAGTACCAGAAGACAACACACCACACATGACTTCCCCAGAGTTAGCTCCCCTTTTTGCTTTTTTTTGGTTTTTCGGGTTTTTTCTTTGTTTTCCACTAACCAGGCAAAAAATAGATTGTTGTTGCTGGGGTCCTGATTCCATCCAAGATGACACCATGCCCGTGTTCGCCGACGATGCGCCATGCGACTCGCGTTGCCAATCGCGCGAAACCTTGGGGAGCGATCGCGTGGGATCCTGGGCACGACTCAGACCCCTTGGTGACCCCTGAAGATCCCTGAAGCCAGGGCTGAAGAAAGGTACTGAGGATGGTTGCAAAATCCGTTTTTCGCACCACCGCCTAAGAAACCCTGGAATGATGTGACCAACGGAAAAATACCAACAAACGTTCTGGTTTCAAGCATGGTGTCTTGGGTGGTGCAGGATTCTGTCCATCCACAGTATTTGGGGTTACCCTGGGCTCCAGGGATGGCCAGTTTGCCCCCCAGTTCGCCTGCTTAGGGGTCCATGACACACGAATCTATGGCTGTCTTTCGAACTCGAGTCAGTGCCAGACATCGGCGTGGATCTCCGCGCTAGGTCTTCCAGTAGTGCTCTTTTACTCTTTTCTTGGGGAGGGTTCCCCTGACTCAGTTGTTCAGTGGCCCCCTTTTTCCCTTTTTTTTTGGTGGCTGCTCACTAAAATGGTCTTCCCAAAAAAGGGTTCCCTTTTTTTCCAGGGTCCCTGAACAACTGAGCTGACTACAGAAAAAATGGCGCCCTTATTCTAACCTCTTTACTGGAGGACCTAGCGCCTTGTAATTTCCGTAGACGTGGAATTTGGGTAGACCATTTTAATACCAGGTCTTGATTGTGACTCATACGTGTTCCGCAATCATGGCCTTTGGGCCAAACACAAGTCAAGCACACTGCCCCTCAGCAGCCCTTTGCTTCGTTTCGAGTCTAGCTATGAACTATATTGTTCGCGGCTAATGTTCTTGCACAGGGTTGTGGGATCACTCGGGGTGCATCCCCACGTCATGTGATACTTTTCGCAATCCCCCCCTAATGGGAGGTTGAGCGTCTTTGGGAAGCCCGTTTTGGTTGCAACACCTAGGTCCCCCAGTAGTGCCCTTTTACCCTTTTTTTGGGGAGGGTTCCCCCACCAAAATAGCCTACACCAAAACTCTACTGGAGGACCTACGGGTTTCCTTTGACCAGTAGGGTCCTCCGGATTAATCGGAAGTAATCATAAAGGCCTGAATCCGGAATTACCATGGACCATGTTAGTACTGTGGATGGACGAAATCCTGCACCACCCAAGATACCATGGGAAACCATTGTTTATCGGCATTTGCAGGGGAAGCATCAATCCAGGGTTTCTTGAGTGGTGCAGGATTTCGTCCATCCACAGTATCACTTCCCGAGTTTCTGCACTTGATACTTTTTCAGAGGACAATTTTAGTGATAGACAAAAGTTTAGACTTTTGCGGGGGCGGGAAGAGAGCGTAGTAGAGCTAAGTGGGTTTCGGGCGCTCAGATGTTGACGAGTGCAACTCTTTTCCCTGATCAGGTGGGTGATTAGCCGCCGCCTCAGCGGGAACGACGTTGGGGGCACAGGGGAAAGAGAGAGCTCCGCCATGTCTTGGGTATGGTCAAAATCAAACCACAAGGGGACCGCAGGTTTTAGTCCATGCTTCCATTTACCAGGGTTCCATTTTGGGCACCTATTTTTGACCCACAGCCTTTTCTTGAGGTCAGTTAGTGGGAAACAGATGGCTCTGTTCGCAATTTGGTTCCAATCACCTTCTGCCATTTATTTGTCTAGACACCTAGGAGTAGGTTCCTTTGATGTATCCACTGTTTCAGGTTCAGTCTCTAAGAAGCTTGAAAGCAGAGTAAGGGTCATCATGCTCGAGGGTTTATGCCGCCCAGAAATCAAAACACCGAGTTTCGGGTGCCAGGAAGGGCTCCTGTTTCTCCCAACTCAAAATCATTGAAAAATCCGCAGTGACACCCTTTCCAACAGTGACTAGGTGCCCCAGCTAGGTGCCAACTTTTACCCCCTTTTTTGGTTGGGAGATTCGGTTCCCCTACTAAAATAGACAAAGCAGACAAAGGTTGGTACCCTTGTTCCCTTTCACCAACTTTTTTGGGGAGGGTTCCCCTACTAAAATAGACTACAGACAAAAAGTTGGTACCCTTGTTCTATCCTCAAACTACTGGAGCACCTAGTCAAAATGATCGAAGCCCTCGAAGTGCGATCACAAAATTGGGTTCGCGGCCGAGCAGCGGCCGGCGTCTTTTTGGCTGCGGTTTGCAACTTGTGATGTTGGCATATATATATATATACTAGAGTAAGGGCCATTTTCAATATACTAGGGTTTAGACTTCCTGAAATCTTAGATGGTTCCGCCCCCGAACCACTACCCCCCCAGAGGATTTCACTGGACATGCCCACAATAATTAGCCACTACATAAAGGGTATATAAGCCGTTTTTATTCTCTGGGGGGAATGGTTTGGGGGCAGTTGACATCATCTTAGACTAAAGGGGTACCAGAGTCATTTGTTGATTGCCTCAAGGTAGCCGTACAAAGCTTGCCCTTTTGAGGAAATCAACGATTGGTGTTTTTCCTTTGGTTCCTGCTCAAACAACACAAACAACAGGCCGCCCTCCTAAAACATACAGCCTCTGATTGGTTGTCATATGGTTTTACTTTATTTTCTTTTGGCGTCCTTTTCAAACAATCTCACAAAATGGTAACCGCAAGAAACCACCTATGTGTTGTTTTGACTAATGATGACTGGCCAACGCAAGTATGTTAAATGGGTTTGGCATGAAAACAAGACGGTCCACCTGATTGAGGCAAGTCCATTGACGACGGCGCTCACTGCTGGGCCTACCTCCTGGTCAAAGAGGGAGGCAAGGGCGGATTTCGGGCTGGGATGATTACTTGAGCGTTGATTTCAACCTGGAGTCTCCATGACCCTTTAAAAATGGTTGGTCATTACCCAAAATAAAGGGGTCATGGACCCATTTTTACAGGGTCATGCAGACTCCAGGAATGGACCCATTGGACTGGACGTATTTTTTGGGAAGACCGTTTTCCAGTGGTCGGTTAAGGGGATAGATTGGTTGACTCTTACCCCCAGAAACAGAGCCGACATGGTGTCGGCATATGATTCGTAGATCCAACCTCCGGGATTTTCCAACACCTGGTCGACCTTGGGGGGGGAGGGGCTGGTTTGCGACTCAGGCTCCCGAAATCCATGAGTCCACCTGGAGTCTCATTCCGACCCTTTAAAAATGGGTCCATGAGCCCTTCTTTTGGGAAATGGCCAACCATTTTTAAAGGGTCAGAAGGTGCAAACAATGCGACTGTTTTTCCCTCGCCAGGCGCGGATCCCGCCGCCTGCAGCGGCGACTGGGTGGCCTGGAATGAGGATTTGTGTGGTTCGACCGGATGGGGGGGGGGACCACTTTTGTGGTGTCCTGAGGTGTTTTGTTCGGGGTTCATATTTTTGGTTTAGGCGTGTTTCTTTGGGGAGCACCTGACCGTCAAACTAGCCCTCAAATGAGTTGTTGCCCCAAAACTACGGGAATTCTTAATTATTTGTTTTATTTGCCCTGTTGGTCTTAAAGGGAATCGATTCACTACTGAACTTCTTCTTTTTTCAGGGGCTTCTCGGCACATGGAGGAAATGGGCGGCTTGTCTTTACTTGAAGGGTACCCTTTTTGGGGTTGGTTTATAAAGGGAAACCAAAAGGACACCCACCCTGGACTTTTGTCACTTTTCGGGGTTGGTGCCTGCGGTTTACGCCGCGGTTTCTCTCGAGGAGCACCGTTGGGCGCCCTTGCCGGTGAAGTGCAGCTCAGCCTGGGCCTCGACGACTCGATGACTCGATGACTCGATGATCGACGCGCTGATCGGCAGCTTCTCAGCCCTTCCCCTCAAAGTGACATCCTGAAAACCTTCCAAAACAAGCAGTTGTTGATCAAAATTCAAGTTTTCAAAATTTCAAAAATCTTCATTGTTTTGTTGAAAATGACATCCGCATGATAAGGGAAACCACCTGGACCCAAAAGTCATGTTGACCCCCACGTTTTACCTTTCGTTTCGGGGGCACGGGAACCAAGGGCTCGGATCCCACCCTGAAAAAAGAACAACAGGCTATAGCCGGTCTTCACTGTTGCCATTTTTTCCGGGTTCTCTTCGTTTTGTGCGGGCAGTGGAGAAATACCTACATGGTAATGTTGACCCAGGATTAATAAACTCCCAGTATTAGGGGGGTGTTCCCTCCAAAAGTGGTCTGAATCCCCACCAAAAGGAATTGGCCCCTGATCAAAATCAACCAGGGGTTCTGCTTATTCCGGGGTTAACATTAGCTAACTAAACCTCCCTGTAGCTGAAAGGACCACGGCTGGTGCCGGGGATCCGTTGGGCCTTGGTAAATCTTGCAGGCTGCCTGGTTCGTCTGTTGATATTCTGAGAGTTTCCAAATGGCCATGGGCTTTTCAAAAGCCAAAAAGCCAAACAGCCCGCCCAGTGAACATCCGATTCAATCCAACCACTAAAATGGGTTCTACAAATGGGTGGTAAATTTCACCTAGCCCAACATGGTGTCCCAAAACGGCTTTGACCCACGGCCAAATGTCAAAGTCAGGCATTTTGGGTCACCATGGTACCCCTTGCGTGGCCATGTGGAGATCCTCATGATTTGGAGCTTTGGATCTGGAGTTGAACCGCTGGCTCTTGGAAATGGGAAGCCACCATCCAAACCACCATATAGAGAGAAGCTGAGTTGGCACCGGAAGAGCTATAGGTGGAGAATCCAAACAAAAGCTCAGCTGCCCAAAGCCGACTTTTGGACCTTTTGGATTCCGCGTTGTGGCCCAGTTTGAAGCCATGCACCTACAAGGTTAGCCTGTAAGGTCTTTTGGGCAACAGCGGCATATATTGGTGTGTCTTTTTGTTTGATTTCCCTCCGGCAAGTGAGACAAGAAGCGATGAAGCAGGGTGATGTGTTTTCGGAACCCAAGTTGAAATATTCGAAGCGGGGTTTTGGGCACTCAACCGAAACTTACACGGTCGTCACGAGAGATTCTGTACGGATTTTGTGGATTGCACTTGAACATTAAGAGGTGCCCTGGCGAACTGAAACACGCTTAAGCCTGCGTTGCAATCTCAAAAAATGAGGCATGGAGCCGGCAGCAAAAAGGGGGCCTCCCCTCGTTTGTTGACAAAAGGCATACAACATTCCAGCCGCACCGATTCATCGTTTGAGCACCGATTGCTCTCAGAAATGCGCCCAGGATGAGGTAATTGGGCGGTCTCTACAAGACATGGTTTGTCTCTTAAATAAGGGTTCCCCGAAAAATTATGGGTTTCCTTTTGGCTGACCTTTTAAATGCACCCATACAAAGAGCAACATCAAAAGGATACCCCCCGCCCAATGATTGCTGAACACAATGAGGCAACAACCTTAGAAACATGAACATGCCGTTCGAATGGGCTATCTCTTTTACGTAGATGATTGCAGGTGTGCTGTTGTTGTGGGTGCAAAATAGCAAAAGGACACCAACAACGGATGGGGGTAATTGGCATTTTTTTGCCAGAGCCTATTATTCGACACCTGGGAGCTACACAGGAAACCTCCCGAGATCATGGACCGAGTCGCCTCTCTAATCCTCGGGATTCGCCATCCCTGACGGTGCTCGATGAGACACGCGGGGAGAAGACCTCAGAAATACAAAGCTGGTGCGCCGCTAACCGTGTCAGGGTTGCAACTGAGCTACCACTATAAACAATAATTAAAACAAATCGGTACAAGGGATATGTAGCGGAGTGTAGGATCAAATGCCAACAATGAAGGCGAGTCTCTAAAGAGCGAAGGCTTATAAGCTCAGTTGCCCAGTGGGTTGCTTCCTTTTTTTTTCGACTTTTTGGGCACGGGAAGGGTTCCGATTCCTTTAAACTCCTAACCAGAAAAAATGGATGCCCTTTGTGCCGATTCTTTGTTTCACATGGAAATCCACTGGGCATCCTGAGGGGTTTTAGCGGCAGCTCAATTTTTTCTCTCGGGCCAAGTATGCTCCAAGTGTTGTGGCCATTCAGCTCAGTCGATCCGCGGGTTCGACCAGCTCAGCCTCAGTTGTCGATCGAATCGACAACTGAAAGCCAAGCTTTTGGTTTCCTTGCTTTGGGTTCCCATGTTTAGCGGGTCTCACAAGGGTGATCGCCTTGTATTTCTGGGTCCAGATGGGGGGCAACTGAGCAGCAGGTCAGACAAATTGGCTCTTACTACTTTGCTTGGTGGTTCCCAGCCATCCGGTTCGAATCTAGCCCACTAAAAGTTATTTTTTTCGCAAACTGCGGCAATAGGGGATGGGGGTTGGGGGCTTGTTGGGCTTGGGGCCGGGGAATGAATGCCGGTCTTTCACCTATTACTTCCCAAAGCAGACTCCTCTGCGAAGAATGCTGGGGGACCTAGTTTTTCTATGGTGTTTCTCAAAATAGGATTCGGACACGTTTTGGATGGTTTCAAAAGGACACCAGAAGGAAGCCACCTGGACAAATCGGAAAGTCCCAAATCTTGAGAAACATCCATATGGGTGTATTAAAATTGGAATCGGAATCCCTAGAGTCGGTGGGTTTGTGAAGGTTTCCCTAACTAGCCCCAAGAAGGTACCTGGAAATAAAAGGTGATCACCTTGACCTTGACTAAAATTGAAGCGAACCTGGGAAACCGGAAGCTCCAAAGGTCGATTCGCGTGTGGGCCATGGTCAAAAATCCGTTTGTTTGGCCTATAGTCATGATGTGGACAAAATTGTGCAGTTTGTAGGTGGTGCCGACGGGGCCTGTTTCAAATTCGGCGTCTCCCGGAATCCGCGGGGGGGCCGGGACCAGTTTGGAACCTTATGCCCAGTCCCACATTGTGACATCGTCCACTCACAGTGGTTCCTTCAAGAGGAATCATTACACCTCTCGCGTTCGCATCAGGTCATTTTAGAAGTGAGACCTTAAAGCCGCTCCGAGAGATGGCTAAGGGACTGTACCTGAGATTCGCTAGTTACAATGTGAGCCTCGAAAAGGGTCTTATCGAGTTCACACGAAGGTTCTTTCGAAGTTCACAATAGGATTTACGGGCGTTTCCCTTGTCAAACCAATAATACCAAACAAAAGAATTCCTTTTTCCCTCCATGGAAATTCACTGGGACCCACCTGGTCTGGGTCTTGGAGTTCCATGTAAAACCCTTCCGTGTACGCCACCCGGTCCGCATGTGCCATGGTCAGGGAGGGTCATCCAGATGAATCCTTTTACCGTTTCTTTTTTGGGGGAGGGTTCCCCTACGAAAATAAACTACGGAAAAAAATAGGGTACCCTTATTCTAACCTCAGACCACTGGAGGACCTGGAAAAATGGTTCTTAAGTCTGCAGGTCCTTTGGGCCATGGACGGGGAAGGCCTTCAGCGCCTGCGTTTGGTGAGGTCCCAGCGGAGGACGATCAGTTCGTCCGCCTGCGCCGCAGAGTGGACACGGAGATGAGGCCCGGCATGGGGGCATGGGGGGGCTCACCGATCGAGGGGCTCACCGTCCATGGAAATCCAGGGGAGGGGGTCACCTCGGCTTCCATTGGGTTAAGATTTTTTCCCCTATTGGGGGGTTCGAGGATTGGACTTGGGGGTGTTCCAAGGGGGGGGTCCATATGGTGGACACTTCTTTTAGGGTGACTTATTGGTTGTTAAAGGGAATTGTTTCACTACTGGACATATTGTTATTTTTCCCAGGGGACTTCTCAGCAAATGGAGGTAGGTGAGTCACCGTCCATGGAGGAAATCCAGAAGTCGCACAGGTCAGAAATGTTGGAATGATTTGATTCCTTGAATACCAAAAGACGATGGGTTCCATGTGGTTTCAAAGCGCAAGATTTCGTCCACAGTTTGGAGTGGAAGTGGTCTACTCGACCCAAAGCCATGAAAACTGGGCTGTTCCAATGCAATCCTTCATTTTAGGCTGACGGGGTTAAGGTGAGTTACAATCAACTGCCTGCCGCCACTTCACCGCAACACCGGAAGGTTGCCAGGTGAAAACTCATTCGCAACCTGGCCCGAACCCTGCGGGTGATTTACATTCTAACCTGGGATGGCATCAATGCCAACCAGGCAGCTGCTAGGAAGGTCTTTCCCTACTTGGCTCAGCATCCTTTGCGACTCGATGTGAGAGATTGCACAAGGAAGGGCAAGAACACCCCAGTAAAGCCCTGGTAGGTTGATTGACCTATGCTGCCGTTTAGAGGGAATCCATTGCTTCATGATTGTTAACAGGGCAGCGGGGAAACACTGCCGAGCAATCCGCAAGGTGGAGAATTCAAGCCGGGGATGACATGATCTCCCCGTGATGCCCGGGTCCTTCAAAGACTCATGGGAAAGAATACATCGCCTCAAGGGATTGGAAGCTTTGGACTTGTGAGCTAGCCAGTGGAACATGAGGAGTCTCAGCTACCAAAGTGTATCACCGATTAACCATACTTTGGATGGTTGCGAAATCCATTTCGCACCACCTAAGAAACCATGGTTGAAACCAGAACGTTTGTTGGTATTTTTCCGTTGGGGATCATATCAGTAACCAGGGTTTCATCCTGCACCACCTAAGAAACCATGGTTGAAACCAGAACGTTTGTTGGTATTTTTCCGTTGGGGATCATATCATTAACCAGGGTTTCATCCTGCACCACCTAAGAAACCATGGTTGAAACCAGAACGTTTGTTGGTATTTTTCCGTTGGGGATCATATCAGTAACCAGGGTTTCATCCTGCACCACCTAAGAAACCATGGTTGAAACCAGAACGTTTGTTGGTATTTTTCCGTTGGGGATCATATCATTAACCAGGGTTTCATCCTGCACCACCTAAGAAACCATGGTTGAAACCAGAACGTTTGTTGGTATTTTTCCGTTGGGGATCATATCATTAACCAGGGTTTCATCCTGCACCACCTAAGAAACCATGGTTGAAACCAGAACGTTTGTTGGTATTTTTCCGTTGGGGATCATATCAGTAACCAGGGTTTCATCCTGCACCACCTAAGAAACCATGGTTGAAACCAGAACGTTTGTTGATATTTTTCCGTTGGGGATCATATCATTAACCAGGGTTTCATCCTGCACCACCTAAGAAACCATGGTTGAAACCAGAACGTTTGTTGGTATTTACAGGAGAATCATCAGAAACCGGGGTTTCTGAACGGTGGTGCGAGAAGCGGATTTCGCAACCATCCATAGGAAGGGCAGCTATCCGCCGAGAACCAGTGAGGCTCACAACCTCCCGTTTGCTCTCCTAAGAGGGCTTCGGACTCGGACAGGTGGGTACAACAGTTCAAGGGAAGTCCCTTTCTTGACCCAGAAACGGCGATTTTGATAAAGGTTTGGTTGCAAACTGGTATTTTCCAATGCTTTCAGTTACCATATTGAAAGAACGCACATTCAACTGGGAAAATCTGTGCTAAGTATTTGTCATTAACAGGTGCTCCAAGTTTATCCAGACGTACCGCTGACCATGTTTTCCATTTGTACTTTTTGCCTTGGTGTTCTTCATTTCCCCGGTCAAGCAGCAACACATTGACTTGTTCTGGGTCCGTCTGGCCCAGTTTCGTAACGAAGTTGTATCACTCTGAAGGTGGAGGCAGTCGAACACTTGCTGATTGTCAGCACCCTTACCAACCAAGATGGACAAATAGAAGATAGAGAGGTAGATTAGTTGGACTAGATGGATTGAATAGGCTTGATAGATTGATAGAGCTTCCTTAACAGGGAATCTCCAGGGTCATTCCCAACCCCCCTGAGAGCCAGCGAGAACAAAGGACTCCACAAAGACCGCCGGTTCTATCTTTTAGCCTTTGATCAAAATTGAGCCACTTGCTCAAATCTTGGGTAGATGAAGGTTAGAAGGGACAATCCCCTTGCCATAAATAGCTCCGAATATCCGCCTTCTGAAAATCTTTACATGGGTGTGGGTCAAAACCCAGATACGTTTTATGGGGTAAACCCCCTGTTGGGTTGACCGGGGGGGGGGGTTTGCCCGAACTTTCATGCTGCCCCGCGCATGCCGATCCTCAGCGTGTTCGCAGCTGTCGAGGGGGGCGGGGGTACCGGGGGGGGGGGGGGGGATGGGAAAGAACACGGGTCCACGTTTCCCGCATGTCGAGGCCAACCTGTGTTTCAAACTAGTCGATCCCGACCCCCCAGCCCCACACGCCATGTGACTTCTCCACTATCTGCGTGCTCTACGCGACTGCGCAGTCCTATTTGGTTATCTGACACGTTGCCACTTTTCCGCAGGTGGTCTTAGACACCTGGTGTCTAAGGGCTTTTGGCTTTCTTGCGTTTGAAGGAGCTACCTTCCCGAATGCTGGTCTTTGTCTCCGCTGCGCTCACAGTACCGAGCAGGAACAGAAGTTCTGCCAGCAAGTTATCAGCGCAGCTCGTGACTTGTCTGCTTCGCATGTACAAGGCGGCCCTGGCTGGACAGCTGCATAAAAGTGTTGGTGGCATTCTCAAGGTCTCTCACTAAGAGAGTCAGGCCACAGTCCTGGAGCCTGCTTCAAGCAAATGAGAATGCTGCGCCCGCCAGCACCGCGTATTCGAATCTGAGATTCGAATACGCGAAGTTGGACATTTGCAGGCTTTCCTGTGGTGCGCATAGGATTTGCGCATTTCCCAACCCACGTCCAAGAGTGACCGTCAGTCCGTCCGGGCAAAATCCCCCCGGCAACCTCCCATGTTGCTTGGTCCATTCTAAAGAGGGAATCTGAGCAGGTATCGAAGTACAAGAGTTTTAACCCACAGCCACATGATTCTGGGATTACGACTATTCTATTCCCGGCTTGTGATTATGACATCAGGATTCACCCTTGACCCTTGGATCAATCGGGGGGGGCATGGTATGGGGGGGCCCGCTTTTGAGTTTGGAAGGAAGCTGACAAGTTTGATTGCGGTGTTTTTTTGAGTTGGAACCTTAAAAGTGGTTGGTACTTGTGAATCAGCACCTAAATACTGTCCACCAAAGGTCCTGGTTCTTGTTGAGGGCACATGGCTTGGTAGCCACCCGAAGGGAGCACCTCCAAACCACCAATCAAACTGCTTCATGTTGACCCCGAATGAATCAACCCCTGTGTTTTTAATAGGGGGGCCTGGCTGAAATGCACTTTTGGAGGGGCCCCCACTCCACCCTTCCAAGGGCATCTTAATCAACAGGTTGATTAATCTTGGGTCAACCTTACAGAAGCCCAGAGACAGATTCGCGGAAGGGCGACGCGGAAGGCATTTTTTGGAGCAAGGAATATTGGACAACCCTCATATATATATATATGTATATATATATAATATATGGTACCCCCCCCCCATAGACCCTGGCTTGGTGAGCTTGGCTGTGTTTTTCAAAATTAGTCTCCATGACCCTTCAAAAATGGGTCCATGACCTCGTAATTTTGGGTAATGACCCCATTTTTGTGTATATATATACACATACATATTGTTTTCGCGTGGCAGGAAGTACGGCATGGTGGACCCCACCCACATCAAGGAACTCTGGAAGAGGCGGGTCCAGAGCTCGCCTTTCCGCCGCGGATGTTGAGAAACAAATCGCTGAGGAAATGGGTCTATTCGATGTTGCTAAAAATAAATAAATATATTTATATATAAAAACATTTTCTTTCTGCACACCTTGAGTTTTAATTTCAATCTATGTAAAAAGGAAAAACACCAATAACATGTTGTTTCTTTGGGAGCCACCTTGCCCAGGGGTCCCTAGGTTCGCTTTTCGCTGGGGTTTAACATCACCTTGGCCAATATTCAGTGAGGGACCTTGTTTCCTTTGGCCTACTCCAACACATTTATGGTTTTAGGGTACACGAAATATGATGTCCAGATCTGAACAGATTGTCTTCAGTATACCACAGATGTCGGCCACGTGTTGGTTGGTTTGAAAGTGTTTCATTCGTCCAACTGAGGGGCGTTGCTTTTGGCAGGTGCACTCACTGTATTGGGGAGTGGGACGACAAGCATTGATGCAATGATCACGTGCATCGTGCCACATGCGGAAGGTTTCACAGAAGAGCAGCAGCTTGCTGCGCTATCCGCTACTTCATATGTTCAACTCGCTTTTCCACAGCCAACCTTTTTACCTTTTGGTTTCCGACTTTTGCTTGGTGTTTGGTCAAGGTACCAAAAGGTCAACCTTGTATTTCCACGTCCTTTGGGAAAGTGAGAATATATTAGGCAAGTAAGAACCCGTAAAGCACAAGCCGAAAAAAAACAAAGTGGACTTCCAACGCTGAGTCTTCACATGCAACGCGAAAGGAGCCCTTAAAGGGCTACGGGAAGGATCAGCTTGAACTGTTTCCCATGAAAGGAGAAAAGACCACGGCACTGTCTCAATTCACGCGCGCAAGGTCTAGGCACCTCTGACGGCTTTCCTCTAAGCTCGAAGAGCGCAACCGGCATGCGGGCTGCAGAAACGGAAGTCAGACATGCCGGGTACGTGGAAGAGGTCTAGATCCCTCAGCAGTGCCATTTTACCCTTTTTTGGGGGAGGGTTCCCCTACTAAAATAGCCTACAGAAAAAAAGGGTACCCTTATTCTAAACCTCTCTACTGGAGGACCTAGGTGTTTGAGCAGGCGCGCTCACAGTTTGCAGCTTACTCTGTGGAAGCTGCTGGCGCGGCCTGCAATGCGGGCAGCACCAGGGTTTTCCAAGATCCGGGGAAGCAGTGTTCGCTGCTGTTGACGAATTCTGTCAGGCTTACTGTTCCGACTGGCTTGGTAGCGGTCGTGCTAGAAAGCGGTTTGGATGGGCTCTTGTGGATCCACCCATGTAGGAGTTTAAAGAGTATCGAAAGATCGCTACAAAAGACCAACAGGGGGAAGACCGAGTGAAATGCACGAAAATCGCATCCACACTGTTTTCTACAGTGACTGCTAGATACCCTCCTGTCCCCTGATATGGCACTGACTGGGTGGTCCAAGACCAATTTCCTTTAAAGGGGCTCATTTTCCTGTGGTGAGTTCCATGTTAATGGGTGAGAGCATAGATACCTCGAGCATCCGGGAAAGACGCTGAGATTCCCCTGTAATGTTGATCCCGGACTTGATTGCTATTCAATGGTTTTCCATTGAACCCACAACAAAGTTAGACGTTTTGCAGAGGGGTCCTTCCAGCAAAACCAGAGGGTAAGTAATAAACCACTGGTTGATGAACTGGTCTCGGTGTCCCCTTTGCAGTCGTGTCATGCTTGTTCACCAAGGATGCAGATGAACAGCGCCGAAACGAACATTTTTAGGACTTCGATCGCGAAGGAAAATCAACTGGTCTCACTCTCTCAGTTCCTGTTCTTTGAACCTTTTGGGGTCATTTTAGTGGCAAACAAGCGGTGTGCTGACTTTCTCTGGCCGATCGATCGGAAGTGAGCAGTTGATCAAGGAAAAGAACGTGCCGGAGCCTTCACTTCCTGGCTGGGTTGGCTCGTTGACACTCCCCGTCCGAAATCAGGTCCATAGCCATAGCTTGTGGCAACAGTCTGGGCACTCAGGTTTCTTAAAGTTTGAGGAGTTCTCGAATTTTGTTTTGGGTGTGGTTTCCTGTGTGCAGCCTGGTTCCGGGAGCCCCTCCCTTCGGAAAATTGGTTTCCTTGTGAAGGCCTTTTTTGGGGTCCGATTCCTGTTGGACTGGCAACCACGGGTGCAAGAGTCGAAGTACGTCCCTTCTTCATAGTGCTTGGTCCGCTTACCGACCTCTTTACAATATAGGCATGGCTTTTGAGGGGTCGTTTTTTTCACTGGCCCACAGCCGACCCTTTAACCTATTTGTTTTCCTGATGTGGTCCATAATTAGTCAAGGTTGCAAAAGGTTAACCTTGTATTGCGGTCGTTTTCCTCCAGAGGCAGAAGGGGTGTGAAAAACTTTGCAGTCCTTTCGTTCCCAAGGGGCAAAATAAATTTGTACAAAGCCACTTGCCAGGTTGGACTACAACGGCAACAACATTGTGAGCCTAGCTGAGATTGAGACTGTCCTGCACTGAAGCTTTTTTTCCGCTGCCATGGCGATCTTTTTTCCAGGATTCGAGGGTAAAACCAGGCCACTACCTTTGTTGCATGTTGCTTGGATGTTAGGACCTCTTAGGACTTTAACTTTTTGCCAACTAATGGGTTTCCCATTAAACCACTAAAAGTTAAACTTTTAGCAGGGGAGCAGATTTCGCAACTGAGCCACGATGTGTTTATCGCCTTTTCGGCTCGATGTGTTTTTAATCTCACCTCGGCAGCCCAAGCGAATCGAACGGATCTGACTCCTTGGCTGTCCTAATATAGCGAAACTCCAGCGTCCGTTTGGTGATCACCGTTTGTTTCCAGTTCCTCGCAAGCGAGTTGTTTCAGGTGTTTGAAACTGCCTAGATGGCCAAGTTGCGATCGCCTTTTTTTCCGTCACTGTTGCGATCGGTTTTTGGGGTAAAGTGCCGTAAAGTGCATGGGGGAGAAAAAAACAAAAAAACTGGCGATCCAGGCGTTGTAAGATGCGCAGATGGTTTACCATAGCTGACCCCGCCCCCCCGGATTTTGGGTGAAGGCTTTCGTTTGCCAGGGTCTTGCCTGGAACTAAGCAAGGGCGCGCATGAGAGTTGGACTGGAAACCCGGGGGCTGTCAGCGTGTTTCTTTTTGAATATAGGGTTTCAGGGGTCCATTTCTGCATTTCTGTGATACTAAGGATCAAGTACTCAGTCTTCCAAAGCAAATCGAGCTGTTGAGCTTTTTGGTTTTCCCACATTAGTCATTGTCCCATCAGCCATCGGTTTGTAGGTCCTTTGGGGAAGTGAGACTGGTTCATAGGCTTCTCTTGTAGAGCATGCGGTTTTTGGATGTGTGCTATGAGCCCTATCCAAGAACTGGGCAGAGTCATGGCCTTGAAATCTCAAGGAACCTTCAGAAGGAGGGTGGGGTGGCGGAGGGCGGGGTGAGGGGTGAGTGCCGCTGAGTCCAAGGCATTTGGCCTGCCAAAATTGTTGGTTTCCCTTTGGTTGCCCTTTGAAAACACTTTTTCAAGGACATGCACCTAGCAAAAACAACCAGACTCCAAACAGGAAACCAATATTGGTAGCCTTTGGTGTCATAATGGAAGCCAAATCAAGGACAGTTGCCACAATGTCACACTAATATAAACCCACTCGGCTGTCCAAAGCCGACCTACCCTCCCGCAGACTAACATGGAAGCTCCCAGGACCCCTTTGGAAGACTTGGGTCCATTTACAGATGCCTTCTAGGAGCTTCCGGCTGTTAGTCTGAGGGAGTATATATAAATAGCCCTTTTGGCAGCCATTTTGATTTGAGTTCGTCAGAGGTGATCGCCTTTTGTTTCTGGGTCCAAGCTGGACCACTGAGCCTTGTTTTTGGGGGGAAATCAACGTCAGAGACTGGACTCTGTGGTTTCCCTCTGACCTGCCGCTTAACTTTGGTGCAAGTTGCTTGGATGTTAGGACTTTAACTTTTGCCAACTCATGGGTTTTCCCCGCTAAAAGTTAGTCAAACTTTTAGCAGGGGAGCAGAAAGCAACCGAGTTAAAGGATGACTTTGAGAATGGCAACTAGGTCCCCCAGCTAGGTGCCCTTTCTCACCCCTTTTTTGTTTGGGAGGGTTCCCCTATTAAAATAGACATCCTGGAAAAAAATCGGGCACCAACTTAGTCAACCTCTCAAATCTGGAGGACCTAGGTCAACCAACCAAAATAATTGGTATGCCGATTCTTTTTCTCCCAATCCGCTTGTTTTTGTTTCTTCATTTGTTCCTTGTTTTTCCTTTTTCCCTTTTTCCTTTTTCCTTGCTTTTTGTTTGTGTGTTTTTCCTTTTTTCCCAATCCGTTTGTTTTCCCCCTGTAAACTCACCTAAAGCGGTCGACTTCGACCGCTACGACTCGGCGAGATCCGAGGACAAGCTGACGGTGGACCTCGTGAGCACGGGCGCGTGGCCCGCCTGGCTCAACAACAAGCCCGCGCTCGGGCCTCGGGTTTTGTTGCAGCACCGGAGATGCACCTCAGCCTTTTTATATGGGGATGGGTCAAAATTAAACCACCAGGATATGGACCCCAGGTTTTAGTCCATGTTTCTACTTACCAGAGATCCATTTGGGGTACCGATTTTTTGACCCACACCCATGTAAAACAAGTTTTTGGGATTGGTCGCCGACGGGAAGGCTGCCTGCATCCACTGGCTTGGCGACGGCACGTCTTGTGTTTTGTTTGAACCGAGCGGAAGTTGCAATCACGCCAGTCGTGCACCCGGCGTGGTGTGGGGCGGGGGGCTGTGGTCTTTTTTGAAGGTACCGGCGAGGGGGGAAAGGGGGGGGGGGAAGCTGACTTTGGGGCAGGTCGAATTCCTGGCCTGAAGGCCAGTTGTGCAACTGTCAGGGTTACTTCAATTGTGTTTCAGAATATGTCTTTGTTTTCCCCTTCTGGTTTTAAAGGGAATCCATCAGTAGTGGACATAAGTTTACTCAGGGAACTTAAGAAAATGGATGTTTAGTGTCACCTACGGTAAAGGAGATGACATGGAGCCGATTCACCAAAATAACATGAGGAGTTGGGGGGGACTCACCAAAACTTCATGTCAGTCAAGACCGGTGCTCATATCAGTGCAGAAAAGGCTACATTTTGGGAGGTGCTAGTTCCGAGCCCTAGGTGTCGAATCGGTCCCACGTCCCAATTCAAGAGCCACCAGTGCTTGCTCCTTGCGCTGCTTCTCCAGTTGTTTGGCTCTATGTAAACAAATTCTATTGTGGCTTCTATACCCCGCAAGCCACTACCAGGATATAGAACCGCTTTGCGTCTATGGGGGTTCGCCTGGTAATGTTTTGGGGGGTCGGTGCAGTTGGGGAAAGGAGATGGGGCAATCCCGCCCAGTTCATCCCCTTTGCCCGCCCGCAGAAAATGACTTGTGCCAATTAGTTTCATCCTAGCCTATGGTTGCCAGTTTATTCATAAGGGGGTGGTCCCCTCCAAAAGTGGTCTGATTCCCCACATTTCACCCAGGGAGAAGCACCCCCCTAGTCATAAAAAGGTTGGTTGATGCATATAGAGTCAGCATCTCAGAATGCGGCCAACGACCGCGCCTGAGTCGGCTTGAAGGGCGAACCATTCGACTCCGAAACTCGAACCAAGGCTCATGCGTGCCTACAGGAAGACCACCCTCAAGGCCGGGGGGGGTTCGATTCAGGTTGGGAGCTTCAGGAATCCTGATATTAATATAGTGTTTTTGTTATTTTTCTATTATTTCCAGTTTTTTGTTGTTGTTTTCTTTGTTTTTAGTGTTTTTTTTCTTTTTCGATGGTACCCTTGTTCAAAACAAGCAAAAGGACCAGCGAACGTGTTATGGGGGCCTTAATTTTGACACACGCCCACATGTCCGCTTTGGTGGCCATTTTGAGATGTGTGTCCTTGGTTGCCCCAGTGATTCCACTCACCTGTATAGGAACCAGGAACCCCTTTAAAAGTGAAACGAAAATGGCTGGTTACTCACTGTACTAGCCTGCTTGTAAGGGGCTGGCCAAAAGTTAGACACAATAGGGGCCGGTTTTCCCAATGTACTAGCTTGGCTGCGATCCACTGTTGCTCTGTACACTCCGAGCTGACGTTGGTAGGGGATTGTGCAGCAGACATACAGGCGCGCTACAAGGTGTGGTGTTGCTAACAGTTCCTCCCTTGACCGAACTTGGACAACGATGAACCTCCTGAGATTTGCTCAGACTTCCGCCATTGTTGCGGGCAATTGTTTAACTGTCTCGCTTGGAACTAAAATCCGACCTCACCTTGAAGGAGTCATCTTTAGGGGTGCAACATGCCCATTTCGGCATCACAGATAGGGCCTGTTGTTTTTTTCCACAACCGGTTTTCACTACGCTTTTATGTTTTTCAGTGAGAGGGCATTGATCCTGGGTGTGTGGTTTTCGAAGGTACCATTTTTGGGCTGGTGTCAAAGCGAAAGCTAGAGGACCCCCCCTAATTTGACACATACCCACATGCCATAGAGTTCCTTTTTGGTTCACCTGGGTGATCGTGGGATACTTGGCTCTTCGCTACACTGCGGTGAAATTCGTCCCGAAAGTGAATCCGAACGAAGACGACCTCGATGAGCAGGAGACAGCTGCTGGGTTCAATCTGAGACGTGACAACCAAAGGTGAGCACGGTGCCTTGACATGGTGTGCTCTTTTCCGAACGGTTTTGTACGCTTTTGGCGAAGAGCTTGTGCCCGGCCTGGCTGATTGACACTGGCTTGCAACCACATGGTTTAGCTTTTCCTGATGGTTGCCAGTTATACTCTGAGATTATGGACTGCTAAGGGGGGTGAGCTGGGGAGGGGGCGGGGGGGGGGGGGGCGACTCCCTTCTTCTGAAGCCCTAAAGAAGGCCTTAAGGCCTTGTCCTTGGCTGAGCTTACTCCCCCCCAGGGTTCCATGAGACTAGAAGTTGAATCTCTTCTATGAGGTAAGCAAGCGCCTGGCTCCATGAAACTCTTTGACGAGGCGTTGTAACTCTACGGCCTGATTCTGCCTCCAGTCCTATTTGACAAAGTGCACCCTTGGAACCATGGGGAACCCTCTGAACTCCCTTTGCCGAAATGGACATGTTTGCTATGTTCCTCTGGTTTTGAAGGGAACCTAGCACTTCTCGAAGCATTTTTTTCATTTTCCCCAGCGGACTTGAGGCAATTGGCGGTACCCGGAGTCTCCTTCTGACCCTTTAAAACTGAGTCCATGACCCCCTTATTTTGGGTAATGACCGACCATTTTTAAAGTGTCAGAAGGAAGCTAAAGGTATGCTTTGTGCATGGTGTGCGAGAGGTTTGCCTAACATTATTCGTTGGGGGGGGGAAATGGACAAGAAATCCAAGGCTTGTGTCCAGGTAATCGCATGTTTGCAGTACCCGGACGCCTTCTCGAGTCCAGGACGGCGATGGCGACGACTGGGCGCGGTGGCCAACTCGAGAAGAGTCCGCCTTCCGAAGGTCAAGATAGGCCACACGGGGCTCCCAAGAAAGGTAGACATTCATGATGGTTTCATGTTTTTTCTTTTTTTTTGTTTAACTTATTGTGGTTTAGTGGTTGAAATCCAACCACTTAGCTGCTAAAGTTTAATTTGTTGCTCCCCTAACCCAACGTCAACCAAGCATGGGGCCCTTAAGTGAAAAGGGGTCTCGGAGCGAGCCCTTCTAAGAAACCCGAAAAAATACTCTAAGAACGGGGTGGGGAGAAGGCCGCTGGTCTTTTTTCCCTGGAGCACTTGTCATACCTTTCGACAGGCCTGATGGGGGTATGGGTGGTGGCCAGGGGCGCCAACAACCAAGAGAATCTAGTTCTAAGCAGCGGACCCGGCTTTTGGAGATGACAGTTGTCTTCTAAACTTGGTTGTTGCATGGAGAAAGACCAACCCCGGAAAGTATGGCGGCCCCTTATCAAATAAAGGGCTGGAGTTGAAACGTCAGCAACATGCAGACAGGAAAGCCAGCAACGCTCTCTATCTTATTTGATTTGTGTACCTGGAGTCTCCATGACCCTTTAAAACTGAGTCCACGACCCCCTTATTTTGGGTAATGACCAACCATTTTTAAGTGTCAGAAGGAGACTAAAGGTATGGCTTTGTGCATGGTGTGCGATGGGTTTGCCTAACATTATTCGTTGGGGGGGACATGAACAAGAGATCCAAGGCTTGTGTCCAGTTCGGGCGCCTTGAAATCGACCGGCCATACTGTGGATGGTTTGCAAAATCCGCTTCTCGCACCTGGCAAACCACAACGTTTGTTTATATTTACCGGAGAACCATACCATTCCAGGGTTTCTTAGGTGGTGCGAAATGGATTTCGCAACCATCCACAGTAGGGCAAATATTGGGCAAAACCGTTGCTTGTCACATTGGCCCATTGCCTGTGCATTTGAGGCGTCTCCGAATGGTGGACCCCGCTTGGGTAGTGTTTCAAGGGAAACCCAAAGGACGCCAATCATTCCTAGCAGACCATTTGGTTTGAAACCCCTCCGTTCTTTGCAGGCATCCTTGATTGAAAATCTGGGAGAAGGGCTGGTGTTTCAAAAGTATGATGGTGGGCAATATTGCCAAGGTCCCCCAGCTAGGTGCCCTTTTACCGTTTCTTTTTTGGGGGAGGGTTCCCCTACCAAAATAGACTACAGGAAAAAATCGGGTACCCTGAGTCTAATCTCTCAAATCTGGAGGGCCTAGTTGCGATCCGCTGCCTTCCGTTGCTCAAGCTCAAAGCGCCAAGCCTGAAATCCCGATGCCGCGGCCGCAGTTGAGCTTTCCCATGGCCGGGAGGGAGCCCGTGTGTTTTGTTGAGGCTCGGCACTCTATTCAGCTTGGCGAGAAAAAACAAGAAATCACGAAAGGCAACCACCCATTTTGAGGGTCAACCTATTTAGACACCGCGGGTTGCTTGAATCCACCTAGCCAAACGGTTGGCAGCCATGGCCAGAGTGATTGCAGTACACTGTGGGCCGTCCGGGAAAGAGGAAACGATGGAATTGGAGGCGGACATGACTGTCCGTGAGTTCAAGAAGCAGCTGCACGGGTGGCTGCCCTGTGGAGATGAGTCACAGCGCAACATGAGCTCGGTGGAGGTGGTTGTTGGAGACACGCCCCTATTGAACAACGAGGAGATGGTGTCCCAGGCAGTTCCAGGCGCAGTGTTGGCTTTCCTCAGCATCAAGCCGGTGATCTGCTCACGTGCCAGGTCATCCAGACGAGCGCTTGAAGACTTGCGCGTAGTGGAAATTCCTGCTGCAGGACAGGTCGAACCATCTGCGTTTTTTGACTGCAGGTATTTGGCCAGCGTGGCCATTCCAAACTCTGTATTTGTCATCAAAAACTCAGCCTTTGCACGCTGCAGCTCATTGAAGAGCCTGACCATCCCAGACTCCGTGACAGTGATTGAACAACTGGCCTTCCGAGGATGCAGCTCACTGGAAAGCGTGACCGTTCCCCTTTCTGTGACCAGGATTGGGTTTAGTGCCTTTGAAAATTGTAGCTCCTTGACAAGCGTGAGCATTCCCGACACAGTGACAAAGATTGAAAATGATGTCTTCCAAAGTTGCAGCTCATTGACAAGCGTGAGCATTCCCGAGACAGTGACCGAGATTGGAAAGCGTGCCTTCCAAGGTTGCAGCTCATTGCCAAGCATAACCATTCCCAATTCTGTGACTAACATCGGGCAGCGTGCCTTTGAAAATTGCAGCTCGTTAACGAGCGTGACCATCCCTGACTCTGTGACACATACAGGCAAGGGTGCCTTTGCCGGCTGCAACTTTCCTTGGGTTGATGAGTTCAATGACGAGTCGGAGTAGGATATCGATTTCGGCTTGAACCATTTTGAACCTGGTTCTTCGACTGGCCAGCGCAGTACGAGCGGCGACGCACACGTTGGTGCTGAGAGGCCTTTTGGGGTTGCAGGATGTTTGGACCGAGCAGGCGTTTCGCAGCGCAAACTGGAGATGGAACCTCGTAGAGTTCAACAGGATATCAGTCCAGCTGTGTTTTGCTCGGTTATAATCTACTTCCCTGTTTCGTCCGGAACCCCAAAACCCCAAAGGGCCATTTTAGTACGTATCGCGTGGTTACAGCTTGGATGTGCGGAGTTTGTAACTACGTATCCTCGTGTTTTGTTATATGGCCGTGGGTCGACACCAATAGTACCATTTTGGGGTAAACAGCACCACCCATTTTAGTCTATTTTAGTGGTTGGATTTCGGATGTTCACTGGGGGTACGATTTGGGTTTTGACTCATAGCCATATTATAACTGTTAAGATTGATCTTGCATAGTCTTGCACCCGCTAAGGTGTTTACTCCTTCTTCACTGTTCTTGGCATGTTTTTTTAGTTTTTTAGTTGTTTGGGTCTGTTCATTTTTACTTGGGGTCTGCAAAAACAGTCGGTTTTTTGCAAGCCCATACCAAGAGTAGAGATGCCTTGGAGACCCCTGTTTTCGTGAACGTGCACACCATCTTGGCATCAGATCCCTTTTAGGCCGCTGAGTCAGCAACCTGAACGCTGCCATTTTGGGCATTGGCGTTTGCAGAGACCTGAAAACACCGGCCGGCGGGATGGACGTCGTGGAAACACTGGTGGGCGGGTACCCACTCGATGCCTTTTAGTAGGGCTCCTACTACTACTTGACTTTCCGGGGTCATAGTAAGCTCACTCTCTGGGTTCATGTACTTGACATTTGGGTTTGGACCATTTTAGTGGTACATAAGACGTGCGGACTTTCTCTAGCCAGTTCACTCAGGAACTTTGATCACCTTGTTGGAGCGAAAAGTGAAGGGATTTTTTTTTGCGCTGCTCAATGGGGGACCCATGGGGACCCTGTTGGGGATTTATGTCCACCACGCGGGACGTATGATGATTCATAGCCAAATTAATCCATTGGCTTAAGTGTTTTTTGTTTTTTAATATATTATTTTCCCTTGTTGGTTTAAAGGGGAGTGTATCACTATTGGAAATACCTTTATTTTTTCCGGGGGGCTTCTCAGCAAATGGAGGAATAGCAAGCGTTTCGGGCCAGCTTTCAACCATTCTGAACCCCAGGATCCGCATGTTTTCCAGTTGAACGCACCCGGTGAGAAGGATGGGCAAGCGGCGTTTGTTGGTTTCCTTTCTGTCTCAAACTTCTGCCCTTCCGGTGCATGGAGCAACCTGGAATTTTTCGTAGCATGTGTCGAAAACCAGTTGGAATCCTAGCTAGAGATGGAAACGTGGAGGTTTGGGTTGTCACTTTCTGTGATAGAGACTCCCCCTGAAAGTGACAAAGTAGTCACGCGCACAGCTCGTTTCGGTGTGAAGTTTGGTCAGCGAATGTCAGTTCGGGACGTGGGGTCCAGGACGAAGGGGGTGTTTCTCATGTGCACTGCAGGGTTCATGTTGTTGACCGCTGTCAAAACCCTTCAATGGAGACCCCGACCTGTGATGAAAACGTGATTTTTTGAAGACCAACAGAAAGATGGCTCGAGCCCTAGGGCTTAACGTTTTATGTTGTCTCCTTCCCTAGAGCTCCCGACTGGTCTTGTCAACTTACGACATGTTGTAGAGGGCCCAATTTGGACGTCATGACCCCGAGGGTTTGGACAAACTTGCCGTGACCCTTCACAAGGACACCCATGACGTGAAGCGCGCTGCTTTCCGATCAGTCGGAATCCGATTCCTCCACGCATGCGGAGGTTTCTCCTGTAAGTCATGAAGCCAAGCTGATAAGAAGTTCCAGACCTCCAGTGAGGCCCGTTTTCTCTCTCTTTTTTTGGGAGGGGGGTCCCGCTAAAATCACCTACCAACAACACTTTGCCCTTTTTCTCCCATGTCCACTGGGAAAGTCATGGAGGCAAGCTGATATTTGTCCGACTCCTTATGGGAATGAAAATGAGATGTTCACAACACGAGCATTCATGCAATCCAGTTTTGTGCATTGATCTCTACAGTTGCGTGCACGCATTTTGCGGGGTGGACAAAGTGCTGCAAGCTGGCGAACCTTTTGACCCCAACCAAAATGATCTCGAAATGCCCCCAAAGCGGCCCTACACAAAACACATTTGACCACCTTGCAATGGATTTGTTTTCTCTGGAACAAATCGCTGCATCAACCCTCCCCTTTTTTCCCATCTCCCCATGCACCAAAGTGGCTGTGGGTCAAAAATAGGTACCCAACATGGAATCCTGGTAAAAGGAAACATGGACTCAAACCTGCGGTCCCCTGGTGGATTAATTGACCCACAGCCAAAGTTTTTTCTGTGCGGATCGAGGTCGAGAAGAACGAGTTTCACGCCCTGCTGCTGAACATCTTTTGGTTCAACAAGTGCTCGCCTCACGGGGATCATTGGCGTTGACCGCTTTTGTTTGGTGATCAAAGTCGGAAAACAAGCACCCCTTGGTTGACCCAACTTGGAGAATGAAACTCCTTAAGTAAACAGAAGTGGTTATATTAACTCTTTTGTTTTGAGGGTGGTGTGAACCCCAGGGAAAAGGGCCGTCTTCCTTCAATCTACCGCTGACGGGGTGGCTTTGATAGTAAAAAACAACCTCATGCGCCACATCCGATGTGATCCAACTCTGAAACCGTCAAGTCTGGCTGGATTTTTATCGGGAAGACCGCTGATTCTCTTATTTGCTGAATTGGCTGTCGTTCAGGGATTTGGGGGTGTCCCAGAATATATACGCATTGAGGGGTTCCGAATTTGGAGACAGACCAGTGAGTCGCGATCAACATGAAACTGGCAGTCTTTTAGGGGTGAGCAAATGAACATTCGGAAGTGAATCCGTGCTCTACCACAAAGCAACCAGCACATGAGCGGGCTTGGGAGGTGTCCAAGCAACAGCCAGGTAAGATGTCATTCAAGCACGAGGTAATGTTTTTGCCAGCAGTCCCCCTTAAAACTTAAAACCCATCAACGTCTTGGAGATTTCCCTTTCCCCTCACAAAGCTGACTGTTACAGTACAGCCGCAGTCAACGAGAAGACCTTCATCCTCTCTGTTCTGTTGGTTTGAAAGGGCAATGATAATGCCTCGTAAATATAGTCTACAGTTGGGTGAAAAGCACAACCCCATTTTGTTTAGTATTCCCCTTTACTTACCAAACTTAAGGGAATTGTGCCATCCACTTTCACCCTGGTGTATTTGTCAGTGAGACCTTAGGCAACTTGCGTGTTTGGGTTTTATCGTCGACGTGTCCAGCCATTTGAACCTGACGTTGCATGTTTGTGGGACGGTGCCCGGGCTGAAGGAACAAGGTCCTCCAAAATAGGTAAACCACATAGACCAAGCATGGACCAGGGTCAGAAAATCAGTGTGTGTACCCGGGAAGTCCAAGCAATGGCTTGATGTTGAAGCCAGCCACGAAAGGGCCCGGCATGACAACGGGCTCATTTGTGGGTCCTACTCAGCCTTCGACAACTGAGACCTTCTTATTTGACAGGGGTCCTTAAATCTGCGATTTTTACAGGGGTCCCTATGTTTCGTGTTTTTGTGGTTTTAGACATCACTTGTTTGGCCCATTTAAGGTGAGTTTCCATGAGTTTTCCTTAGTGAGTGATGCTTTCAGGGGAAAACAATTTCTTGAGCCCTGTTAAACATCACGTTGGCCATCCCAAAATCACTGGGCCCCTGAAGCTAGGTTTGGGAGGGTGACTTGTGGAAGAACATTGTCTCGTCAAAGTGGGGATTAGGATCCCCTAAATGTCGTTGGCGTTCCTTCTGTTGTCCCTTTAAACCAACCTGGACATGCTACAATCCCACATATTGGGTGTGTCCTTAAATCGGGGAACCCCCCAAACCTGTGGTTTCCATTTGGTTTAGATTTAAAACTACACAAAATAGGCACCCTCAAACAGAGATACACCCTCAAAGAAGAGATACACCCTAATATATACCTCTGACGGGAAACTCCCAGGGAGTTCATACTTGTCACAGGTGCAGTTGGTCTCAGGCTGGTTCATTGAAGATGAAAGCGGAGATATTGGAAGTCTCGAAATGACTTCCAGTACTTATCACGAAAGGATCCCAGGCAACTATAGTAGGTAACCATCAATTTGCCTTTTGGTGTTCAAAAGGTAGTTTCCTTGGTTACCTTCTACAGCCAAACACCTTGAGAGTGTCACGTTGGGCATAGACTCGAAACTTCATGCCGAGACAAGATCTAAGTGGTTGCAAAGGGAAACCAAAGGGACACCACCAATTTGTTGGTTCCCTATTTTCACACACACTTGGAACCGTAGCGCCAACACGCAAGTCACCCAAATGTTTGGGGCACCGACCAAAAAGTCGCCTGGCACATGCATGTAGAAACCTTCGGCAAAGCCAGGGTTTTCGTTTGGGAAACATATACCTGGACCCTCACAATTCCCTCAAAAATGGGTTGTGGTGTGTTTTCCATCTTTTATGGGTAGTTTGAGTCTGAGGGTCCAGTTCTCCTTTAAGGCATCCTGTTCGAGGTGTGGCTTGGAGATCGATTCGCGACTTCGATTCGGCTCGGAGGTTGTGGCAAGTCTATGACAGCGTGGACACGAGCCAGCGTCTCAGAATGTCATGCCATCCAGAATCCGTGAAAGTAGATGGCGCCAGGGTTCAACCCCCCCATTTCAGGAATGGTTGATCCAATTTGGATGATTCAACTCCTTATGGAAAACAGTACGCGGACGATTTTGAGACAATCACCTCATTTTGGGGGATCCATCTTAGGACAGCAGGGTTCAGCAATTATTTAGGGAATGGGAATGGTGGTTCTATGGGTATGGGTCGAAATCAACCCACCAACATATGGACCCCAGGTTTTCGTCCCTGTTTCCATTCACCAGGGCAAGCCATTTTGGGTACCTGGAGTCTCCATGACCCTTTAAAAATGGGTCAATGACCCCATTATTTTGGGTAATGACCACCCATTCTTTAAGGGTCAGAGGGAGACTCCAGGTACCTATTTTTCGATTCCCAAATTTGGACGCCTCTTTGAATGGTACCTGAAGGCCAATGGGTTGGAACCGATCGATTTGTTTCGCCGTCTTTCTCGTACCAAACAACTCGCGGCATGGGCATGGCAACCAAAAAAATCAACCGGGAGTCCAACATGGCGAGTGAACCCGAGCGGTGAGTGGAGACATAGGGAACCCAAAACCTGCGCTTTGCCCCTAGCTGTTTGATTTTGAGAAAAACTGCCACATGTTCCCAAGAGAACGCAATTGTCCCTCATGCTCGGTGTGACGAAGTCTCCAGCAATGGTATCAGACCACCTGGGGTTCTGTGTGGCACTGCTCTTGGTTGAGAGGGCGCAGTGGTCTGTTATCCCCTCGCTAGAACTTTCGCCCTTGGGTTTCTGTCATGAGTCTGCTGCGTGTTTCCGCTAACAAGTTTTTGAAGGTTGAGTCCGCATGTTTTCAGCCATACCTTTTTGCAAACTCAATGGTTTGTGCAGTAAACGGTTAGAACTTGTGATCGGGGGGGAAGCGCAGCCAAGTTTAAGGATATTACAAGCATTTCCTTATGGCTTTGGGGTTGTTTGGGGCAGCTTTCAGGGAGGGTTCTGGAGGTTTCAGCGGGTTCCGGGCTGGGCATGTGTTTTTTCTCCCCTATTGTGTTTTAAAATGGAATCTGTCACTCAGGCTACCCGTACTCGGTGGTTTAGAGGTGGTCTGAACCCCCTCAGTTGTCCAGTGGCTCCCTTTTTCCCTTTTTTTGGGGGCTGCCCCACTACAATGGTCTTCCCAAAAAAGGGTTCCTTTTTTTTCCAGGGTCACTGAACAACTGAGCCCCTGTTTCTTTTTGTTTGTCCTTTTGGGGTTCGTTTATTTTCGCCTAACCAAACAGTTGACTCTGTTTAGGCCAAAGTCTGGCCATACACCAATTCCCGCTTAAAGGACTGTTCGTGGGTTTTGAAGCGACAATACAACCAGTCTGAAACAACACACAACCCAGACTGGCGTGGTTTTTGGGGCTTTCCGCTTTCCTTTGTTCTTGGTCTTTAAAACAACCAGCCGAAACGATTCCAATCACCAATGCCCAACGGAAAACAGCGGGCAACCACTATGCAAAGGGTGCCTCCCCCTGATTTCCCTTGAAGGTAGCGGTTTGGGGGTAGGCAAAAGTCCCAACCAACGCCCAACGAAAACTTGCTGGTGCTCAAAAAAGAATGAGGGAATGAACCCGGAGCTTCCCTTAAAGGAACCCACCAGTTGCATGGTTTTTCGCGGGGTGATCCCATAACCCTCATTCCCTGCATCTCTCGAATCCACCGATCGCAAGAAAACGCCATACCTGGAGTCTCCACAACCCTTGAACATGGGGTCATTACCAAACAAGGGGTACGACCCGTTTGTCCAGGGGTCAGAAGGAGACTCTAGGTCGCCGGGGACCGATTCCGCCGACCCCCCGATTGCGTCTGAGGCGATGATCGGCGCATCGACCTTCAGGAGCCCGGACCCTCGGACGCTTCCGCGAGGCTTTGAATGCATCGGCCGAAAAACGTTTCGCCTCCGAAGCCTTCCCAAGTTCTTCCAGTGCGAAGGATACCTGGAGTCTCCATGACCCTTTAAACAGGGGGTCAGTACCACATTTTTAAAGGGTCGTGCACCCATTTTTGAAGGGTCACGGAGACTCCAGGTATGTCTTAAAGATTTTCCCTTTTTGGTTTCAAAAGGAAATCCATTTGCGTAAGCAGAATATGTTTAGTTTCCCTTGTTGGTTGTAAAGGGAGTCCATCTATACTGGACATATTTCCCCTCATTTGTTCCAGGGGGGAAAGCAAGTGGAAGCAAGGTGTCCCGTGGTGCTTGAGGTGCAAAAAAAAGGGGTCGTCAATGTACATTTGGATGTGTCCCTTTCTTTTTGGTTGTCCTTTAAACACACAAACAAAACAGAAAACAATACCCTCAGCTGTCTTTCTCAGCTGGCCAAAGCAAATCGGCCTGGAATGACTCTGGGCTCAGGACAGGGTCCCTCTGACGAAGATCTCGGATGTTTCACCAGTGGAAACAAGACGGCTTTATGGGGGCGGAAGGACACAAAAGAAAAATCACAAATCCCCTTTGAGCTTCCCTTTGGATCACTTGAAAACTATAGTTGCTACTTACCCAGCCTTTTCCCCTTGTCTCACGACTGGGTTCCTGGCTAATATGACATAACTGGATCCAGGGCTGCTCAGATTGTGCATCATATATCTACCCAATATTTTTAGCACGGCTCGAATCCTGATAAAAAAAAAAAAAAAACGCTTGCGTTTTGGTTGCCTTCAATAAATTCCAACCCCAACAAGGGTAATATGAGGGGCTAAACAATTACACAAATGTATACTCAGTATAAGCACGACTATGGCTTTCAAGTACACCACCCCATTCGAGTTCTTTCGGCCCTTATGTTGCTCAGTTGCCCAAAGGACCCAGAAATACAAGGTTCTGGACCAACGTTTAAAAACCAAAAAGCCAAAAGGCCGCCCCCGGCCCCCCGGCGCCTGCGCGTCCCGTGCCTCCCAAGCGGCTGACAATAGCCCTGGATTGGCACGGGGTGTTGGACGTCCATCAACAAGGTCCTTATCTCCATCCTGAGATCATCCAGCACCTCGTGAATTTCACTGAAGAATACGCTCCGATCAACTTGATCGTGTTGTCATTTGTCGGCCGAGCAGCCAGTGAACAGCGACGTCGGGAGTTTGAGTTTGCATTGGAACAGGCTCCAGTTCTCTCAGATCAAGATCGTGCACGAGAAACTGGGCCGAGGTGGAAAGGCGGACGCACTCCAGGCGTTGGGAGTCCACGTTCTCGTGGACGACCAATCTGCCATCGTTCGCGAGGCACAGAAAACCGGCTGTGCTGCCCTTCGCGATTTCCCCAACTTTGGACCAAGCGGGTTCGGCAACGCTCTGGAAAATATTGGAGAATTCATCAAGTCTCGGGATCGCAACTCCATCCCGGCGGCAGGTTTCTTACACCCTGCGAGTGTTCTTTCAAATGAGCGGCAGTTTTTTGGTTTTGAAAGGAACTAACAGGGAAATTCCGAGATCCAATTCCGAAGGGGGGTCCCATTCCTAACAACCCTCGCGAAGTGATTTTTAGCCATCACCGTTAATTGTAAACGCTTCGCGTTGCCCGCCTCGGCCCAGCCTAGTTTGAGGGAAGGGTCAGGAACACCGAAATCCAGTGTTGGGAAGGTCCGAATCCTACTGAAAGCTTGTGACCGCACCAGTTCGCCCGTGCTAGTTCGATGTTCGGAAGCCGTCCTGCTCGGAAGGTTTGAAATCCAAAACCAAGACTGTCAGCCTGGGCTGAGCTGCGTGGGCAGCCGGACTGGGGGGCTGGGGCACGTCAGACAGGCTTAGTAGCTGGCGTAGCTTGAGACCAGTCTCAGACACGTGAGACTGGTCGTTGGCCTGAGGCCAGTCTCAGACACGTTAGACAAACCTGACCTTGGCACGCTGGGCTGAGCCTGCTGGTGGGCTGGGAGCTGGGGGTCGGCCTAGTGGCTGGCATGCCCTGAAATGCGCCGGGGCCTGGGCTGGGCAGGCTGGGCTGGGCTTGCTGGATGACTTGGGGCCGTGGTTGCTGGTTGGGCCAGGCCTGTGTCAGGCAAGCTTGGGCTGGTGGGCTGGGCTGACAGGCCTAGCCAGCAGGCGGGTTGCTGGTTGGGCTGGGCCTGAGCCTAGTCTCAGACACGTCAGACAGGCCTGGCCAGCAGGAGATCATGCTTTTCAGGATAAAAAAACATTTTTGTCAGCACATTTTCGGCAAAAATAGACCCATGGAGCTGGACGCCGACGAACCCCAAAAATTTCAAGGCCCGCCGGAGAGGATTTTGGGCCAGCCGACATGGGTGAGGGGAAATTTTGGTCGGGGAGGGGGTTGGGGGAGGGCTCTCTTTGGAGAAGAGATCTGAGCGCCCTTGGCCCCTTTGGGGCCGAGGCGAATTTATCATTGTCACATGTTGTCACCATTGTAAAAGAGAAGGAAACACCTAAAAACGGGGAAACTGGTTAGTTGTTACCCTCAATATCTATATAGGTGTGTCTTGTTTGGCCCCCCCCCCAAACAAAAACCGTGTTTTGCCCTCTTGGTTTCTTAGAATTGTCAATCAATGGATACCCACAAAAAAAGGACACACCCACATAGCGCAAAATCGCTGCTGTTCACATTGTCCATTGTCTGTGGAGCTTCTCCAAATGGTGGACCCCGGTGTTTCAGCCAAAAGGGAACCCTTGGGGACGATTTCTTTTTGAATCCCTCCATTCTTTTCAGGGATCCTTTGAGAAATCCAAGAAACCGGAAAATGGGCAGGTGTTTGACAAGAACGACGGTTGGAAAGAATGCGATCCATGCGTAGGGGACTAGGGGACTAACCAAGTCATTTGTTGTTGTTTTGTTTGAGAACCAACCATTTGTATGGGACTAATTCTGGTTAACGGCTTTCAACCAGCGAAACATGGGTATTCTCCAAAAAAGACACACCAGCCCATATAACCTCAAAACATGCGTATACCCATATTCCAAAAAAAACAAGAAAAACCAAAAAAAGAAAACACATCTGGTTGACACCCCAAGAAAAAGAAGCACCCCAAGAAACAAAAGAAAGAGAAGCACCCCATTCTGGTATTCCTGAAACAAAAGAGAAGCACCCCAAGAAAAAGAACATCTGGTTGACAGCCTTCGAGCAACTGAGGTTCACAAATGGCCTTGCGAAGCTGGATCTGAAGCTCTCAGAGACTCGGGAAGAAGGTTTCAACGGGGAGCTTTTGGGGATGTAGCCACTAGGTCCCCAACTTATTCTAATTGCTGTACTGGAGGACCTTGTTTTGAGGGTGGGATGTAGCCACTGACGGAGCCCAAGAGCAGCCTGATGAAGGGAATCTGCAAGGATCGAAATTTGATCCAAATAGCTGTGGGTCAAAACCAATGTTACCATTTTGGGGTAGGTGCACCACCCATTTTAGTCTATTTTAGTGGGGATTGGTGTTCACTGGGGGTACGGGCCGTTTTACCCATGGCCAAATGGAAGGGGCGCCTTCAGAGAAACATCAACCAAGGGTCCTTCTCTGGAAAGGCGGCATGATCCTATGTGGTGTTCATTCCCCAGAGCCATCATTTACCAGTGTCTCCTCCAAGACGAATTCCAGTTCTGGGGGCTACATTCCCTTTCCAATTCATTTCAGGGACTCGTCTTTCCACAAAATCTGCGAAAGCCCTTAAGATCTTGTTTTTTTTTTGTTTTTGTTTTTTTTTTTTAACTTCCCCCTGGCGGTTGTTTTGAAGGGGATCTGGTACTGGAAGTATGATACTGAGGTTTATTTAAGGCAGACCTCACTTTCTGAGTTCGTGGACTCTAGTCACTTTTGGGCTTTGGAGAATGTTAGCAAATAATCAGTCTGGGTACTTAGGCCGTTCAGGAATTGAGAGACGAAATACAGCCCTTTAAGCCAACAGTAGGTCAGGGGACTGGGTGTTCGATTCGCCAAGTTAGTAAGTGGTCAATCACCTAGAATACAACCCACTTGCAACCAGGCCAACGCCACTTGAAGGACTCATGAGTAGGTAACAACCCAGGTTACTAACCCCTTACCAACTTGGCGAATCAAACACCCAAGAAGGACATTGCCATTTGGAGTTTCTCTCTTCTTGAGTTCTTGGACTTTTTTTGGGGGGGGAGGACCTTTTTAGTGGCAACCAGTTCCAACTTTTTTGGGCAAACCCCCCTCGGGAAGTGAGGTTAGCAATCCGTGGTTTGCCAGGGCGTTCGCCTTGTTTTTCAACTTTGTTTAAGAAGAAGAGTCGTTTTTGTTTAAGAACAATGTCTCAAAAGAAGAGGTCTCACAAGAAGAGTTTTCTTTTTGTCAAATTGTCTCAAAAGAAGAGGTCGAGAAGTAACATCACTGCTGGAGGGACTCTGCGAAATGACCCCTTTAACTCTGGTTTCCCCAAAGAAGTGTGTTCCCATTCCCTTTTTCACATTGAAAATCCACCGCACCCGGTCTGGGGGATGGAGGTTGCCCGGCTGTGACCCTGTTTTAAAGATGAAAGGTTAGTGAGGTGCAGTGTCGAAACCTAGGATCAAGCTCTCAGGAGACTGTTGATACATGACATGTGGGTATGTCTTTTGTTGAGGGTACCTTTCTATCTTTCTTTGGTGGCTTTAAAGGGAAACCAACAGGAAACAAAAGCATTTGGGGGGGGGTCCAAGCTTAAAACAGACACATGTCAAGGACTCAGTTGGATCCGGAGACTCGTTTGAACAAGGCGACGGATAGGTTTGGTTGCTACCTCCCATTTGACGCCCGTCATGGGTGCAAAAGGGATGCAGCCTCATCCCCACTTCCCACTGAGTACGTGGCTTAAACACGGTTTCATAGCTGGGGTAGCTAAGGTTAGTTTTCTCACCATTGAAAGCACCCACGCTCTATGGCTGCATGATGAATGTACGACCCCATGCCCCATCCTGCGTATGAACTCTGGGTGGATTTTGGTGTTCACCTGCCACCCGCGGCCTACCCGGGCTCACCTGGCGCGCGCTGATAAGTTTTGGTGGGCTCCCCAGGCCCTTTCTGCCCCCAAAGTAAACTTAAGCCCGGGAGTGGTGGATGTCCCCAGGGCAACCGATTCCTGGGTTTCAGTCTATCTTGGGGTAGAATCAAAATGGATCCCTGACTTCCCAAATTTCGGTTGACTGCCACTTCGGGCTCCAATCCAAGGATGCTGAGGCGCAGAAGGCACGTCCGGGTGGGGTAGGTAGACTAGACTTCGACGTGCAAATGGATGTGTTTTTGTGTGAGGCTCGGTACCCTTTGTGGGGTGGCTTAAAGGGCAGCCTTTGCAAAAAGGAACACTGAAGTCCAATTGTTTAGCCATGTTTTTTTTTGAGGGAAGTCATTCGCTCACTTGGTCTTTCACTTTGAGCTGGGGCAGATGCAGCTCCGGGCGGTTGTCTTCGGGTTCCGGGGACGGGCCTCGACCACCTGGGCAGGGCTTGCGGTGTCAAAGCTTGAAATGAACCAATAGGAACCTCTGGTTGGAAGCTGAACCCCTGGGTCGGATGACAACTTGCCGGTGGGATAAGTAGCTGGGACCCCCAGCGATTGGTGCCCTTTCTAACACTTGTTGTTGTTTTTTTTCAGGAGAGGGTTCCCCTACTAAATAGAATAGAGAAAAGAAAGTTGGTACCCTTATTCTAACCCCTCTACGGAGGACCTAGTTAAAATGAACCAATAGGAACCCCTGGTTGGAAGTTGAACCCCTGGGTTGGAAGACAAGTTGCTGGTGGGGCAAGTAGGGAATGGAATGAACCCAGGCTTCAGTCCCCTTAAAGGAAACCACCCGTTGGACCATTGGATGGTTTACAAGGGGCATTTCCTGATTCCCTGCTCAGTACCAGCAAGGCAAGGGGGATGTCCCCTTCTAGTTTGACCACTTTTGGAGAAAACCACTTCCAATGAACAGGGTGGATGAGTTCAATCAATACTTTGCCCCTGATGTTGTGTTCTGAACGTAGCCAATCGTTAGCTCAAATCGTTAGCTCAACTTTGTGAATGTTTATAGATGACTGTGTACGTCTGTACATATACAGACAAGTATCGGTTGATTTGTAAACATGCACGCAAGTCGACAGACAGACAGACAGAGAGTAGGTCCCCCAGTAATTAGTGCCCTTTTACCGTTTCTTTTTTGGGGGAGGGTTCCCCTACTAAAATAGACAAAGCAGAAAAAAAGTTGGTACCCTTCTAAGCTCTCTACTGGAGGACCTAGGAGACGTACAGACAGACAGAGCGACCGACGGAGGAGTTTGGCACCATCGACTCCAACCACGGCGGAAAGGCCTTCATGCCTTCGGGCGGGCGCAGGGAGAGATTTACTCTAAGATCATACTGTGGATGGTTGCGAAATCCATTTCGCACCACCTAAGAAACCATGGTTGAAACCACAAGGTTTGTTGGTATTTCCAGAGAATCGGACCATTCCAGGGCTTCTGAGCGGTCAGGATTTCGCAACCATCCACAGATGGGTGGCCTTTTGTCCTTTTTTTTTAACGCATCCAAAGAACTGGGGACTTTCCGAAACACGTAAAAAGGGCGGTTTCAAACTCGTGGTTTCAGTTTGGTGTCCTTTTAACATGGCTGCGGCTCAAAAAAATGTATCCAAAATGGCCCCTAGGTAATTGGAGGTAGATGGACACAAAGACCAACACTTGCGTAACCCTAGCTCTTAAATTTTGAGCCACGCCCATATTCCTTCAGAAGCACGAAAAGGGGCCCAAAAACCGCGCTGGCGCGGGGTCAAAGCCATTGCAGCAAAAAAACAGATCTCCCCTTGCTGTGGCTTTGAATCATGTTTTTTTTGCCTCAAGACTAATATTAGCCAAGAAAGAGAAAGGCATGTCATTTTGTTCCTTCTTGATATATAATTGTCCATCACTCTCTCCAATGGTATGGGATGTTGTGTTTAGAGGAGTTAATATCGATGCTAATTCATTATTGAATATTTCTCTGGTTAGCAATCATTCAAATAATATAACCATCATTATTATTATTTGGATCCTATGCAAAGAACCATTCAAATAATCATTCAAGTAATCATTCAAATAATCATTCAAATAATCATCATATGCAAAGAAACATGATTCATTGTTGGATCATCATTATGTGGATTATCATTGTCTTTTAAAAGATGATCATGCTGCTTTGCATATGTGTCCTTGCCTATCTACTCCCTGGCCTTGAGTGTACGGCCTCTCACCAGGGACATTGAAGTGGCTCAGGCCGCTGGGATGTTGCCCTGCTAGGTCCCCCAGCTAGGTGCCCGGTTACCAACTGGTTTGGGGGAGGGTTCCCCCAAAATAGACTACAGAGAAAAGGGTACCCTTATTCTAAGGTGTCCACTGGAGGACCTAGTAGACATGGAATCAAGTCTGCCAGTTCTGGTTCATGGCGAGCTCGCGTGGGGCCAAAACAAGCTCACTGCGAGCCCTGTGCTTGAGGATCCAGTTCTTGTTTCGGCCTTGGCAATTGTTGCGTCATGTGCGAACGCACACATACCTAACATATACATACACACATACGTACAAAGACAGACAGACATACATATATACATTTCATACATATATGTATATATCCACATAATTTTACAACAGCAATTAACTCATTATAAAATCATTAGATATATAATAGCAACTAACAAATTATATACTTATTCAGAGACCAAAGGCCCGCTCGCCGTTTCACCCACTTCCAATCCCTCGCTGCTCTCGGGCGGCAGGTGCTCTTCGTGGAGTTCTGCGCCTGGGCGCGGAAACGGATCAACCCGGACGCCCGGGCGCCGAGAACCCGAGGAGCCGAGTCTCCAATGGCTTGGGTTGTTGTGTTTAGAGGAGTTAACTCAGTTGTCCAGTGGCTCCAATTCTTTTTCCCCCTTTTTTTTGTGGCTGTCCCACTAAAATGGTCCAAGCCCAAAAAAGGGTTCCCTTTTTTTTCCAGGGTCACTGAACAACTGAGTTAATTTGTAGATTGATTCATTATTGGATGATTCTTCTGATTATCATTGTCTTTACTAGGTCCCCCAGCTAGGTGCCCTTTTTAACCCGTTTCTTTTTTGGTTGGGAGGGTTCCCCGTGTCTAAAAAAGACAAAAAAAAGGTACCAACTTATTCTATCCTCTCAAATCTGGAGGACCTAGGAATGGAATCGGCCGGACAGGGTCGAGAATGCGATGGCCGGGCTAGAGCCAAAGTGGACACCCAAGTCGTCTTAGGTTTTTGGTGGTTTTTGTTGGTCGGCTTAGTGTTTTTTTGTTTTTTTTGTGGCGGTTCCCAGCCGTCTTCTCAGGTGTTTGGTGGTTTTTAGTTGGTTTAGCGGGGGTTTCCATTTAACCCACTAGGGTTTTTAGTTGTTGTTTTTTGTTGGTTTCCATTTAACCCACAAGTTCAACTGATAGCAGGGGATCTGAGGACAGTCCAGTTTTGTGGGAGGTCCGGAGGTCAGTTTAGCCGAACCATCAGATGGCTGTGTCTTACAGGAATTTGGGTCGGTCTCTTTTTGGGGATTTCTTTTCGGGGTTGGTTTAACAGGAACAAATCAAGCAGCCAAAGCTCTTTTGGGGGGTGCCAAAAAACCAAAGCCACACACACACACACACACACTTTGGTGATGTCTTAAAATAGGTATGAGTCTCGAGGAGAGCAACCTCCAACATGATCGGTGGACATAAAACCTCATGTGGATGTGAGTCTTAAAATAGGGATTTGGACACCCAAAATGGCAGGCGTCCTTTGTATTTCCCTTTGTACCAACCCAAAGAGGTACGCACCCTCGAAAAAGACACACCCATTATTTAATTGATTTGTTCATTTCCAAATTGAGTGATTCATTGACTTGCTTCCGTTACTTCATTTTGTTTTTGCATCTATTGCTTGATTTATTCCTGAATCTGTTGATTCTATTGCATCTTTGAAGCATCAAGTGGTGGGTTAGGAGTCATAGGTATAAAAGCGCCCCATTTATGTTCATCCGGGTTTTGCAAGCAATCCGCGTTTCCTTGTTGAGAAATTGTTTGTTTGGTATGGTATGTCTCAACTCAGTTCCCGATACGCATCCCTGAAATGAGGTGTGAAAAGGGCCCCTTTGGAGTGGTACCAGTTTTGTGAAAGGCATGGCAGCTTTGGCCTGCGAAAGGGTGAGCCTTTTTGAAAGCAACTGGGGTCAACTAAACTAGCCACGCACAGTAACATTTTTCTTGTTCGTGACTTGCAATATTCAGTGTTTCCTTTCCCGCGGAAAGAATTGGCATACCTCCAAGAGGAGACCGAAATTACTGTTAGGGGCAGGAAAGTTGTTCAACGTGGCCTGAAGCAGTTTCTCAGGGAAAAAGCATGTTTTGAGGGTGCCCAAAATCACACCGATTTCATGGCTGGTCTTTGGTGTGACCAAACCGCCCCCTTCGAAACGACATGGCGCAACCAAAAGGACTTTCTCACAACCGACAGGGGTCCCTATGTTTCCCTTGCATCACCTTTTTAGCCCACGAAAGGTGAGTGCCCCTTGGTGGGGGTGATGTTTTCAGGGGAGATATAGGGAGCCCGGACCAATCTGCGGGTTCGGGTGGAGGGAGCTGTCAGATGTGCCCAAGCTTCGCACCACGCCAGCCCCCGCTGCCTTTGAACGCCAGCCCCCGGTTCCATAGCGGTCCGGCCGACGAGTGGCGGATGGACCCAGAAGAAAAAGGGAGAACGCCCCATTCTCCTGAAGCAATGGCCAATGTTTAAGGGTAACTTGAGGGTCCAGGTGGCTGGAAATGAAGCAGATGAACAGTCCCACAGTACGCATGTAGACAATTTCCCTTTTCCTTTGGTTTTCAAAGGGTCTCCTTAAGTCATCTGCTACATTCTGGATCCATTGCGGGTCAGGGGGCTACCTGGAAATTCCAAGCGCCGCACGGAACGGTCGAGGCCTGCCCCAACTTCGACGCGGACCTCCTCTCAGGGCAGCGCTGTGTCCATGCCCTGCGCCACGAAGGCGATGACTTGGAGTTGGGGTAGATTTTAGACGGGGTTGGGGTGGTTGGGTTCCTTTGCTTCTTGTTTTTTGGTGTTGACTTGGGTTAGGTTGGATTTTAATTGGTTGGGTTGGTTGTGTTCATTTGCTTGTTGCTCTTTTTTTTTTTTTTAAACTTTGCTTTTGCTGGGTCCCCCAACGATTGGTGCCAACTGTTACCGTTTCTTTTTTGGTTGGGAGGGTTCCCCTACTAAAATAGACTACAGAAAAAGACTCTTGGGTCCTTTTTTTGGCTGGTTTTACTTTGTTTTTTTGTTTTCCCTTGTTGGTGTTGGGCAAGACTTGTTTGAACCACATCCCGGTCCAATGCCCGAAATGGTTTGTCACAGCAGTTTGAAAACAGCCAAAAGGCTGTGAGTGGGAGAAGCCAAACAACCCCAAGCCATGCCCACCCAGCCCCCAATCCACTTCAAGCTCCCAATCCTCACGCCCTTATACCACCCCAACCCCAACCCTCCCTGATGTCAAAGGGGTTCAATATTTCACCACCTCCCGTTCAGGTTCATCCAAATTGTGGCTTTGCCCCGTCTTTTCATGGGAGTCGGTAACCAAACTTTCCATGATTTACAGTTCTTTGTCTTTTTGATTGGGTCAGCACCATTCTGAAGCGCCTTCCCCACACCCCAAACACCCCAAACCCACCCCACACCTACCCCACACCTACCCCACACCTACCCCAAACCCACCTCAAACCTACCCCAAACCTACCCCAAACACCCAAGCCCACCCCAAACCTACCCCAAGCCCACCCCAATCCCAGCCCTCTGGGTGGGAAGGCGTTGTTCCGTGAAATGTGGCTCGGCAGGCCACAGCGCGACGCAGGAGAACTTTATCACGAAGAAGCGCGGGAATTCGAACTCGGGGGAAATCCGGGAGTGGAGGAGGTTTACGGTACCCAAGGCTTCAGTGTTCTTGGATCAAGTTACGTGTTGTTTTTGTCTTCCTTGTTTTTTGGGTTTGTTCATTGGTAGTAGGGGGCTGCAAAAAGCAGAGCTTTTTGCAAGCCCAGACCAATTGTTGTGAAGAAGAGGTTTCAGCCACTTTTGCTTGGATCTTCTTATCCTTAACATCATCTTCAGAGGTGTCTACTCTTTTTCTCCCCAGCAGCTGAAAGCTAGGGGGTCCATAGGCCCAGATAGGCTTGATTGGAGTAGTTTGGGACAGCTTTCAGGCAGGGTTCAAAAGGCGGGTTCCAGCAAGTTCCTTTGGGCTGTTGGGGGGCCCTTCCACCAGGGCGTATTGTCTTCTTGTTCTTTCCGTCTTTTTTTTTGGGGGGGGTCAATTTATATTTCAGGAAAGGTTGTGAAAAGACAGAACCTGAGCCAACCTAAGAGGACGGGAAGAAGCACCTTTCTTGAAAGTCGACCGCCTCGCAGATGCCCCTCGTGGTCACGACCCTCATTGTATAGCCAAACGGCAAAGAAGTAGGTTCTAACGTCGTTTAACCGGTGCCTTGGTCCCACTTACCCAAGTCATGACCATGCTCTACCTGCTTGCCGAGTTGGTTGAGCAAGTGATTGGCCCATTGGGCGCCTTTCGACTGCTCAAGCCCCCCAGGTCAACAGTGGAAACGCGGGGCCCCGCCGGACCCCCGAGAAGACGAGGGCAGGCCAAATTGTGGGGCCCAAAAACCTGCAAGGATCGGATCCGCGGACCTAAGTCGAAGTCAAAACCAATGGGATCCCATCTTGGGCTAGGTGCACCACCCATTTAGGACCTATTTTAGTTGGAGTTGGGATGTTCACTGGGGGTACGGGATTTTCACCCATGGCCATATAGGCATAGGTGTCCTTTTTGGTTTGCTTAAAAAACGGAGGGCCCTGGTTTGCCTGGTGGCTCAATCATCTACCAGGGCCATCTATTTTCCAAAAAGGACACCTATGAATATAGGTGTGTCCCCCCCCCAAGTGGTCTGAACTCCCGCGATTAAGGGGATAATTTGTCATCAACCATGCGTTCTACACATCTCGCTTGTCCAAGCGAGCTTTTCACCTTTCTAGGGTCCCCGAGTAGTGCCCTTTTACCCTTTTTGGGTTGGGAGGGTTCCTCTACTAAAATAGACTACGGAAAAAGGGTACCCTTATTATAGCCTCTCTACTAGTAGACCTAGACATATAATTCCTGCTCTGAATTGCTGGTTTCTTGTTCTTCCTGGAGCTTAAGCGAATATGTGAATTCAAGGTTTTAGCACATGGAAAGTATCACTCTCATATTCCCGCTTAAGCCCCAGTAGGTCTCGGCAACTGGTTACAACTGGTTTCCCAGCTTCTGGACTTTGCTTTGGGAACATCATTTTGTGTGTGTGTGTGTCAAAATAGGGAACCCCAAAATGGTTGGTTTCCCTTTGGTGTCTCTTTCAAAGCACACACCAAAGGGGGTACCCTCTAAACAAACACACCCATTGGTTTGGGGACATCATTTCAGTGTTTTGGTCTATAGCCCCACTCAAGCCAGACCAGAGGGGCCAGGAGGGACCCATGCGAGCGGAGCGGCCGGATTTTTTGCGAAGGTGCCTCAGGGAGTTTGACGAGCTGGAAGCGGAGATCAAGGCAGCATACTGATGGACGATATCCACTTCGCACTACTTTGAAACCATGGGCAACCATAAAGTTTGTTGGTATTTACAGGTGTGGTGCAGGGTTTTGTCCATCCACAGTAGGGTGCACAAGGGTTCGTTTTGTTTTGGGGTTATTTTCATCTGCCATCGTGGCTGGTCGTTGGTGTGCCCAAACTCCCCTCACACCTTGTTGAAACAACTGGCCTTTCCATTCAACCTACAACTACAAACAGCAACCCAGCAATGATCAGCTATTGTAGGGGTTTTGAGCTCACCAAAAAGTAAAACAAGCGAACACCCCATGAAGTAGGTCCTTTGCACTATTCTAGAAATGCAGAGTGTTGGAGGGACACTAGGCCTTTGTACCCCTGCAGACAGGTTCTGACAGCCCATCTGAGAAATCCGTTCCTGGCGTTCTGTGATACAGGCGGAGCCACGAAAGGTATTGTGGTGACAGATGGTTGGTGGCTTGAAAGCAGGGATTTGGACACCTGCATGATCAGAATCCCTCACTGCGGCATGCCTTCTACGTCCCCCAGTAGTGCTCATTTACCAACTTTTTTTGGGGAGGCTTCCCCTAAAATAGACTACCAAAAAAAGTTGGTACCAACTAATTCTAACCTCTCAACTGGAAGACCTAGTTGCTTCGGCATGCCTCAAGTGCAGTGGATGAAGTCATAGTGCCGAAAGTTTAGCTGGCGGTCTTCTGCTCATCGTTTTTTTTTGGCCATGTCGTCTGTCAGCTAATATGGAACCAAGGGTGTCCTTCTTAAGAGGTTTGTTGTTGGATCCTCGCCTAAACTTTGGACTGGAGATTCGTTTCCTTTTTCGCTTTGGAGGGGGCAGGGTTTTTCACAAAAAAGGGGCAGCCCAGAGGGTGCCTTGGTGCTGTGCGTGGTTGCCATGTCAGACCACCGTTCAGAACCTGGAAGGACGCGATTCCCCTGTAAATACAAACAAACAATGGTACTCAACCATGGTGGTGGTGCAGGATTTCGATCCACTCCTGAAGATGGCGGAGGGGGGGGGGTAAAATAATGGTCGTTCAGTACCGTAGGTACCAAGGGACCCTCTTGGTAGCAAGACTTGGAACCAAGACTTCAATTTCCTCTTGCGGCCCCTACATGAGTCTCTTTTACAAGGAGCTGAGGATAGACGACAGAGAAAAGGGTACCCTTGTTCTAACCTCTCTACTGGAGGACATAGTCAAACATTGAAGTTTCGGTGGCGATCGATCCAATATCTCGAGGATGATCCTCGATGAGAAAGTGAGGAAGCCCCGATGCTGAAATGGCCCCTGTTCCCAGCCGTCCCCTTAGGCTTTTAGACTTCTTCTGAGAAACCCCGGTATAATCAGTCTTGTTTTCGAGTCTGGTTTGGAGGGACACCTTTGTCTGTGCGCGAAACCCATCATGTTGGGAGTTGCCCTATATCGCAGACTGAAATTCGGGTCAGTCTTTCTTGAGGGTACCTGAAGTCTCCACGACCCTTTAAAAATGGGGTCATTACCCAACATAAAGGGGTCATGGACCCATTTTTCAAGGGTCATGGAAACTCCAGGTACCCCTTTTGGGCTCGTTTTCAAGGACCACCAAACGACCGACCTCCATTTGGAGGTGGCTCAAAAACATGTACCAAAATGGCACCTTGGTAAATGGAACCAAAGACGACCGGCGTAACCCTAGCTCTCTAATTTTGAGCCACGCCCATTTTAGGGTTGGTCACCGGTCGCCGCTCTCGCCGCGCTTTCGCCGCGTCAGAGCGCCAGAGCGTCAGAGAGACCAAGCCGGCCGCAGGAGCTGGTGGCGCAGCCGCGCAAGTTCCTGGCGCCCCTGGCCTTCAAAGAAAAACAAGACCGCTTCATGTACTATAGATACATTCCAACTGAATTCTCCTCCATATGTTTTTGTTTTCCCCCTTTTTGTTTGTACATGTTTTTTGTTGGGTTCTTTCTTTTCGTTTTTTTCCGGGGGGGGGGGGGGGTGAATCTAGTACATCATTTTTTTGGGGTGGAGGTTCATGTGTTTTTGGGGTGGACATCTGGTCCTCTCTCCAGATTTTTGTTGTGTTTTTGGGGGGCGGAGGTACAATTTCGGGCCGCTGACCAGGGGATCGATCGATTCGAATGACAGTTCGGGGTTCCATAATGTTGACCCCATACCAGTCAACCAACCAGTCTATTAATAGGGGGTGCTTCTTTTGGGTGAAATGTGGTTGGAATCAGACCACTGTTGGGGGGGGGGGGCCCAAAAAAAAGAACAACAACTGAGGATGATTAATATGGGGTCAAAGTTACTAGATATATTGTAACTGGGGTCTCCTCCATTTGTTTGTGGCTTTTGTTTAAAGGGTGGAGTAGCTATGAAGCAGAATCAGAACGTATTGTCCTTTGGTGTACCTCACGTGCGAGCCAAGACAAGGGTCTAAAGGAATGGAAGGGGGTTGTGGTGCTACAGTGGATGGAGGAAATCCATTTCGCACTACCCAAGAAGCCATGGGAAGCCATTGTTTGTTGATATTGACAGGGGAATCACATATCATTCCATGGTTTCTTACGCCCATCCACAGTATTAAACCCAGAGAAATGAAAGTGGCCGACCTCTTGGTTTACTTCCCCGGTTCCCGGACTTTAGTCACTTGGAACACCAATTTTAGTCTAGGTCCCCCAGCTAGGTGCCCTTTTACCCCTTTTTTTTCTGGGGGGGGGTTCCCCTACTAAAATAGACGGCAGAAAACAGGGTACCCTTACCCTCCCCCAGACTAACATGGAAGCTCCCAGGACCCCTCTGGAAGACTTGGTTCCATTGCAGAGGCCTTCTGGGAGCTTCCGGCTGTTAGTCTGAGGGAGTGTATATATTCTAACCTCTCTACTGGAGGACCTAGTGACTTGGGACACCAATTTTAAGGACCAACAAGCATCGATGTATTTCTCTAGGGGTACCTTCCAATTCCATTCTTTCCAGGGATCCGAGTCTTTCTAGAAAACCTCCGGAAACCCAGGGAGAACGGATCCGATTTTTGGAAAGAACGATGGTTGAAAAGAATGGAAAAGGAATCAACCCCTAGAATTTCTGACCAATCCACTCGATCGAAAGTGACACGCGCTACAGCCGCTGTGCCAAGGCTGTGGCGGCTCTTGGACTTCAATGGCAATGGCATTGCGCCTCGGTCAAATCTCAGCGGGGGGTGTCTTTTTGAGGCGAAGGGAACGCCACTTGTTGCGCTTAGACCCGCCAAAGAGACAGACCAGCAGCATAAGAGGCCGAATTTCAAATGACCTCAATGGAGGCAGACCCAACGGTGACCGATGAGCGCGCACAGCCTTCCGCGGAGCAGGGTTTATCGTTGATGACCATCACTGTTTGCGGGCCGTGCACGTGCGTGATGTCCCTGCTGCTCGGTGACCAAAATGATGTTGGTCGAAATCACTCACCGGGAGCAACAAACCCGCCCGATCCCTGTGAAATACCAATACCAACCCGGTTAGTTGGTTGGTTGTTTTTCGTTTAAAGTCTTTCTAAAGACTTAAAAAGCTAAGAGCCGTTTTCGTTGTTTGACACACACACACACACACACGCAGCCAAGCTTGCTCTGAGACTTTCAAAGATGACCAAACTACAAGGGTGGAAATGTGCTACCGGTTCCCCTTGTTTCTTTCTCCAGCTGCATGTTTATTAGGCAATCTTGGGGTTGATTCCCCATTGTTTTCCACCATTGTTGCTTTCAAAAACCAGCCATTTTCCCTGGGTTTCCGGAGGTTTTCTAGAAAGAAGGATCCCTGGAAAGAATGGGGAAGATATCCCTAGAGGTAACCCAACATCACCATTTCCCCTTTCCTACCCTGGCATCAATTAGAGAATCCCGTCAAGGGGGGGGTGGTCCGAGGGTCTGTTTCAGGTCGGTTTCAGGGGGACAAATTAATGGCACACAACAAAGGGCCACACCAAAATACCTCGACCCCCAACAGAGCTACGCCTTAAACATTAAATGTCATTGCCCCCAAGATTATGGGCAGTGTTAGCAATAGTCCATTTTTTAACAGGTAGTGTTGAGCGTACAAGTATGCAAAAAGAGCGGTTGTCCTTCCGCTTTTAAGTTTCTCGATTCTTCTTGCTGGTGCCCAGGTTGGAATGAACCAAGGCTTTCGTCCCCTTACTTAAAGCACACCACTTGGGATTCGGCTTCTCTGGGGCCATTCCATAACTCTCATTCCCGGATTCATCTCTCGACTTCACCGATCGAAAATTGATTTCAGCAACTTGGTTGCAGCTGAACGGTTCAGCTCCCCCCCCCCCATTTTTCAGGTTACCCCAAATTGGTGGCTTGGATTGGTTGGGGGCTTCGAACCCTGATTATGGTAGAGGGTAAATGGGCAAACCCCTCCTTAACCACTAAACCACCAATTAGAGGGAAGCGGATTTTTTCTGTACTAGGTCCCCCAGTAAGGTGCCCTTTTACCCTTTTTTTGGGGGAGGGTTCCCCTACCAAAAAAGACTACGGACAAAAGTTGGTACACTTATTCTAAGCTCTACTGGAGGACCTAGTGTATACTGGGTCTGTGGCGTCCTAAAGCAGCGGTGGCCACGTTTTTTCTTGAAAAGGGAGTTTGTCACTACTGGAATATGTGTGTTTTTCCCCATCAGCTGAAGGCTTTGGGGCCTTAGCCCAGATAGGCTCTGGTGGTCCGGGCGGCCCTGAGGTAAGGTTCCACCAGGGTTCCACCAAGGTTCCACCAGGGTTCTGCAATGTTCTGCGGCTGCGGGGTGGTGCGAGCACTAAAAAGAGCACCGCGTGAGGACCCACTTGAAAATGGTGGTTTTCCTCTTGGTTTCCCTTTTAAGCCGCAAAAAAAAGGGGTGCCCCCCCCAAAAAGAGAAACCGCAGGCTGTCGGGAAGATCACCTTAGCCAATTCCAGGGGGCTTCGCAAACAGAGTTTTCGAGGTGTCCCTGGCGGAGATCGACCGCCTGGTGGTGGACCAGTACCCTTTGCTGAACCACAAGCGCCCCGGCACGGATCTTTGTTCGGGTCGCTGCGCTCCAAAAACGAGCGGCGCAGCAGGGACAAAGCTCCCCCGGCCAGGTGCCCTTTCTCGCCGTTTCTGTTTTGGTTGGGAGGGTTGCCCTACTAAAATAGACTACAGAAACAAGTTGGTACCCTTAAATTCTAACCTCTCTACTGGAGGGCCTAGAAAAGGGGAAGCCACAGAAGACCCTTACGGTTTTAGGGGCCAAATCCTATGTGAGGTGGAGAGTTGGGTAGGTAACCAAGGGCCCACCCTATAAACGAAAAAGGAAACAAGGGAAATGGCGAAGGGTTGCCCGCCTTTTCTGGCAACTGGGATGCGCTGGTTAGAATCACCTTGGATGCTTAGAAACGCCTGAGACCCCTTCGCTTGGGCAGGGGGAGCTCTGTGGATTCCACTCAATCCGATTGTTTGTTTGGCAGGCGGACGAAAATGGAACCCCAAAAATAATTTGGACATGGTCAAAATTTCGTAAGCATCCCAATCCCCACAACAATAGACTAAAATGGGTGGTGCACCTACCCCAAAATGGTAGCATGGGTTTTGACCTACAGCCATTTGGCCCCCACTGGGGTTGGGGAAACAACCATTTCGCAGTTGTTTGGTGGTATTTTCAATATCCTGTTCCCTGATGTTTGGTTCCCGACAAAATGGAGCCAGCCCAAAACGACGAATGGCTTTTCCCTAAGGGTCCTGGGCTTTGTATGCGAAACAGGGTGTCAAAAGGACCTGCTTCAGGGCCCCAAATTCCATCAGCCTTAGGGTTCTTGTTCTTCCGTCCCCCCATCCGAGGCCCGCCCTGATGCGGGCGTATCAGAAGACCATCTCCAAGCCAGGCGTGCTTTGCAGGGTCGGTTGCGTGCGAGCGCGTGCGCTTGCGCGTGCGCGTGCGTGCATGCGTGCGTGCCTGGGTGGGTGGGTGGGTGTGTGTGTGTGTATGTGTTTTATGTTTGCTTTGTTGAAAGGCAATCCCTCTTTCAATTTCTTAAGGGGGTTGTAGTGGTTTTCCAGTAATTCGGGAGTATGGTTTGGATTGCCCAACTCTCCATTTTGAACAGCCAAGTTTATTGTATGCGGACATGAAATTCGCTGGTTTGTGGGTATCCCCGAATTTTGACACATACTCATTTACGTTTAAACAGCCAGTCCACGTTGAACGGCTTTCCCAACATGAGGTTGTGTACACAATAACACTAATCCATATATGGTTAAAGCCATATGGGTCAGTTCAAAGTGAGTACCCTTTTGATGAGGCGATGTTCAAAGGGGAACCATATAAGACCTGTACAAGTGCAAACAGCACGAGGTTGTTTACACAGTGACAATGAACTTCCATTTGGTTAAGAATATGTTTACTTTCCCCTGTTGGTTTTAAAGGGAACCTATCACTACTGGACATATTTTATTTTTTCCAGGAGACTTAAGCAAATGGAGGTGACTGTATAGTCATGCTTAAACAGCGGGAAGGAAGCAGACCTACAGGCAAAGCTTGTTCAAACATCCAGGCCTTTTGTGGATGGACGCAATCCACGGTTTCATCCCATCAGGTTCTAACCCAACTGGCGCAGGAGGAGCGAGCCATGTTGGACAATTGGTTGTTGTTTTTGTGCGGATCCTGAGAAGACAGCTCAAAAAGGGACACTAACACGTTCTCACTTGTCCAAAGCGAATCTACCGGAAATGTGATTTTGTTTCTGTTGGTCTATGTTTAGACAGTAGTCCAAAGGGTTAAGCTTTTAAATCCTGTCCCTTTGGGCAAGTGAGAGTTTGTTGCCAACAAGTCACGGATGTGTTTTTTCCCCGTTATCTTGGACAAGGTTGTTTTTTACCCAAGGGAAGCATTTGATAAGGATCATCTCAAACAAGGAAAACATGTTTCCCACCCAAGGGTTATCCTACCTTATCTTGCCAACAAGGTTTTTTGATCGGATCATGTCAAATTGAGTTCTTGTTCGGGGTGATGTTCAAAGTGACATCTAGGGACCTCCAATAGGATTCGTTTTGGGGGTCGTTTGCCCTTGACGACTAAAGGCAAACGACATCAGGCTGTTTTTCAGCAATGGCACTACCTGGAGTCTCCATGACCCTTTAAAAATGGGTCCATGACCCTTTTATTTTGGGTAATGACCCCATGTTCAAAGGGTGATGGAGACTCCATTTGGGCCTTTAAGCATGAGGACAGTTTCAGGCCATGTCCGAACACTTCTCAAGTGACATCAACATATGCATAGAGTTCGCCTGATGGACCGGAGGAAAGGATGAGAGTATTTGGTTCGTTGCGGGAAAGAGCTGAGAGGTGTGGAAGTGTTGGGTGGTGTAAGGGAAGCCATTCGGAAATCCGGATTCTGAAGCCCCCTCGGCTTCATTTCGGACCTGGCCAGCCCTCTGCAGTCCTTTCCTGTGTGGACCCCTGCTGCAATAAACAAGTAGCAGTAACTTGCATTTGTTTATATTCCAGGGCTGGAGAGGGCCAGGATTAACCAGAAGGGGTGTTGTGTTATTCGGGCGGCTAGCCTTGAAGGGGGGTACCCTTTACGAGCTTGTCAAACCTTGTGTTCTGTCTGAAGCAAATTGTACTAAGACGGTTTTTGTCTAGTCCGGCTAGCCCATTTTTGCCTTTCTGGAATGGCAACCCTTGAGACTATGAACGGAGTCAGTATTGGCAATCAGCATTGGCAATAGCTTTGGTAGGTTAACATTACGTTTTTTGGAATATTGAATTTTGGGCCGGAAATGGACGTCGGTGATTCTGGAAGTCACCAAAAACAAGAGGGTATTTTGGCCAAACCTTTTGGGTGCCTGTAAAAAAGTATTCGCTGGCAGTCGGCTGGCAAAATTGGGCGTTAATCAGAGAGGTGTATTCGTCATGTGCCGACACGATCGAGGACCTGTCCTACTACTAGCCGGGGGTGTTCTGCTCCAACAAGTGATGCATCTCCACTCAATCTGCCATTTGCTCAAGACTAGTGTTGATTCCCCTTGTGGTTTGAAAGGGAATCTATCACTACTGGACATATGTTGATTGGTCCAAGGGCCCCCCAACAAACAACAACCCCCCATCCACTCAGGTGAGAGAAACGATTTGAGGGAATCCACGCGGGTATGGCTCGTGGGGCTGTGGAACCCCAGACTTGTTGTTGGTCTTTTTTGTTTTTTCGCTGAAACCAACCTGAAAAGAGTCTTAAACCAGCACGTCAATTTAAGGCCACTAGCACCGCACATGTTCCATCTACCTGGACCCTCAAACTACCCTTAAACATGGGTTGTTGCCCCAACATCATTGGGTTTTGTCCCTGTCTTACCGGTAGTTTTTGTCGAGTCCATGTACTGCTGGTTTCCTGCTGGTTTACCTTATACCAACCAAAGTTCTAGGGGTACCTTCCCCATTCTTTCCAGGGATCCTTCTTTTCAGGAAACCAGCAAAAACCCAGGTTGGAAGCAGATCCGGTTTTTTGAAAAGAACGATGGTTGAAAATAATGGACAAGGAATCAACCCCTAGATCTTTGGCAGATTCACAAAGTCACATCGAATTAACCCTTGTTTTGTCCTGTGCGGTGATTTGTCTCGATATGATCCCAGAAGGTTGCATAGGAGTTTGGGGAATCAACCCTTAGAAAAGGGGCGTGCTGCAAAAGCGAACTCATGCTCGAGCTCTGGCCCGCAGGAGGCGGTGACGGGGACGCGTGGGTAGAGAAGAAGGACTGATTGCTCGCATCTGGGAAATCGGGCATCCAGCGACAAATACGCAGAAATCGGGAATGCTTACTTGGAACCTATCGATTTTATCCTATCCTATATAAGCTATGACATAAGATGAGGACTGCGAACCACAGAGGCCACGACGTGGGTTGCTCCCTTGTTTTCTGCTCTTCCATTTGGTGAAAAGAATATGTTTTATTTTTTCTTGTTGGGTTTAAAAGGAATTTATCACTACTGGAAATATTGTTTGTTTTTTCCATTGGTCTCAACCAAATGGAAGTGCTTCGGCGGGGTTTTCCTTTAAAGTCAGCTGCCAAAAACGGCGCCCGGAAGTCCATTTGGGCCCATCGATACGATGGACACATTTTCTAGGTCCCCCAGCTAGGCGCCCTTTTACCAACATTTTTGGGGGAGGGTTCCCCTACTCAAATAGACGACATAAAAAAAGAAGAAAAGTTGGCACCCTTCTTCTATCCTCAAACTACTGGAGGACCTAGCATTTTCCGACTGACATGCGACACATAATGGTGTACCTTGGGGTTGGGCGAACAGCCGGGTAGATCGGTGGCCCCTGTGACCAGCCCCAGGAAGGCAGCAAAATGGCTCACAAGACGAAAATCGGAAAAGCTGCCTTTGCAAAACGCCACGGCGATGGACAACGTGTTTTTTGTGTTACCCCTTTGTGTTCAACTGGATTATCATCCCCTAAAATTCAGTTTCCACCAGCGAAAACAAAGGGGGTTAATATAACCGACAACATTTATCGTTCAGGAGTGTCATCATCCAAATTTGGGTCTACAGGGTAATGTTGACCCAGGATTAATAAACCCGTCCCATTATTCGGGGGGGGGGGTTCCCTCCCAAAGTGGTCTGAATCCCCACTAAAAGGAATTGGACACCCCCCTATTACTCAACCAGGGGCTTATTAATCCATTAATCCGGGGTTAGCATTAGTCAAACAAATGGAACCCCCAGGGCACATGAAGCAAGCCCATTGGCAGGGAAGAGGAGTTGAGTTTGGCACTGGGTTGACGCAACCCCCCAGTATGTCAACAGCGCAAGTGGTATCCCCCGCACAACCCTCCGGAAGCCTCCTAGGTCCCCCAGCTAGGTGCCCTTTCTCACCCCCTTTTTTGGTTGGGAGGGTTCCCCTACTAAAATAGACTACAGAAAAAAAGCCGGTACCCTTATTCTGACCTCTCTACTGGAGGACCTAGCCTCTGTGAAGCCTGCTCACCCTTTTCTCACAGCGAGCCCACTTGGAGGGTCAATCCATGTAGTTGCAACGGGGTCACTGGCGTTGGTTCCCGCAAAACCATCCCCTAGGGTTCCTTGCCCCCATTAAAAGAATGGCAAGGACAGAACAACCCAAAGGGGGTCTCCCTGTTTGTCCTTTTGCCCTTTGGCCCTTTTGGGTTTCCTTCATTTTGCCCAAATGGGTTCCATTGGTTTGATTACCAGGTAGGCAGAAAAAGCACAAAATCCCTCGGGTCTCCCATTTGGGAAATCAACCACTGGGAAGTCCACCTTGGGCTGGGGCCACCCCCATTTCACCGTCATGTGTTTTCCATTCGTCTTGGTGGTTCGACCAGGGAATCGTCCGGTTTTGAGGGGGGTTCCATTTAGGTTTCGGGGGTTCCCAAGATTTTTAGTTGCTTTTTCACACTGTAGTTGTTTTTAGTGGTTGGGTGTCCGAATCTAACCCACAAGTTAACTAGGTTCCCCAGTAGTGCCCTTTTGCCTCTTTTTTGGGGAGGGTTCCCCTACTAAAATAGACTACAGAAAAAAAAGGTAGCCTTATTCTAAACTCTCTACTGGATGACCTAGTTAAACTTCTAGCAGGGCATCAGTTTGAACAGCCCATGACCACTTGGGAGGCATCTTTGGAGTCTCCCCCCAGCTTCCCAAAGCAGCGATTCCTTCCATTTGCTTAAGACTATTTTGTTTATTTTCCCTTGCTGGTTTTAAAAGGAATTGATCTCCACTGGAAATTTATTTATTTTTTCATTTTTTTCAATGGTCATAACCAAAAGCAGCGATTCCGAGCCTCAAAAAAACAACAAAAAATCCGCAGGCCTGTACGCCGAACTCTTGGCATCGAATCGCAGGAGTTCAAGACGCTCTTGGTGAACCTCTTCTACTTTAACAAGGTCCGGTTTTTTGCGCCGAAACAAAATCTTAGGAAATGCATATTGTGTGGTTTTCCCCAGAGGGACTGTAGCTGGAGGAAAAACAAACACAATAGTCAATTGGGCTGTTCTGTTTCTTGAAACGAGTACTAGGTCGCCCAGCTAGGTGCCAACTTTTACTGTTATCCTTTTTTGGTTGGGAGGGTTCTCCTTCTAAAATAGACTACAGGAAAAAGTTGGTACCAACTTTTCCTCCTTTCTACTGGAGGACCTACCTTACTGTGGATGGTTGCGAAATCCAATTCGCACCACTTTGAAACCACTGGAAACCAATGCTTATTGGCATTTACAGGGGAGTCACCAATCCAGGGTTTCTTCGGTGTTTTTGTTTGGGACCTAGTGGAGGTTCCATTTTATCCACTAAACTTCCGAATGTTTTGTCCCCTGGTTGTAAGTCAGGTAACCCTTGATTGGTTTGGGATTTGAGCCCCTGGCTTTTGTAGAGGGTAAATGGGAAACCCCTCCACAACCACCAATCCCAACCACCAATTGGAGGGAAGCTGATCAAAGGGAAACTATCACTACTGGAAATGCATATTGTTTATGTTCCAGAGGACTGTAGCTGGAGGAAAAGAACACAGAAGTCAATTGGGCTGTTCTGTTTCTTGAAACGAGTACTAGGTCCCCCAGTGGTGCCCTTTTACCTTTTTTTTGGGGGAGGGTTCCCCTACTAAAATAGACAGAACAAAAGGTTGGTACCAACTTATTCTAACCTTTCTGCTGGAGGACCTAGAGTATAGAACGGTCGTTTTGGAGGGAGTTGTTCGGGTTGGTGCTGTCAGGCTTGATGGCATGGCATGTGTTGAGTGTTTCTTTTGGATCTTAGCCTGATCATTTGCTTCAACCTTATGTTGAACCTTGGTGTTTATGCGATGTGTCTATTTTGCCAGGTTGAAACATTTATGGGAGGCTAGGAAAGCGTCTTGTGCGACCTTTCTTGGGTTGCAGCTAGAAAATCAACCGGTGCCTCTTCATTTCAGTTTTATCTCAGAGGTTCCGTTTCCGTGCAAATGAAAGACAACCCCACATGCACATAGTGTGTCTTTTTCCTTTGTGAACCTTACGTGCTGTTTGCGAGCGTGTTTTGAACCCTTGATAGGGATTTAGGGGAGCGTCTTCTTCAAGGGCATTCTTTTTGGGGTTGATTTTACTGGGTCCATTGCAGTGAAACTCCCCTATTTCCAGCGGCTATGAATTGCAATTCGGATTGTAGTCAGGGTTTGTGTTTGAGGGTGTCCGTAGGTTGGTTCCAGGGAAAGCAAAATAAAAGGTAGCATAGGGTCCCCTATTTTGACACATACCGGCGGTACATACCGGACATACCGATTTGCCAGGTGTTTGAACTCCGCGGAATTCGGTCTCATGTTTTCCGCGATCGATTTGGGGCTCGGGGGCGAGACGATACAAGCCATGGGGGTTGCAACACCCATCAGAATTATGAAATCCCCTCCGGGGGCTAGGTACAAGTAGGGTGGGTAGTTGAGAGCCCAAGGGTTCCTTAGGGTTCACTAGGGTTCCTCAGGGTTATTAAGGAGCCTTAGGGAACCACCCCCCTTGGACCCCCCCTGGGCGGGATTCCATAACAGAAGAAGAGGTAGACCAATGGACAAGGGTGCGTAGGTTGTGGTCCTCAACCTGGGCCATCGCAGGAAACCAATCAAACCCGGTGTTTCCAGTCAAGGGCCCAGACAGCAGGTAATTACCTAGATAGCATCAAGTTGCCGCTTTTTGCAGTCACTGCTGGTTTTGGGGGTCAAGTGCATGGACAAAAGCAGCAACTCGCGATCCAGGTAGCCGCTTTACTTCCATTTGGTTGAGAATATTATTATTTTTTCCCCTGTTGGTTTTAAAGGGAATCTATCACTACTGGATTTTTTCCAGGGGACTTAAGCAAATGGAGGTTTAGAGCTATGGAGACGATCTTCCCCTTTTAAACCAGGCGAGGCAGAATCCTTAGCAAGTGGTAAGCTAAATCCCTCCAAGTCCATTCTAGGTCCCCCAGTAGTGCCCTTTTACTCTTTTTTGGGGAGGGTGTCCCCTACTAAAATAGACAGCATAAAAAGGGGGTACCCTTATTCTAACCTCTCTATTGGAGGACCTAGTCTCTGTTCCGATTTCTCTGTGCAGATCAGCTGGATCTTCGAGCAGGGCGCGGGAATAGACATGGACCGGCGCATGACGTTGGAGGACGCCGCTTCGGCTGACGCGGGTTTCATAGGCCCCAGTGATCAGGTCTCAAACTCAAGCCCAAAGAAATATGACAGTTAAACCTTATTTATATTTACCGTTAAGTTGCTCTTATTTTGGGCTTATCCGTAAGCGGGTATGTTCCAGTCTGGTGGGAATGGTGGGACAACCTTGGAATCTTGGATGGCTTCTGCCAGGATTCCATTTTGGTTGACCCCAACGAGACTGAAACCCAGAAGTTCCCTTCTTCGTGAAATCAACCGCTGGGTTTAAGTCTACCCAATCAACATTCGGAACCCTACTTTTCGCTACCCAGATACCATCACTAGAAAGCCTATATGTAAAGGTATCTACCCATGTTCAGTTTTTTGGGTAGTGTGTTGGGGGTAGTGGCAATCCTCTTAGATTTGTGGGCCCAGTTTTTGTGAACAACCTCTCTCGCCAGGCAAAACATTGGTGGGCAACAAAGAAAACCAGAACACCACGTGGAGCACAAACCTTTGGTGGGAGAAAGCATGCCAGGGATTGGGGATTCGGGAACGGGGGGGGGGGCTGGGGAATTTCCACCCTTTACTCAGTTGTCCAGTGGCGCCCTTGTTCCTTTTTTTTTGGCGGCTGCCCCACTAAAATGGTCTTCCCAAAAAAGGGTTCCCTTTTTTCCCAGGGTCACCGAACAACTGAGTTTAAAAATGGCTTTGCTTGATTGCCATTGGCTTGGATCTTTAGACTACCTTTTGGGGGGGCACCAAGGGCCTGACTTGAGGATTCTCACGATCGGCGGCGTGTCTTGCTAAAAAAAACATATACAATCCCATCCGGGTAGGTACGTTCGGGTGGGGTGGGTAGTTGAGAGCCCGTTTTGGGTTCCTTAAGGTTCCCGGCCAGGATGGTTGAAATACGCAAGATAGAAGAACCGGTGGATCCAGTTACCTGGTTCTGTAGGTAACCAAACGCTTGCCACCCGGTTTTTAAAGCCGGAAGGAACATCGTTGGCTAAGTATAAGGACAACTCGTATCCACTGTGCATGATTGAAATATGCATGGAGGAAACGGATGGTGTCTCAGGGCACCTTGGAGTTGCCACCACCTTAGGCCCTCATGGCACGGTCAGTACGCCCGCTTGGTGGGTTTAGTTTGCTTTTTGGAGGCTAGGTGCCCCAGTAGTGCCCTTTCTCACCCCATTTTTTTGGGGGAGGGTTCCCCTACTAAAATAGACAAAAAAAGTTGGTACCAACTTATTCTACCCTCAAACTACTGGAGGACCTAGTCAACGAACCAAAAAAGGATGCGGCTTTCCCCCTATGACCATTTTTGCATCTGAGCTCCGGTCTGGCTTTTCTAGGTTTTTCCCCAGTAGTGCCCTTTCTCACCCCTTTGGGTACCCTTATTCTACCCTCTCTACTGGAGGACCTAGGAGGTGTTCTCCGGAGGGGAAACACCACAGGCTTCAACTCCAAATCAGCACCGCGCTCCAACCCGAGCTCCATGGCTAGGTTTACCCCCTTGGGGTATGGGTTCGACAAAATTGGCGTGCCTGAAACGGCCAAAGCTTTGGTTTTGGTTTCCCTTTAAAGAACCAGCCAAGGAGTCCACCAGGTTGAGAAGCTGCTCTACTTGAAAGCCTTCCCAAGTGCCTAGATAGCATCAAGTTGCGATCGCTTTTTTCAGTCGCTGTTTTTTTGGGGCTTTGAGTGCATGAAAGAAAAAAAACGATCGCAACTGGCGATCCAGGTCCCTCTTTGTTCTGTCGAACAAACAGGGTCCCTTTACAAAAAGGCAACCTAGATAGCCAGTGGCGATCTTTTTTGTCCATGCACTCAAAATCCAAAAAACCAGCAGCAGTGACTGAACAAAGCAGCAACTTGGCTATCTAGGAACTTCAGGCAGAGATTTTCCGATGGAACCCTCGCAGCGGCTTTTGCGACGCAAGGAGTTCCGACGTGTGCTGGTGCTCTGCGGCTGCTCCATGACGGATGCGGAGGCGAAGAAGCAGTTCGAGGCCATGGATAGGCCGGGACTTTGGGACCCGACTCGACCCGACTCGAATTCGTTCTCTACTGGGGACTTGAGAACCAAATGGGTGTGGCAATCAAAATTCAACAAGAAAGCAAACCGCAGGTTTTAAGCTCCATGTTTCCATTTCCCCACCGGGCCACCCATTTTGGACTTCCCCGGGTTTTTTGGTTGCCACCGCCACCAAAATGGCTTCATCTTCACCGAGCGGTTTCGGCGATCGAGTCCCCGGGACCCGAAGAAAGACTTGCGGCACTTTTTGTTCGGGCGTGGGGCCCAAATTTTTGGCGGCGGCGACCAACAAACAAAAGGAATCCAAACATGGCTTGCCCGAGCGGCAAGTGGAAGCCTGGAGTTTAAAACCTGCTTGCCGTGGCAAGTGGAACTAAGTGGAAGCATGGGAACCCAAAACCTGCGGAAACCGCCCCTCCGATCGTTGATTTTGAGCCACACCCGTTTGAGTGGCACACGAAATGTTCGGGCTGCCTTTTCTTTGGCTGGTCTGGATCGGAAGTGAAATTCAAGGTGTGGGGGGGACCAATTCAAGAGACGGGCTTGGGGTGCGGGAAGTTTGTTCTGGTCCCAAGTCATGTGCGCAAATTATACCCGGTTCGGGCAATACTGTGGATGGTTGCGACCACCTAAGAAACCAGGAAATGATGTGATTCCCCTGTAAATACCAACAAACAATGGTTTCCCGTGGTTTCTTAGGTTGTCACCACCATTATGTTCCTGACGGGTAACTCATCATCCAACTGTCCACCGTTCAATGGGGCGCAAGTTGAACCCTAGAAAACATAACTGCATCCAAGGAGTTTCAACACCAACCTTTAACCAAACAGGGGTTCCCCCAAAACAGGAATTCCCCCAAGAAAGGGTTCCCACAACCGGTTGCCCAAGAACCGGGGGGCTTCCCAAAAAATGGAGTAGGGACACTACACAAGCTCCCGCATCAATGCGGCGCGCTGCGAGCTCCATGAAGGTCCCTGGCAGTTTGGGGGATCTGATGGTCTTCTTGTTTAGTGTTTGAGTCGTGTTTTTCGCATCGTTGTCGGCATGTTTTGTTTTGTTTTTGTTTGTGCGTGTTTTGGTCGGTTCTGCTCAATTCTAGTAGGGGCTTGCAAAAAACACAAGTGTTTGCTTACCAAGGGTTGAACAGTTCAGAATATACCGTCCTGTTTAAGTCAGTTTGGTTAAAAATAGATGGCACTGGTTTAGATTGGCTTTATTCAGGGTCATGTATTTCTTCAGTTTAGGTCACCCTATAATCTTCAAAGACCGAAGCCAACCCGAAAATTGGCGAGCAGTTCACAATCCATGGAAACCTGTGTTTTGAGGCTCGCTGCTCGCGTATGTAAAGCGAAGTCAGAACAGGTGGCAACTGATATCACTTTAGCACCATAAACGGGTGCTCCCAAACAAAAGCAAACTTTCAGTTGGGGATGGAGACTGATCAAGGTTCCCAATTATTGTCCCGCTTGCAGTTCCAAGCATCTTCCGAACACGCATTTGGAGTGACTTTTCTGGTGGGGTTCCTTGTTTTCAGGGGGTGACATCGAATCCAAGTTCTGGGTTTCCGAGCCATTTCCCCGGAACTTCCAAAAACGGTTCAACGAAAACCGCCAGGAAACTTGCACCTTTTGACTTGGGGACATATGTCCCGGAGACTGGAGACCACCCACAAACTGATGAACTTTTGATTCGGGGAAATCCAAGCAGCGCCCAATATGTTGGCGCATGTTGGCACGTGGCTTCAAGAGGTTTGCCTTTGCTGGCCTGGCATGCTCTCCCGGGCGCCACAAAAATGCACCCGAGGGTCCTGGATGTTCGGCCGGTGAATCAAAATTCGGCTTTCTTAACGCGCCATTGCTTGGAGTCTTCATGGGGGTTGGGGCAGGGAGGGGAGGGGGAGGGAGCCCAAATAATCCCCAATAAGGTCTGATTGAAACCTTAATGGGGGCTTAAAGGGGCTCCCTCCCCCTCCTCTCCCTCCCCCCCAGCCCCCATGAAGTCTTCTTCTGACCCTGGTCATTACGCAAAAGAAAACAAGTCATGGCCTCGTTTTTGAGGCGGACTGAGTCTTGAAGGGTTCAATCTTGGCTTTTCCTGAGGTCTTGTTCAGCGTACTTCTGTTTGCGTAGTTTTAAAGGGACGCCAACAGGAAAATTGCAATTTTGCGGGGGTCCGATAAAAAGGCCACTTTCGAGATCGCCGAATTGCCTTCGAGTCAGTCACTAAATATGAGCCACAATCAAAACAGTCTAAATGAGGCAAGGCGCCCGCGGATCTTGAATCTTTTCCAGGGCTTTGGGCAGACCAGCAAATGACATCTCGGAAGCCATGTGTGGTTTTATGCTGTTGCAAATTCATGGGTTGAAACCCCCCGTGCGTTCTGGTGTGCCTTCCATTTCCACTACGGAGCGACAAACTAGTTGGATATTCAACCCACGCAGCAGGTTATAACCCCCAACTGCTGTGCAGAGCGCAAAGCAAACTGCAGCTGACCGCGCAAACAATGTAGCTAAAGTCATTCCTTTGTAAAAGGAAACAACTTGAGTGTTGTATTCAGGGATCCTTCTTTCAGGAAAGTTGGACAACACTCCAAGCGAACATTTGGCTGGGCGCATTTTAGCGACCTCACACGATCGAATTCACCCCAAATGGTGGTTTATGTGGGGAAAGCCCCCCCAACCACCTTATGTCAGGTTGGAATATTATAATTCACCCAGATTTGGGGCCGGTTTCTGCCTTGGAGCCCATTTTTTTGGAGGAACCACGGGGGTCTGGTGCTGCTGGACGAGTTTTGCTCCTGGTTCGCCAGCAGCTCCTGTCCGGAGGCACTCGACACTTGGCTCGGGAAGTGAAGGCTAGGGAAGTTTGTTGCAAGCTCCAGGCCTTAAACTTCGCTTTGATCAGCACAAGCTGGTGGACTTGCAACCTGGGCTCGGGAGGTGAAATGAGGTTTCGCAAGACGAGGCAACGAGCAATCGGAGGTTTCCAAAAAGGCCATTCTCCGAGGATGGCTCCACCTGGCTTCATAGAGTTTGTGTTTATGTCATGTTGACAAAGCCAAGCATCGACCTAGGCGCATCTGTTTTTTAGGACGCCCCAAAATGGCGCTTTTCGGTTTCCTTTTGGTGTCCCTTTAAAGCAACAAAACAAAACAAACTCATATAGGGTGGAACGGGTGCTGCTCATTTGCCCTCTGTCAGAGGTGTTGGCATTTGAGGGATCCCCAAGATGCTCTAGGCCTCCAACACATGTATTCGGGAATAGGGGCTAAAACCCTGTAAAACGAAGGCGGCCCTTCAAGCTGAAGTCTCCCGAGATATTTTGCATTTTTGCACCTTTTAATCTTGGAGATACCTCACTTGGAGGCAGCCCTTTGTATGGAGCGTTTGGAGTCCTTGAATCCATGTCTTTCTGAGGACACAGAATGATGACCTGGCGTCTCCAAACTTACCTGAATTGGCAAACCTTGGTGGCTCCCAGCCATCTCCTTAGCTTCTTAGCTTCTTAGTGTGTAGTGGTTGGATTTCCATTTAACCCACTAAGAGTTATTCACTTTTAGCAGGGAATCTGAAAACGGACAGCCCAGTTTTGTCGGCAGGTGCCCTCATATTTTTATGCCAGTTCCAAACGGTTTGTGATTTTTTAGGCCGGTAAACTCAGCAGATCTCTAGGGGATGATTCTCCATTCTGTTCAACCATCTTTCTTTTCAAAAATGAAAACTGTTTCCATGGGTTTTTGTTTGTTGTTTCTTGGAAAGAAGGATGCCCGGAAAGAATGGGGAAGGTATCCCTAAAAGATCAACACACCGCAAAACGGACGAAGGCAAGGGAGGCACGTCTCCCACGTCTCGGTTTCCCGCCCTCCTGGCCAGGGCATGACGTCGTTGGTGGGTTGAGGAGCCCCGCTGGAAGTGGAAGTGGGAAGGTGGGTGTGCCCCAAATCGCATGAGCCCTCGAGAGCTTCTAGGTCCCCCAGCAATAGACAGACAAAAGTTGGTGCCCTTATTCTAACCTCTTAAATGTGGAGGACCTAGAGCTTTGCTGTTTGATTTGCTAGATTCGCAGACGCACCGATATGACAATGACATGAGGATTGATGCGGCGATGGCCAACTTCCCCCCACCTAGGGGCCCACGTTTTTTTTTTGTTTGCCACCTTTTTGGTTGGGAGGGTTCCCCCGTGTCTAAAATAGACTACAGGGAAAGCTTGGTACCAACTTAGCCTAACCTCTAACTACCGGAGGACCTAGATTTGCTAGATTCACACACACACATGATATTTAAGGTATAAATAGATAGATGCTATAGATTGATACGCATAATGACAGCGATCGCATCATGATTCACCTTGGTTTTCCAATATTATTCCAATGACTTGCTATCCAGTGGGGCAGGACGCAGCAAGAAGTCATTGTTTTGCTTTCTGGAGTCCGGGGCCGGTCGCGTAGCTCCAGGTGGGCCTGACTCTCAGCCTTCTGAGGTTTACGGTAATCAACATAGAACCCAACAAGGAGGGGTCCGAGTTGAAGAGGAGATTCCTCTAAACATGGATGGCTTTTGGCGGGTTCCATGCCCCTAGGAGCAATGAAGGCGATTTCATCCAGGTTCCCTCGTTCAGGCCAAGATGTTTGGCCAAATGTTTAGGAGAGGGACCCAACCCAAAGACCCAAAGACCCAAATGGTTAAGAGGTCTTAGGGCCACAGGCAAATTGAGGTGGGGTCTGCTTACTCCCGAGTACGTGGACTTGATAAAGAAAAAGGGAAGACCAAGCGAAGAGTTCATGGGAGAGAGGGGAGGGGAGGGGGGAGTGAGCCCAAATAAGCTCTTAAGCCCCAACAAGATCCTCCCCCCCCCTTCCCTTCCTTTCCAGGCCCAAGGAAGCGAGCTTCGTTGAGCTCCCGAGGAGCCGAGGGTTTTGGGCCGTTGAACGGCCGTTGCCGTGATCGGCCTCCGGGAGACTCTCCGGGAGTCCGCGGAACACATTTGGAGTTTCCTTGGCGAAGCCCAAAAACGGCTACTCCGACCTATTTCTAAGTCCCCCAGTTGTGCCCGTTACCAACTTTTTTGGGGGAGGGTTCCCCTACGGTACCTCTCTGCTGGAGGACTTAGATTTGCTTAGGTTATCATTGTCATATTGTCACTACTGGCATTATTATTGTCATTCGTAGTATTATAATTATTAGCATCAGCATTATTTGTAATACGAGTATGATGATTTGCATATTGTTCTTTATATGAATTCAAAATAGTGATTATTGTGATTGTTAGTTTCCCCTGATGGTTTTAGAGGGAATGCATCACTATGTTTCAATCTAACCACGGGATGGAGGTAACCCAAAGGCCTTACCCATACCTTACCCCTGAACAAGAAATCACAAAGAGTAGTTTGGAGAACCCCTAACAATGCAACCACTAGAGTGATTTTCAGTGGTTCTGGGCCCAACTGTGAGACCTCAAGAAGGATATACATATATTCATAGTGTCTCATCCATCCCAACAGTTGGGCCCCTTTTTTTGAGATGTGTTTGGGTGTGTGTGTGTGTGTGTGCGTTTGGGGGAAGATGAGACAAGCTTCGCTTTCATCGATTACTTCCGGAGCAAAGAGATCTCCCGGCAAGTCTGAGCGCGGAGCCACAGGGAATGGCGCTTGAACGCGAAGAATCTGAAGCCGCTAATGGAATTGAAAACCTAGGTTGGCTTAGGGTTGGGGTCTCCTTCAATGCTATTTTATATTTTAGGGTGGGTAGCACAGAGCGTGACATATTGGCGTTGTTTTTTAGGGGACACCCCCAACAAAAATAGGCACCGTCAAACAAGACACACCCATATGATTTTCTGTGCACCCCAGAGTAGTTATAGGTCCCCCAGTAGCGCCCTTTTACCCTTGGGGGGAGGGTTCCCCTACTAAAATAGGCTACAGAAAAAAAACAAGGTACCCTTATTCTAGCCTCTCTACTGGAGGACCCAGATGAGGATTGACCGGTTTGCTCAAGGAGCAAATTGCGGATCACGCTGTTGTCAAATTTGGGGGCCATCGCAGTGCCCTTGACCTGGGTTCCCCCATAGCCAATGTTCAGTGCGGAGTCCGGTGGCACCATGTCTTTCGCTTTTTAGGTTCCATGTCTTTTTTCTACCGGGGCCACTGGGCCACGAGTCTGCAAGTTTGGCAAGTAGCATGAGCTGGTTTTTAAGCAAAGACGGGGTTCTGGTTGCTAGTGCAGGGTGGGAGTTCAGACCACTTCTTTGATACCGAACCTTGTTCTGGTGGGAATGCTTCAGAGTTGCACCATGGGAGCGTTCCTGACCTATGTGGAAAGCCCCAGGAGAACAAGGAAAAGAAGCTTCAGCATCTAGTAGAACATGTTTTCATCAAGGGTAGCTATGTAGGGTTGAACCTTGGCCAAACTAAAATTGCATGCATGTCACAGCTGCCATTCCTTTTGCGACAGAACCAGAGCTGCAAAAGCGTTCTATTGGATGTCAGCTGCCACCGGCGCCTCGCGACTTCGCGACCACCCATAGCGTTTTGTTTTCCCATTTGAGAACAACCAGCTTACAACTCCGGTGGCTTGCTGATAGCTTGGTCTGGGATCAATTTTCAACTCGCCAGCAGCGCAGCGGGGCGCACAATGCCACAAACCGTCAAAGGCGGAAACGTGATGCTCATCCCCACCGCCTTAAGAAGCAACAAATTGAAGATGAGCCCTGGAATTCCATTTATACGTCCACTGTCCCTTCAGGAAAGATTGGAAACAATGGACTTGGGGTACCCGCCCCATCCTGATCGCGCACTTCTCATCGCGACCACCAAAGGTGGAGCTGTGCAGAGTGCAGCAAACGAGTGTGCAGAATTGAGCTGTGAAAAGTGCCCTTTTACACTTTTTTTGGGGAGGGTTCCCTACTAAAATAGACTACAGAAAAAAGTGGGTACCCTTATTCAAACCTCTCTACTGGAGGACCTAGAAGAGGATCACCTGTTATTTCATGGGCCCAACAAGTTGGCAAGTGAGAACTCCTTGTCAGGTCCCGCAAGCGCTCGCTACACATCCCAACCTGTGGCGGAGTTTCCGGGGGAATCGGCGCAGCAGAGCTTGTCTCAGGTTCCCCTTAATTTGTGAATTGGATTGGTGGTTTGCTTTGAATATGTGGTTCTTGTTGAGGGAACCCCCCTAGCCTCCAATCCAAATCACACATTTGGGGGGAAGCCGACTTTTCATTTTTCACTGATTTCTTCCTCAACTCTTTTCATGTTTCATTGATTTCTCCCTTGACCCGGAAACCGTGTTTGGTTGTGGATTTCCAGCTATGGGGGGCGGTCTCCTGCATTAGCCATGCTGAACAAGGCCTTTTTCAAGGGTGAATATTTCCCAGCGGATTCCATCTTGCATGAATAGCAGGCAACCCTTCGCAACTTTCTTTGTTGTTTAAAGGGTGGCTCCAGTCATAACCTACTATGCAGGAAATTCACTGGCAACAATCAGGACATATCGTGCGAGATGGCTCTTCAGCCATCCTGCTGGATTTTGTCCACCGCTTCCTCCCCTGATTCCATGTAGTGGGCTCCTTTGGTCAACTCGGTGGCTTGTTTGGCCCCCACCTCCGGGTTCTCAAATCACAGCCTAGGCCTAGGCAGCCCCAGTCGCCCGAGGGTTTTCCGTGGTGGGTCCTAAAGAACTCTTTGCCTTTGCAAGGGCATTTGGTTATTTTCGGTGTGTCTTGTTCTAGAAATCGGACCCCGCAAAATGGCTTTGGTTTTTCCCTTTGGTTTCCCTTTACAACCAGCAAAAAAATTACCCTCGAAAAAGACAGGCCAATTTCCCTTTTCAACTAAACAGTTTAACTTGTCGCAGTCCAATTGTCCAAGCAGGCTGCCGTTTTTTCTTGGGGGCAGAGCCTGGGGAAGAACCGTACATCACTGCCTGCAAGTGTAGCAGGCGGCGCCAAGTTCGGTCGCAAGCAACGCGAAACCGAATGTCACCTTTTGAGTTCCCACTTGACTGACCAGTTGATTGGTGACACTCCTGACGGGTTTCTGGGTATGATTGGGTCAAAATCAAACCACTCGGGAACTGCAGGTTTTAGTCCTTGTTTTCATTTACCAGAGTTCCGTTTTGGGTACCCATTTTTGACCCACAGCCTTCTCACGTTTGACCAAGTTGAAGCAAACGTTCCGAAAGATGTACCTTTTATGTCCAGGTCCTTTGGCATAGGCGACCTGGAGTCTCCATGACCCTTAAAAAATGGGGTCCCTACCCAAAATAAAGGGGTCATGGATCCATGTTTAAAGGGTCATGGAGACTCCAGGTATGTTTGTGATTGAAGGCGGCGTATTCGTATTCTTCCAAGGGCGATTGCCGTCATCTTGGAGCTACTCCCCTTCAAACTGTGAGGTTCCCTTTGGTGATGGAAGCCTGCATGAAACAGTACTTCACTTGCCGCATCTTGCCCCAGGCAGCTCATGTTGTGGTTCAGATTCGGTGGAGGGCATAAGCCGTATTGTTGCAATAATTCGAGCTTCCGATATTCAAAACCGTCATCGACCTGCAGTTCGACCTTGCACCAGCATGAAATGGTTTCCGGGGGGTTCAAGCCGCCATTAAATCAAAGGGGGGTTTATATAACCTACCTCTTAAAAACACAACTTTTCAACTTTTTGGGCAACATGGGCTATATGTCTGTAAAAGATTAACTTCCCCAGGGATTGGAGTTTTAAGGGGTAAGACAACCATCATTGTTAACTCGGGAATGTCATCCAAGTTGGGTCCCCTTGGACTTGGGCCATTCTTTTCATGGCAAGAGCCCTAGGGGTTTGGAGCAGGGTTGTGGTTGATCGCTCGGGGTTTATCCAACCACTTCTGTGCAGGGTTTATCCCCATGGTTGAAACCATAAGTTGTTGGTATTTACAGGAGAATCAGACCATTCCAGGGTTTCTTAGGTGGTGCAGGGTTGTCGTTGATCACAAGGCGTTTCTCCAACCACTTCTGTGATACTTTTGAATCGGAATCTCCCCCTTTACATGGGGGTTTAGTTTGTGGGGTTAGGCCCTTTTTGTTGTATCACAGAAGTGGATTCCATTTCCCACAGCCCTGGTTTGGAGTTAATTGCCACTCGATTCAAACCATGATCGTTGTTTGATGCAGCTTACGCTTCAACTTGCTTCTGGCTGAGGTTCCCGTCCCTTTGCCAATAATTTTGCTGGTGCGATAGGCAGGGAGAGAAAAATATGGAATGACCCTCCAAGAGAGTCCCTTGTGGTTTCGGTTCATTTGCAAACCCCATGTTGATTCCATACTGGGAACAAGCAAGTAATTCAATTCCCAATATGGTTCTCTATAGGGGTTTGTCTCAAAATAGGACCCTCCAAACCGGTGGTTTCCTTTTGGTTTCCTCGCACAAAGGAGACCCTCAAAAAAAAAGACGCACCCACATATCCCGTCTAAAGACGCCACCCCGATCCTTGGTCAAACATTTGGAACCATAGGAGACCTCTTGACTCTGGACTAAAATGATGATCGTTAATTAAGACATATATATATATATTATAAACTTAGGTTTTCCTGGACCCTCAACTACCCTTCACAAAGGGGAATTGCCCGGCCCGAAAATTATTGGCTGTTCCAGAGTTTTAAGGGTAGTTTAACGATCCAGTTTTTGTTCTTTCACATTGACTCAAGATGCTTGCACGCGCTTGCACTTGCTTTCACTTGGCACTCGATGTTTTGCGACCCAGCGCTCCTTCTTGGCCCCAGACTGTTCTGGAGCCCGAGCGGCATCTAAACATTTGGCCGAATCGAATTGTTGTTTCCAGTACAAACGCAATTTCATGGGAAACCCAGTGGCCCCTGACGTTTGCACTTTTGGATAGCCGAGCTGGGGAAGGGAAGACCAGCATGGTCTCCCAAAGGAGTTTCAACCTGAGTCTGAACATGGCTCGCGGGTCACCCCTCTGAGTTTATCCAATGTTTCCTCAACCCCCCAAACCTGTAGTTCTACCATGAGAAAGCTGGATATAGCCCTCAGCCTCAAGTATAGAACCTCAGACCTTCAGGAACTTTCCTTGGGTTTCCGTCGGGTTTCTTCGAGTTCTCGATTCCTTTCCTCCCAAGACAACCACAAAAAAAAAAAACGCCCCCACGCCCCCGACGCACGACACCCCCGAAACCGGGGCCTCGGACGAGCCCCGGCGAGCGGAAGCCCGGCGCGCGCCATGTCGTGGTTTTCGGGATCTTCCAGCGCCCGGCGTCCAGTTTGGGCGGTCCAGGGAGTCGGGCCAGGGGGAGGGGTGTGTGGGGGGGGGGTCTGGGGGGGGTTGTCTAAGCTAGGTTCCTCAGCGGTTGGTGCCAACTTTTTACCGTTTCTGGTTTGGTTGGGAGGGTTCCCCTACTAGGTCCCCCAGTAGTGCCCTTTTACCCTTTTTTTGGGGAGGGTTCCCCTACTAAAATCGACTACAGCAAAAAGGGTACCCTTATTCCAACCTCTCTTCCGGCGGACCTAGCCTAAAATAGACGACAGAAAAAAGTTGGTGACAACTGATTCTATCCTCTCTACTGGAGGACCTAGTTGGAATCCCGGGAGGGGGGTCCAAGGGGGTCCGGGGGGGTTGCCTGAGGCTCCGAACAGATTTTCCGAAGAAACCCGAAGCATCCCTAATAATGTTGACCCCGGATAAATAAACCCTTGTTTATTAATATCGTTAATATGGGGGTGTCCCTGGTTTTAGTGGGGATTTATCACTTTTGGAGGGGAACACCCCCATATTAATAAACTGGGTTTATTAATCCGGGGTCAACATAAAAGCCGAAGGAACCTTATGGAACCCTAAGAAACCCGTTTCGGGCTCTCAAATACTCATCGTAGGGATTCCATGTCACTTCGGTGACTCGAGTCTCGAGAAGCTGTCAATCAAAACCGATTCGGGATGAACGGTAGAATCGGGATATCCAGCCTGTTGATGCGATTCACATGGTTTTGGATCCTGAAAGGATGTCACAGTATTTAGGGTCGTCTCAGCATGCAATAAGTTGCGATGTGTTCTTTTAGGCGATGTACCTGGGAGTTGGTCCCGGGAACACTTCCCAAGTGCCCCGCAGAGGAACCACGTGGTCAGATAGCCGTAAAGATTTTGCCGCTTTTCTTGCCGGCAAGCGAACCAACCCCGTACTAGCGAACCGGTTTTCCCCTCCAAACATCATGAACCCCACTAAAAGGGGACACCGCCCTATGAATCAATCAGGGCTGTATTTTTCCGGGCTTCCCATCACCCTGGCAGCTGATTCCGAACGTTTATTCACCTTACCGTTACAGCTTATTGCACACCCCGCTTTGGGGCACTTCTTCAAGCCCCCCCGCCCCCCCGGAAAAACACACACAAACACACACACACACACGCACGCACGCACGCACGCACGCACGCACGCGCACACACGCGCGCACACACACACACACCGAGTCACACACGGACGTGCGCACGCACGCACGCACGCACGCACACACAGACGCACACGCACACACAGACGCACACACACACCCAACACAGGGCTTGTGTCACTATAGGTCTTTGTTCTGAACGATGCTATAGGTCATGGTTTCAACTACAGCGTTGGCAGTGCCAGATTGTGCTTCGAAACTCGTGGCTATAGGCATCTTATATCTACAGTGTTGGCATTGCAAGTGGTTTGTGCACCCGCTAACATGCTTAACTTTTAACCAACAGTTCCCACAGCTGCACATGTGTTAGGGTTTTTCAAGCATGTGTACCTGCTCACTCCCGTTTTTTCACCCTTAGTGCACATGCGCATGTGTGTTTGTATGTTTTGTGCTTGTGTGTGATTGAGTTTTATGTTGTGTTTTGACTTTTTGGGGGATGTGTTTGGAGTTTGCGTGGCCCTTTGCCTGCCCGTCGACGCCCCGTACAGGAATTGGAATGCTTGCATGGATAAATGATCCCAAATAAGGAAAACCAACATGCTAAAAATGTTTCTTTGGGATTCCTTTGTGGAAACAAATGTGCAAAGACACTGCCCAGCCAAACACACACACAGCGGCCGCTTTTCACATCGAAACTGCCCGCGTATGCAGCCATGGTCGATCCAGAATGTGCATGAGCGATCGGGTCCGCCATCCTTGGATTGGCAAGGCGCGGGGTGCAAAAGCATGCTATATATATATATATATCGTGTGCGCGTGCCTGCTGATCGCAGTTTGGCTCGTGCGCGCTTTAAGCGTCCAATATGCCGTGCCGGGCGGCTTTGCAGAAGTTAGCTCGTGAACGCCTAGCATGCAAGATGGCGGCGAACATCGTAAAGCGACTCGAAGAGACGGGCCAGCTGCAGCAAATGCACCTCATGGGGCGTGTGCTGCCGCTAGGTTCGCTGAGGCGGCGGAAAGTGCGAAGCGTGCTCAGCTTCGTGGCTGACTCTCAGTACGCCGGAAGAACCTTCACAAAGACGTTTTGCCGGTCTGTGCTCAATCAACTTTACCATGACCATGCCTTGCAAGCAGCAGACCCTGCTCGTGAAGCGTGCCGACTGAAACGTGCTTTGCGTTCGGCTAAGCGGGCTCTTAGAAGTGCTGGCGCCATGTCTATGGTGGACAGTGCAGAGACTCAGGCGCGCGTTTTTTGTTTTCCATTGCGCATGCTCGGTTTTGAGATTTGTGCGTGCAAAGGCGGTGTGGCTGCTCAGCTGCAAGTACGTGTACGTGCAATCAAGTGCAATGTGCGCGCATTTACTTGCCTAAGGGAGTGCGAAGACATGGCCGAGCCGAGGCTTGGCTTTGTAAGTTTTCGACATGCGTGGGTTACTGCCAAATCTAAGGAAAGGGTGGCCGGAGGAGCCGTCGAAGGGGTCTGCGGATGGGTTGCCCGGCAGATTTAAACATCACTCAAACTGCCCAATAAATCTGAAACTGTTTCCATCGGAGGCAAGTGCAAAAAACATGATTGTTTCCATCCCTAAGGATGCCAAAACTCAGAAAAGCACATAGAGTTTGATAGGAGTTAAGTGTGTTTAAACCCTGATTTGACCATGCCCCGCCCACGCAGCCAAGGCTCCAAAATGAGGAGGGCTCCTCGCATCAGTGCCTTGGATCGAAGCAGGCTTGTCTGCAATTACAAAAACATTTGGGTATGGGTCATTTTTTTCCACCAGGGGACCGCAGGTTTTGGTCCATGTTTCCACTTACCAGGGTTCCATTTTGGGTGATGCTTTGCAGCAAATGAAGCCTCTTCCCATGCGCATGTTACACCAAGGGAGGATCTGGATGGCGAACCTTTCGAGTCCGACGAGCCCCTTGAAAGCAAAACAATTTGCATCACACATGTGGTCATGCCATGGTTCGATCATAGGAGGAGTAGCGACACAGAGGAGCCCTGGAGTCTTGGCAAAACTAACCCCTGGTTTTCTTTAACCTTGAAATCGCTGTAAGGGGTACCAAGTCCGACAAGACCGCTGCGACACTATGCTGCATACAAACCAAATATGGAATCGTTTACTTTTAGTATCCCCCCTTTTTTCTGCCCAGGACGGACGCCATCCAAGAACAAGAGGACACGACTCTAGCCATGCACTTTGTGTGTGTGTGTGTGTGTGTGCGAGTGTGTGTGTGTGTGTGTGCGCCTATGCCATGCCACATGCGCACTGCCATGTGTTTCCGCCAAGGATCATGGATGAATCCTGGAAGGATGAAATCCTTAGCTGCACAAACGCTGCTGCCTGGAAGTGTTGCACTGTGTGCGGCAGCTTAGGACCCTTGGCGAAGAGGAAACCTGGAAAGATAAGATCCTTGATTGCATTTTCCATCCTTGACAGGCCAGCCATGCATTGCAGTCAAGGGCAACAATTACTTAAGACGACTAGAAGAAGACTCTGCGCATTCCACATCTCTGGAAAACATTAAGCTGCTCGCTTGCTGTAGCTAAGGGACGATGGCAATGGATCCTCAAAGGATGAGACTCTTGACTGCGTGCCCCGCGCTTTGGGAAACAGTACGCTGATCGCAGCTAAGGACAAGCGAATCCTCGAAGACTGAGACTCTTGACTGCATGCCCGGCCCAAAGCCAATAGATGTTCACATGTGAAGTTTTGAAAGCAGACGAGAACAACAAAGCTGACAACCACATTGTGCCATGTTTTATGCTTCATCGGGACAGGTTTCAAATTAGTTGCAGTACCAGGATGCGTTGCCACTGCAAAGCTTTCCGGCATGCAGGGTCAGGGAGGGGTCGTGAGTCGCAGCCTATCGATGCTGCAAAGGCAAATCCGACCCCACATGCAAAACAAAAGGTGCATACATCAGTATGGCGCAGCTAAGGACAACCGAATCCGCGACGGATGAGACTCTTGATTGCATGCCCCGCATCTCTGAGAAACATTACACTGATCGTTTGGCGCAGCTAAGGGCAAGAGAATCCTTGAGGGAAGCGACTCTTGACTGCCGTCTTTTGATTGTTGAACCCCCTTTAAACAAAAACAAATTCCAGGTTGCTCCAAATTGAGCAAATCGTTTTGTGCAGCTAAGGACAGATGAAGTTCCATCCTCGATCTTTGAGAGTCTTGACTGACTTTTCTTGACTGTTGAACCGTCCCGCTAAGGAACCAGGACGATTTCGAGATATCGTTTGTTGCAGCTAAGGAACCCTGACAAGGAATGCTGGAAGGATGAGACACTTGACATAATTTTCTTGATTGTTCAACCCCCCTTTACAGTCCAAGTTCCAGGTGGTTCCACATTCGAGCAAAGCGTTTGTTTGCAGCTAAGGACAGAGGGGTCCTCGAAGCATGAGAGTCTTGCCTGACTTTTCTTGCCTATTGAACCCTCCTGAAAGTCCAAATTTGAGGTGGTTCCGAATTCGAGATATCGTTTTGTTGCAGCTAAGGAGCCATTGCGAAGAGGAATGCTGGAAGGATGAGACACTTGACTGCATGTTTGCTCGTTCTCGAACCCTTCAAACAAAGTCCAATTTCCTGGTGTTCCAAAATCTAGCTGATCCTTGGTTGTAGGGGCCCATGACAAAAACAAATCCTGGGAGGATGAGACACTTGACTGCATTTCCCCTCATTGTAGAACCTGTCCAAAAAATGCAAATTCAGGCGGTCCAAATTCTAGCCAATCGTTTGTTGCAGTTAAGGGAGCATGCCCAATTGGCATGCTGGAAGGATCGGACACTTGACTGCATCCCAACCCCATCGAACAAAGTCCAAGTTCTAGTTGTTTCACATTCTAGCCAATCATTTG